AGGTGGAAGCACAGTTTCAAGGTTTGTTCTCCCAGAGAGTGGAAATGCTGCATAGAATTTCGAGGGCTTCGCTCCCCCCATGTGAGCCTGGTGTTTCCTGTGATGCTGGCACACCTGGCAACGTTATCGGACCAGGCTCAGGGCTGCTGAGTGAGTGGGTGAGACATGTCTCCCTCCTCCTCCCTGCCTTGGTTTGCTATCTATCCTCCCTAGCAGAAAAACACAAACGTGTGTGACTCCTTTTGGGAATGTTTCCTTGCTCACGACAGGCAACAACGAGTTCTAACCACAGTTGCTTTCACCGAACACTTTCCAGCCGACTGAGCTGGGCTTTGGCTTCCGAAGCTCCCTCTCCATCTCAGGGTTTGCCTGTGTCTGTTCCCAGCATTTGTCAGTTTCCCCCAGATCAACAATGGATTGCTCGGCATCATAAATGTTTTGTCCCGTGCGTGGGCTCACAGTGGATATCTGTATCCCTTACCAGGTACTGGGGGCAGTCTGAAATGTCTTGGTTTTTGTCCCTGCCGTGAAGGTGACCCAATCAGGAGCCTCAAAAACAGGGCGTAGAGGGCCCGTATCATTCACAGCTACCTAATAATTTATTGTTCCCCCCTAGGGATTTCTAAGGTCCACTGTTACTGATTTAAGTTTCGTGTGCCCAACGCTTCAAATAAGGCTGCAGTGCAGGAGGCCCAAACCGGGGAGCTGCTCAGGTGTTTGTGATATTCTGAAAAAAACCTCCTGGTGGACTAGCAGCTGTGGACATGTCATTTGTTACTCCCATGAGGGGGAGTGTGCCGATGGCGGTGGGTCGGTGGGAGAGAAAACGGCACCCTCCTGTGCCCAAGACATGTTTTAAGGGGTCCCAGACAAAGGAGGCACGTGTCCTATGCGTGACTCTAAACTATATTACCTCAGTGTAAGGGAAAGGTCCAGAAGCAGTCACAAGACAGGAAGCCACTCCTAAAAGAGGATGAGGAGGAAGTTACAATCCATTTTCAGAACAATACACATTCCTTCTGGCCAGCAGCCCTCTGACCAGCCCTCAGCATGGAGGGAGGAGGGCCATGTACTGACCCCACAGAGGCCAAAACTCAAAACATCGGCGTTGGGAGTAAGGAAAGGTTTGTTGATTGAAAAGATGGGGGACCTCAAAGCTCCTGCAAATCCATCTTAAGAGAGCCCAGAGTTCAGGCTTTCTTTATGTTAAGAGAAGGGAGAAGAGGCAGGTGGCGTGTGGTGCCTAGGCTCCAGCAGGGATGGAGGAGGAGCACGGAACTCTCTGAACCTCTCTGTCCCCCAGCTCTCCATTGACCCCTCCTGATCCGATTTGGTCTCTTTTTTAAAGTCATTTTTAAATTGTTATTCTATTACAGTTGTCCCAATTTTCCCCCATTGTCCTCCTCCACCCACCCCTCACCCCCTCCCGCAGTCAATTCCCCCGCTCCCGCTGCCATTGTCCATGTCTGTGGGTTACTCATACCTGTTCTTTACTTAGTTTGTTTTTGTTTTTGTTTTTTAGGCTCAGTTGTTGGTAGTTGTGAGTTTGTTGTCATTTTACTGATTCGGTCTTGAGGCTCCTGCAAGTCTTTATCAAAAGCTCAAGCCTCAAACAGAATTCCACTAATAGTTAGCCTGCCTATAGCAGGAGCTATTTACCTGAGGCCATGGGAGAACTGCGGGCTAGAAATAAAATAGAGTCAGACAAAGCATTTCATTCTGTTACACCCGTGTGCCCAGGGTGGTCCCCGATCGGGCTAGCCTCCCTGCAGATTTCAATAATCCCACCAGAATGGAGTTGTTACCGGCCCTGAGCCTGCCTGCCGAGGGGCTGTGGCGTGCCTGGGAAGGAAGGCGTGGAGGAAGCAGAAGGGACTGGCTCAGGCCTTTGTCTTGAGGCTTTAGTCCTCTCTTGCAGGCGGGAATCTTAGGGAAAGTTTTGGGTAGGACATTCTTCAGTTCTCCAGGAGCGCCGTTGTAGAGTCATGGTCTCCGCTGATGGGTCAGGGACAGGGCAGGGGGTCTCCAGTCACTGGAATTGGTTCTGGCGTTGCCCCCTATATTTTTGCTGCTTTCCAGGGAGGGAGGTTGACCCTGGGCGATGCTTGTTTTTTTTTTAATAGATTTCACTTATTTATTGTTATAGAGAGGGGAAGGAGGGAGAAAGAGAGAGAGAAACATCGATCAGTTGCCTCTCACAAGTGCCCCCGACCAGGGAACCGCCTGCAACCCAGGCCTGTGCTCCGACCAGGAATCAAACTGGCAACCTTTTGCTTTGCAGAATGATACCCAGCCAACCGGGCTATGCTGGTCAGGGCCAGGACGAGGTCCTTGGTTTCCCAGTTTTGTCCCCTGCCAGGCACTCGGGCCTTCTGCCCCGGTGACCATCTGCACCTGGCTGTAAATTGCTTTGGCTCTCTGTCTCAGTTTCCCTACTCCACCTGCCAAGGAATTTTCCGAGCTTCTCACTATCCTATCCCTCACCGAGAACATTAACCCCCCTGAGCACCTTGCAGGCGCTGCCAGAGGAAGGGGGTGTGGTGGCAGGGCTCATTTTCTCTGCCTTCTGCAGGTCAGAGAAAAGCCATCTCCCCACGTGTCCCGTAGCTGCACTGACCGTCCCTGTATACTTTCCCTGGCTTTTGGCCAGAAGCTGGTTGCTGTATCAGTAAGCTAGGTGGGAGCATATTCTCTTGTCCCGACCATTTCCTGAATGGGGGGTCAGGGTCATTGTTACTGTTGAGGGGAGCAGAGTTCACCTCCCCAAAATATGCCTTTGGAGATACTGACTATTCTAAGCTGGTTATTTTCAAGACCAGAAGTCTCAGGAAGCAGCTTTGTCCCTCCCCCTAACACCTAAAAGGAACTGAGAAGAGGATCTATTCTCAATAGGGTGAGCTGTCATAGGTAACTATAGTTTAACACGAAGGAGGCCCCGGCGACAGAGAGGAACCTAGCTAGACCCTCTTGATCAAAATCCTTGGTTAAAGATGGCCCAGCAAACATTTGTTTACCAACCATTGGCTTTTCCCTGTCCATATGAATTGCCTTCCTCTCATTTGAAGTCCCAAATCACACCCGCTTCTCCTCAGCTCCAGGTGGCAGCTAAGCCTCAAATGCTCAATCTGTCCTAAGGTCTCATATTCTTTTTTTTTTTTTAATGATTTTATTTATTTTTTAAATTTATTTTATTTTTAGAGAGGGGGAAAGGGAGGAAGAGAAGGAGAGAAACATCGATCAGTTGCCTCTCACACACTCCCAACTGGGGACCCAGCCTGCAACCTAAGCATGTTCCCTGACTGGGAATCGAACCAGTGACCTCTCAGTTCGCAGGCCAGCACCCATCTCCCTGAGCCACGCCAGCCAGAGCTATTTATTTTAAAAAGAGGGGAAGGGAGGGAGAGAGAGAGTGAGAGAAACATCCATGTGCCAGAGAAACATCAATCGGTTGTGTCTCACATGCCCCCAGCAGGGACCTGGCCCACAACCCTCACATGTGCCCTTGCAGGGAATTGAACCCGTGACCTTTTGGTTTGCAGTACAATGCCCATCCCACTGAGCTACACCAGTCAGGGCTGGGGTCTCATATTCTTATGGCACAATATAAATAGGTAATAAAGTTGTCATATGTAATGCATACATCATATGTAACAAAGTTGGTTGTTTTCTCCTGTTAATCTGTCTCACATTAATTTGATTATTAGCCTAGGCAGAAGAATGTAGAAAGATGGAAAGAAATGTGTTTTTCCGCCCCCACACTGTACTTTTGCTCTTCCTGGTATTAAGGAGTCCAGCGGCATGGGCTCACCATCTGTTTCCTCATCAACGGGCACAACAGCCTCCTCCTCACTCTCACCGCTTCCCCAGACAGTCCGCCCCTTAGCCCCTCACCAGACTTTGTCGCAAGTGCTTGGACCTTAACCTAAGCAAAACCCAGAAGAAGGGAGGCATAACTGTTTCAGAGGGGAAAACCTCAAAACTTCTGTTGGCAGGGCCGGGACTAGAGTGAGGTGAGTGAGGCACCCACCGTGGCTGCAAAATTTAGGGGGGCATGAAAATGTTTTGTTATTATCATCCCCATTTTACAGCTATGGAAACTGAGGCTGAGGGGGCTGAGGGCTTACCCAGAGTCCCACATGGAGGAAGGGCTGTTCACACACTGCCTTGGCTTCCCACCCACAACTGTGGTCCCAAGTGGGCCCTAAAGTTGGACGGCCAGCAGAGCAGGGCTCAAATAAGTCAGCTTCACCCAGGGTTGCGTCTTTGCGCCTGGGGTCCTGCCTTGGAGGGAGGCCCCGGGTCATGGGAAACACGAGCTCCCCTGGGCTTCAGCAGGATTATCCCCCATCCCTTGTCATTCAGCTGTTGACTGGCTTTAAGTGGTCTAGGTAGAGAAATGTCCCTCCTCAGACACCTTCCATGGCTCCCTATGGTCCATTCTGAGGCCTTGGCAGAACCCCCTGAACCCCCGCTGGGTCACTATGGAGACCCCTGAACACAAAACCCAGCCTCTTGGGTCACACACAGTCCTGCCTGCCCCAGGCCACCACTCATCCCTCGGCCTCATTTCCCCAGCCAGGGACTGGGCACGACAGCCTCAGCCTCTTCAGGTCCCAGGACACAGGGACACACGGCTGCGTGCCCTAGGCATTCAGCAGCTGCGGTTCTCGCCGCGGGAACACAGGAGAAGGGCAGGGGCTTGCGACACGCTGCACGGTCTCCCAGCGGCTCCCCTCCCACAGGAGCTCGTGCCCTGGCACGCAGCTCGAGACAGCCAAGGCCATGATTGGGCAGTAACAACACACCTCTTCACTGGGAAACCAAAACTGAAAGCTAAACTGTCCCCTTCTTGCAAATGCCCCATTGAAAAATCTCTAGGTCAGGGGATTGTTTTGGAACTTTTCATTGGTCAAAATGGCTCTTATGCTAATAAGGAGGCAGATCCAGCACCTTAGAAAATTCTAGCTTCCTTTCTGACATTCGCCCACAGTCCTTACCACCCAAGACCCATCTGAATGGCACCCACTCTTTACCACTATTACCTTTTGCCTGTGGACGACGACTCAAAGGTGCTAATGCTGTCAGGCCGCAAGCTGCCAGTGTGGGTGGCGATCCTGCTGATCGTACTGTCGGTGGTTCTGTTTATAACCACGATCACCTTCGCTGTTATGGCCTACAGCCCCGCTTGTAAGGATGGCCACAGAATGGAGCAGGAGTGGCGAAACAACACCCACAACCTGGAGCGCCAGCTGACCCAGGCCCATGAAGTCTTACGGCAGACTGAGGCCTACGCTGCCGCTTGCAACCAGACTGCGGTAAGCCACTACCGCCCCTAAAGAGGGCCTTGCGCCTTGGGGTGTCTCCCAGGGCGTGGGTGCTTGGGGGATTCCCCCCAGGGTCTAGGAGGAGATCAAGATAGACCTTGAAACTGCCCCTGGACTCCTATACTGGGAACCTGAATTTCCCCACCAGAGTTTGGGGACTTCTAAACTCTCTGTGGGGTGCTGGTGTGCATCGAGGCCTTAGATTCCCCAGAGCACCGAAATAAAGGGCCTCAGCGTCCTCACTAGGATGTGGATGAATCTCCAAACTCCAGGGCATTGGTCCGAGGGCACTAGAAACTCCCCTTGGGCACAGTCTTGGGGGAGCAGAAATCCCTCTGGGAGTCGGGATGGGATCTCACCAGACCCTAGAGAAAGCAGGGGTTCTTGATACTTCTGCTGCATCCCTAAGAGGCTGAAACTTTCACTTGGCTCTTGATATGGGGTCCTGGAAACTCCCACTGGATGGATATCTACCTTGGGTTCAGAAATCCTATGTTCTGGGTTTAAGGAGACCTCCAAATATTCTTGGGCAATAGCCCAGGGGATCTGGAAACTTCTCCTAGGGTTTGGGCATGGGGAGCCTCCAGATTCCTATGGGGGGGCCTTGAAACTCCCATGGCAAGGATTACACCCTTATCAGTGTCCCTGGGCAGGGTGGGAGGTTGTGGCCATTCTTCAAGGAGGGAGACAGGTGCAGAGAGGGTTGGAAGGGCCCCTGAAAGGTGTATGAACCTGAGTCCCTCTGACCCCGGGACCTGGGGAGGGGTCCAGGGCCCAGAGACAGCAGCCCACCCTCAGGGACAGAACCCCAGTTTCTGACACCCCTGCTCTCCCACCACATCCCAGGCAACCCTGATGGCTTCCCTGGAGACAGAGAAGGCTCAGCGCCAAAAGCAGCAGGAGCTAGTGCAAGAGCTTCAAGGTGAGGAAAACACAAGGCCCAGATTTCATTAAGGGGGGCTTGGAGGAGCAGGTCAGGTATTGACGAGGAGGGAGGAGGGAAGGTCCCAGGGTTGGGGTCAGGAGAGAGGGACAGGACCAGAATCCAGTGGAGGTAGGAAGGGGTGAGCCAGGTTTCCCAGGTGCATTCAGGTGAGGGTGGGGCTCCAAGTGGGGTCCTGTCCCCAGTTGGAGCCAGTGGAGGGGCATGGCCACGGTGCCGACATGCCCTCTGTCCCACCCTAGGGGAGAACGCGGAGTTGAAGCAGAAGCTGCAGGACATGACTGCAGAGCTGGAGCGACTAAGGTGGGCGCACCCCCAGCCATGCCCCCTTTAACCCTCCAGTCCCACCCCAAGGCCTGGGATCGTCTTGACTCAGTAAATTCCCATTGCTCTGGGGACAAAGTGTGAATTCCAGCCTTGTTCCTCAAGTCACCCAGCCATGGCGGCAGCTGCCCACTCTCCTCCCCAGGGACTTGGTGGGGAAAGAGGAGAGATTCTGAGGGGCGGTGAGCCCGGCACTAGCGCAGCCAGCCCTGGCAGCTGCCTGAGTTGCCCCATTTCCACCCCAGATACAATCATAAAAACACCAGCAACTCTGGAAACGCCCTCGGCCTCTCGGTGGTCCCTGTGCTCCTAGCCCTGAGCCTCCCAGCGCTGCTGACCTGAGGCCCCAGGAAGCCAGCTGGTAAGGAGGGGCAGCTGGGGGGTGGTGGTGGGAGGGAGTCAGGCAGTCGGGGCCTGGGGAGGGGGCCTGCCTGCGGGGTGGAGGGCTGGGCCAGAGAAGGGTCTCGGAGGGAACATCAGTGAGGAGGGGGGTCTGGGAGGGGACAGGGCTTATGGAGGGGGCAGGGCCTTTTTTCTGTCCACGATTCCACCCTAAGTCCCCCTTATTATGTCTCTTAGGCCACAACCTGGACTGGTTTCCAGCTCTGTTTCCCTGATCTGGCCAGTTCTGAGGGGCCACAGGACGGCACGGTTCGGGGCAGGGGCGGTGGCGGGGAAGGGAGGGAGATCCAAGGGGCAGGGGGTTGTTTCCAGCCTTGAGGATGGAAAAGCCTCAGAGTTGGCCCAAGGCTGCCCCCCGAAACTTGGCAGGTCATGGAATGGAGGCATCTGCCTTTTGCTGTTAAGGGCTCTAGAATGTAACTCTTCTAGGGTCTTTGGGTGCCAAAAAGTAAACATTCTTTTTTGGAAAAATGACTTTACTCTGAAGTTTCTGGTCTGTCACTGATCACTCACAAGCATCTGGGATCTGTTAATGTATATGCCCAGCCTTCCTTGCTCCAGAATGTTCCCAGAATCCCATGGGGTTTGGGCAGATACCACTCCCCTGCCTACCCAGCCCTATTCTGCGCTGGGATCATCTTAAAGGACCGCACACCCCGATCCGTGCTCACGAAATGCTCAGCATTCTACCATCGCCTCCACGTCAGTCTCCTGATGCAAAGGTGCCAATGAGGAAACATAGGCTCTGACTAGAGGGACGCCTTATCTGGTTCCCTGTCCCCTCCATGCAAAGTGCACGGGGGGCTGGGATTCCAACCTGGATCTGCAGACACACCCAAGCCAAGCATTTGTCACAGCCCCGCCCCTCTCCATAGTCCAAACTTTTGTTCCCCTCCAAATTTTTACTCACCCTGCAGAGCCCCACCCCCAGAGAGTCGGCCTGCTTCTCCAGAATGAAAGGCCATGGTCCTGACAGACCCTTCACCTGCTCTCTGGGATCCCCCCATGCCCCGTAATTCCTTCGTTCTCTGCTCTCTCCCTTCATCCAAATTTCTCCAAAATCCCAACTGCTGTCCAGGCAACTTCCTGTCACTTGCACTGGGGCCAGGAGCCTTGTGTCTGCCCCAAACCCTGCACTGCCCTCAGGTCCCGCAGTCTCCAGACCAGAGAGTCAGTAGATGCTACCTCCATGGCTCCTGCTGTTCACCCAGGGACCTGCCAAACACCATCCCTGTCCCCTGGCCCTCTTGTCCCCTCCCTTCCTCTTGCTCACCCGCTCTCCAGCCTCCTGGACCATTTCTCTGTGCGTGGGCCTTGTCAGTTTGCTTCCTGCCTCGCTGTGACATTCCAGGGCAGGTAGACAGGCACATCCATGTGTGGGCTGGACGCTCTCTGTGGTAGGGGCTGCCCTGGACGGGTAGGATGTGGTGCAGTATCTCAGGCCTCCACCCATTAGGTGACGTAGCTTCCTACCCCAGGTTGTGACAACAAAAAGTACCTTCAGACAATACCAAGTGTCCCCTGGGGGTCAGAGTCATAGCCTGTGAGAACCTCTGTCCTAGAAAGCCAGGCTCAAGGCTGGGGCATCCCCAGTTGGCAGGTTTGCAGCTAGTGAAGTCCCTTTACTATGACTGAGTCATTTCACTCCCCACCAACAGCCCTTCTAACAAATGAGGCAGCAGGTCCAGAGATGTGCCTGGGCTTGCTCAGGGTTTCCAGCTGCTGAGACCATTGAACCCTCAGCCTCCCTGAGTTTCGCTTTCCAGGAGACAATCCCATTGCCTGCAACCACATGACCTCAGTCTTTACCCCTCCCCCACCAACCTCCCCTGCGGCTCCCAGCCTAGGCTAACAGAGTGTTCAAAGCAGTGTTGCTGGCCCCCACGCCTGGGCTGTATGTATTTCACTTACAAAGGGGGTTAGGTTTGCCAAGTAAGATGGATTTGACCTGCTCAATTCTCCCCCCAAGCCCCCATACAATGATCCAATTATAAATTTCTTTCGTTCCTAAAAATATTTCACTTCCCTGGCTGACTGGGGCTGAGCCAGCCAGGGGCTGAGAAGTCGGGACTGGAGACCTGCAGGTCTGTAGGGATTCCAACTCCATCAAGAAACGGGCGGTGATCAGAAGCTGCTGTGTGTCCCTGGCCTGAAGCTTGGCCTCTCTGGGCTCTGATTTCTTCCTGTAGACTAAGAGGGATGGGGTAAGGGGGTTGAGGGGGTTGAGATGCTGAGATTCTAGTTCACAGTGTTTACTCAGATCACATTTCCTGTACAAATAACTATGTGCCAGGAACAGGCTGGGGCAGGGGAACCAGGCAAATATGAGCTTTGCTTTTTAGGGAATTCACCCGGTCTGATGCCGGAGGCAGCTGGGAATTGGACAAACACTACGGAAATTTACAGCAGAGCTGAGGCAGCTGATCAAAAGGGGCCTGAGCGAGTGGAGGAGGGGAGGGTTCTGGAGAAGACACGAATGAATGAAGAGGGGTACTTGGCCACAGGAGATGGGGGCGCCCTGGCAGCAGGAACAGCCAGTGCAAAGGCCCTGGGGCGGGATGGCACTTGCCAGAAGAGTACTGAGGAGGGCCGGAGGGTGCCTAGGAGAGGAAAGGACCACTAGAGGCCTTGCAGGGGAAAGAGAAAGAGGAGAGGAAGGGGGTGATGGATTAGGAAGGAGAGAAGGGTAGAGGGCGAGACAAACTGGGGAGGAGGAGAAGGAGGGGTAAGTAGGGAGGAGGAGAAAAAGGAGATAAAAATGGAAGAAGGCCAGGAGAAGAAGCGGGTCCGGCAGAGGGGGAGGAGGGGATTTGATTCTGAGAGGAAGGTTAACTGGCCTGAATTTAATCCACGTTGTAAGATCGCCTCCTGGCGACCCACTGGAGAACAACCAGGTAGATGGGTCTGATCGACCCCTTGGGTCTACAGTCTGGCGGTGTCGGAGTTGGTCGAAGAAAGTGTGACAGCCTGACCCGCGCCTTTAGCCTTCCAGCCTCGTTTTCTCCATGACAGAATGCCCCTAGCCTCTCGCCAAGAGCCCACTACGCTGATGGGCGTTTTGCCTGGATGTGCAGACGGGATTGTCACTAAGCCCTAAGGACCTACTGCCGTCCCCACTTCATAGACGGCAAATTGAGGCTCAGAGGATAGCATGTAGAAGGTAGAGGCAGGGCTGGAACTCAGGACCCCAGTCCAATCCTAGGCTCCAGCAGCTGGGTCTGGCCCCTGCTGGGGACCCAGCCCCTCCCAAAGGACTGGGGAAACACGCCCTGGCTGGGCGGAACTGCGGGTGTCCCTGGCGTCCCAAGGTGCCAATTAAATACTCGTGGCCGTCTGGGGCTGGAGCTGTGGACAGCGGCATGGCCGACCCAGGCCCAGAGCCGGGACGCGCTTGGCGAGTGCTCGCCCTGTGCGGTGCTGCCGTGTTCCTGGCGGCGGCTGCAGCCGGGGCAGCCCTGCTGGCATGGAATCTGGCCGCCGCGGCCTCCAGGGGGTCTCGCTGCCCAGAGTTGGAGCCAGGGGTTAACACCACAGTGCCCCCCAGGGACCCAGCGCCAGAGGTCCAGGAGCTGCAGCGAAAGCTGGCTGAGGCTGCCGAACGAGAGAAGGCTCTGGCCAGGCAGCTGGAACAGGCGGAGGGTGTCCATCGGGAGCTGCAGGAAGCTTTAAGGTCCTGCGAGGGCCGCCAGGTAGGTGGGCAGTGTTGCGAGCTGGGGCATCTAGTCTGCGGGGGGAAGGGGCCTGCACACCCCCAGGGAGGTCCCCCTGTGCCTGGGTTTCCTCAGTTCTTCACTGTGAACAAGAATAGCACCATACTCCCAACTCCTACAATGCCAGTTCACCGTCTGATCTAGAAGGCACCACTGTTCTCTGCTATTTGTCAGATAAACGGTGGTGACTAGAGAAGCCCCAGACCCCTGAGCCCACCTGGGGAGACCTGGTTTCATCCTTTCCCCCAGGTGCCCACTCAGCTCGCCCTGCCACCCAGCCAGTGTCCCGGCCCTATTTCTGGGTAAGGACATTCATGTCACCTGTAATTAGGAGGCTAAACTTGGCTTCTTGGAGGAGGTACCAGCCAGGTCCTCCCTTTTCCTCTGGCCACCTCCTTCACACCCTTTCTTAACCCTTCCCACTCCTAGACCTCACAGAAGAACCATCCGCAGAGTCCCAACTACTCACATTTATTAACTACTGTGTACCTCTGTGTACCGGGCCCAGCGAAGGCTGGGCAGCGTATGAATTTTAGAAATAAAAACAGACCTCTCCCCGCCTTCCTGCCTGCCTAAGGAAAGGGCTTGGGACAACCGAAGTTAAGAGCAGCTGCCCTTGGTTCAAATTCTAATTTTGCCTCCCAGTGGAAGACGTTCTGAGGCCAGACTAGTTGCTTTCCAGAACGTCTCACAGAGGTGATGAACAATCCACATACCCAATCATTGTCAAACACCCAGTCAGTGAGTCTAGATGTAGCTGGGATTGGAACCCCAGTCTGACTGCGGAGCTAAACCCTTTCTGCATCCCCATGTCTGGGGGTTGGGGGGTGGTGGACCTAGGCAGAGACCTCTTTCCAGGCAGGCAGCTGTCGGCACGCGATACTCCAGATTTCAGCGGCCATTTATGTGTTTTGCCACTACAGGACCCCAAAGGACATTCCAACAAAGCTCAGGGAACACCAGTGTTATCTCAGTCCCTAGAAAGCCCTAGAAAGCCCTAGAAAGGGCGGGGCCAATTCGCTCCTGACCTCCTAGGGTCCCTCCTCACCTCCCCTCCACTCCGCAGAGCCAGCTTCAGACCCAACTGATGATACTGAAGATTGAGATGGACGAGGCCAAGGCACAGGGGACTCAGATGGGGGCCGAGAACGGGGCGCTGACAGGTGTGTTGGGGCGCAAGGGTGCTGGGCAGGGCTAGAAGTGGGACTCTGCGCTTGGCGGGTGCTCTCCCTGTTTGAGTCAGCCTCCCGCAGAAGGTGGGAGGAGCCTAGTAAGTTCCTAGCTACGCAAAAGTAATGCAAACGACAAGCAAACGAAAGCGAAAACTTATGAAAAAAAGGCACATAATATGCAAAGGTCACAAAAACGCAAAAGCAACAAAATATGCAGATATCATGTAAACGACTTCCAAAAGCAATGCAAACCTACGGAATGCTATGCAAATGACACATAAAGGCTTGTAAACAGCACACAAATTTAATTCAAATAGGGCACAGCACGCGAGTAGTAGGCAGACTATAAACTCCGACGCCGGCGCGCGCGGGGTTGCGAGCCTGGTCTCCAGCCTCACCGCGTCCGCTGCGCCCGCAGAAGCCCTGGCACGCTGGGAGGCGATGGCCACTGAGTCAACGCGGCTGCTGGAAGAGGAGCAACGGCGCGCGCGCGCAGCCGAGGCCGAGGGCGGAGCCTGCGCGGCCCGGGAGGCGGTGCTGCTCGAGCGCGTGTGAGTGAGGGGAGGAGCAAGGGCGGGACCTTGGGGAGAAGACTGAGGGGAGAATCCAAGTGACAGTCCTGGAGTTGACACCCACGGGTAGTGAGCGGGGTGGGCACTCTGGGAGACGGAACCCCCAGATTGGGACCAGCACTCTGCAGGCATGGGTTCCTAGGTTCGGGCGCATTTAGGGGGCCCTGGGAGGGCGGTGGAAGGGTGCAAGGAAAAAGAAATAGGAGGGAGGGGCCAGGGATCTGGAGCAGAGCATCGGCAGAAGGGGCTAGGAGTCCCCGGGGAGGGGTCCCCAGAATGGCCAGGGGTGAAGAAAGGATTGGGATCCTGGGGATGCGGTTCCCAGGAAAGGAGGAAGAGTGCTGGGAGGTCTCTGGGGTCGGGGGTCAGGGTGCTGACCAGCCCCTGCTCCTTCCCGGCAGCAAAGCCCTGGAAGCCGAGATGGACCCCCAACGCCGAGTTCAGCATCCCCGGGCCCGCTCTGGGTCCCGACCCCGGCCCAGCGCCCGCTCTCGCTCTCGCTCTCGCCCCAGACTCTCTGGGGGCTGCCGGCGCACCCGAGGATGAGTCAGCCTCCCGCAGGATGTGGGCTCGAGGCCAGGACAGACACTGTACGGCCCCGGGGCGGGCACGTATAGAGGTGCTCACGCCGGATGAGGTGCCCGATCAATATCCATCAACGCTCAGCTTTAGACCAGCCATTCTAAACAGAGACAGAAAGGAGACTCGATGCTCTCTCCTCGACCATCTTGTGCTTGCATTCTCAGACAAGAAACACGCCCATTTAGTCCCCCAGTGAGATCATGCTGATGTGGGACCTAAGTCCCCTCTAAGGATAGCGTTGCCCTCATCCCACAGACATGGGGACTTAAGGTCCAGCACTACCTTGCAAGTGACCTGAAGAGGTCAGCTCTCCTCTCTGGGCCTCAGTTTTGTAAAATGAGTGATTGGAATCATGTTTAGACAGCCAGCTTCTCCTTGACACCAAAAGCTGACAAGGAGAGCTCAGTAAGTAAACTACAGACCACCCTTCCTGTGAGGATGGTAGGGAACTCCCACATTGAATTTTAGCAAAGAGAACTGAGTAACATATTTTAAAATATGCCACAGCAAATGTGGCTCATACCTGAGATGCACGAATGGTTCAGTATTCAGGAGTTTGTTAATAAAATTCACCATATTAATGGATCAAATGAGAAAAAATTTCTGAAGAAGGCTATCAAATTCAGGGACAGGGTGAGGAAAACCACTATCAAGTATTTAATATGGTTTTGGGGGTACTAGACAATGCATTTAGACAAGAAGAAGAAATAAGACACAATCGTTAGAAAAGAAGAAGGGAATTTATAGGTTAATATGAAAGCACTGTGTATACAGGTGAAAAATCATTGAAATGACAATTTCATGGGAGCACAATTTCATGTTATTTTTGTGTTTTATATTTATATTTGACATAACTTCAGACTTACAGAAAAATGGGAAGATGAGTGCAAAGAACTCCTGTGTACCCTTCACCCAGATTCCACAGACGTTAACTTTTACGACCTTTGCGCATGCTCTCACTTGCTCGCTCTCTCTCCCTCCCTCCCCTACTTTTATTAAAAACTTGCAGAAATGATGTCTCTTAACCCATAAATACTTGAGTTTACATTTCCTAAAAACAAGGACATTCTCTCACATAATCATGGTACAATTATGAAAATCAGGAAACGGACATTGATAAAATACTGTTATCTAATCTGCAGACCTTAAACAGATTTTGCCAACTGTTCTGGTAATGTCCTTCATAACAAAAGATTATTTTGACTCACATACTGTATTTGTCAAGTCTCTTTCATCTCTTTTCATCTGGAATGCACCTCAGTTTTTCCTTGCCTTTCATAACCTTAGCATTTTTAAACAGCTCAGGCCAGTCATTTTGTGGAGTCCGAGTTTGGGTTTGTGTGGTGGTCCTTGTAATTTCAGATTGGCACTTTTGGCAGGAAAACATCAGAAACAATTTAACCTAACAATATTATCTGCTGGTGGTGTGATTATACATAGAAACTTCTAAAGAATGTGCTGAAACTTTTCTATACATAAACAACTAGCTAGAAAATCCTTTGAAAGAAAAGAAAGATTCATCTCAGATAGTTTTTTATATCCAGGAATAAACTAATTTCCATATTATATAAGGAGCTCTTGTAAATTAATTTTTAAAAAAACAACTCATAGGAAAATGGACAAAAATCATGGACAGTCAGTTCACAGAAACATACCAAAAAAGATGCCCAACTTCACTCCTAGAAAAGAAATGTAAATTGAAGCAAAAACGTGCTACACTTTCTATCAGTTACTTTGGCAAAGATAAAAACAAAAACAAATTAAAAGTTTGCAAATGCACTGTGTTGGCACTGCTGATGAAAAACAAGCAATCCCACGTGGCACAGGTGGAACTGCTCATTGGTCCAACTACTTGAGAGGGCAGTTTCCTAGAATCTCTCAAAATTAAAGGGCAAATACCATTTGACCCATCAATTCCCCCTCTAGCAATTTTCTACCGCCATACTTACATGGACGCAAAGTGATAGATTAAATGCAATGCAGAATCCTAGATTGGATCCTGGAACAGAAAAACACTTAGTACATAAATCAAATATAGTCTAGAGTTTAGGTAATGGTAATACACTAAGGTTAATGTGTTAGTTTTGACAAAGGAATCATGGCGTATAAGATGTTAGTAATGGACAAAGCTTGGTGAGAGCTATTCAGGGATTTTGTATTGTCTATGAAATGTTTCTGTAAATCTAACATTATTCCAAAATTTAAAATGTACTTTTAAAAAGGAGAAGGAGGAAGAGGACATTATTACCAGATTCTTGGTAATTGCCACAAAACTGAAAACAACCTCAGTGTCAGCCACCTGGGGACCTTAAGTGAGTGTCTGTCCACCCGTTCACACAGTAGAATACTATACAACCATTAAAGAGGCCAAAGCAGGTCTTCTGCAAGACACATAACGTAAAAAGCAGTTAAGGAATTACCCAAGAGAGGCTTTTATCCAAATATTTCTAGGAAACACCAATCGCATCTGTGGCCTCTGAGATGGGAACCAGGGGCCTGGGGTTTGGTGGGGGAGGCTGTCTCCTGTTTCTCTGTATGTCTCTTTGTAATGTTTGCGTTTTAAAAATCATGCACGTGTATTACCCTTAAAAAATTAAATTTTGTTTTGAAAAATTCTTAAGAGGCTGGTGTGGGGCGAGGAGTGGAAGCCCTTGGAACACTGATCCCTTCTCAGCCAGTCACGCTCATTGTCCCCCCACCCGCCTGGGGCTTGGCGTTGTCTGAGCAAGGCCTTCTCCTGAGAGAGGCCCCCCCCGGACGGGGAGCAGGAGGGACCGGCCCTGCAGGAGGTTGTGAGGCGAGGGGAAGAATAAGAGGGTCTGGCATCTGTGGGCCGCCAGGGGACGCCCCAGCCTGCTGCCCGTCTGCTGCCTGGCAAGGGCGCAGAGTTTGAGGCTAAGGGTGGGTCTGAGAACCCCCATCCCTGGCATGAGTCCAGAAGTGAGCAGGAAATGGCTTCTCCCTCTAGAGTCAGCCAGAGCGGGAGACCAGGAGACGGGCCTTTGTCTGATTTACGATCCCCTCACAGTTGTGTCCGTGGGGTCCAAGAGCTGACCCACGTAAGGGACTGAGCTGTACACGATACTAAGACAGTATCGTTATCATTTACTTATTCTTCTGGCTCCATCTTGACCATACCTGCAGAACACCTGAAACTCGGTTCCGGCAGGGGCGGGGCGGTGCGGGGGCGGGGGCGGGGGGGGGGTGGGGGGAGTGGGGAGCCATGGCGGGTGTGTGAGCAGGAAAGGCACAGTCAGATCTGATGTCAGAGAGAAAGCAGGGGAAGGAGGAAGGGCAGAAGGGACTCTAAACCCCTGGGGAGGCCCACAGCGTTGGGGATGATTTAGGGAGAACAGGCCCATGTCCCTGGCTGCAGTAAGGCTCCCCAGCTGCCCAGCGGAGCAAACAGCACTCCTTGGCGGGCCCTGCCTCCTGGACCCCACCTGCCTCCCACCCCACAGGGCCAGCCTCAGGCCTGACCTCGCTCTGTTCTGCCTGTCTCCCCACCTGTCTAATTACCACTCAAAGACTGTCTGTCCCTCTGTCTCTGGGTCTCTTTATCTCTGCGTCTCCAACCCTGACCCCAGCACACCTCCCAGGTCCCTCTGCTGGCCTCTCCTCCTAGTAGTAACCCTGGAGGCTCCCTCGCAGCCAGAGACAGGAAGGGGGGGGGGGCGGGGGGGGCGGGGTTCTGCAATGAGAAGCGGCAGTGCAGCTGTGGGCGGAGAGCCCCTGGGGCAGCAGCAGGCTGACCTCACTAGCCCCCCAGTTCCAGGTAAGAAAGTGGGTCACCCTTTTTTCAGCCGGGAACACGGAGGCCCAGAGAAAACAGGCTATTCCTCTCCAAAGGGCCCTCTTTGCCTTCTCTGTCACCTTCAAAAGCACAAAGCTTAATCTCACTTGGATTTAACCAAAACCCAAACACACTGGCATAAATGTGGAGGGGCTTCTGAACTTGGCTGAAATTTTTCTTCACCAGAAATATCACTCCCTCGAAGACTTTCCAGAAGTGTAAAAACAAAACAACAAAACCCTCTTACGTCACCAGGAGGACTTCAGCGTGTGTTTTCAGGTAGTGACAGCGTTGACTTCCTCATGACAGTTTTCCCTTCTCTGCCCAAACACATGAAACCAAATTTATTGTTTTTAATCTTTAAAAACTTAAAAATCGAAGCCTAACTTTGGGATGAACTTCTGAGGGAATTCCGATGAGAGGTTCATGCACAAAATTTCCTGTGAACATAACAAATTGTTTTTAGGAAAAAAACTGAACAATCACATCAGGGCCCACGCTTTTGACCACATGTGAATCCAAGGACAGCTCCTGCCTCTGGAACTTTCCGGCCAGAGACAGAGGCAGAATGTGTTCAGAAAGTCTGTTTTTAGAGATTTTAGACACTGCTGGCAGGGGCGACAAGGGAAACAATCTCGCTAGAGGACAAACTGGTGACAACCATCGAAATGTAGAATGTGGCTGCTTTGGGAACCAGTGATTTCATTTGTGGGGTTTTGATATTGAATCTTATTTTGTTCATTGGAACAGAAATTTAGGAGAAAAATTAGAAATGGTCTAAATGCTCACTAATAATTATTATGATATTGTACGTAGTGAAAACCCAAACAGGAGGCAAAAGGAATGAACAGATCCCAAAGACATAATGTTCAGCAAACAGAGGAAGTTGCATCATTAGTTTTTCCATTAAAAGAAAATCTAGCCCTGGCTGGTGTGGCTCAGTGGGTTGAGTACCCACTTGCTAATCAAAGGGTCGCCGGTTCGATTCCCATCAGGGCACATGCCTGGGTTGTGGGCCAGGTCCCCAGTAGGGGATGCATGAGAGGCACCGCACATTGATGTTTCTCTCCACTTATTTCTCCCTCTCTTCCCCTCTCTAAAAATAAATAAATAAAATATTTTTAAAAAGAAAAGAAAATCTACCTGAGGTTAGCTCTTTATTTTACTACATTTTGTTGGGATTTGGGTTTTTCTCGCTGTTTCTGGGCTATATGGTTCTTTCCAAGCTATGTTGTAGCAATTGGAGAGTTTTAAGCATCATCTTCTCCTCGAACCCGTTGGAGGATCTAGGAGGAGCTTCTAGACTCCCAATGGACTCACCAACTAAGCTTAACCCAACTTGACTGCAGAGCCTTCTCAGATGCCCGGGAGAAGAAGATTCACCTGCCTCTCAACCTGCCTCAGAAGTACTAGCGAAGAACCTCAGTAACCTGACTCTCAACCCCAGGACCAAATCCCCTTCCCTTCTAACAGGATATTCATGCCAATAGCAGGACAGAGAGAAGAACTTATAGGGGCTTGTGCTGGGGCCGGGTCAGACCATAGTCTACAGGAAGAAGCATGGAGAAGCGCGTCTCTGCTCTGGAAAGGCCCGCAGGAGAGGAGCGCTGAGACTGAATCAAGATTCAGAAGACTTAGAGGGAGCTGCCATTAGTGCCTGTATCATGGAGATCCTTCCGATAATATTAGCGTGGAGAATAATTGTGACATGGAAGCAATTTAGCCGTAATCCTTATTCTTGTACTGTTTTCTTTCTCCTGGTTAATAATTTTAAGATCATTACGCAGCAGCCTGGGAAAGCTACTCTGTGCTAAGGCAAGGCCATGTACCAATAGTATGATAACCTGCAATATAAGTTCTGTGATGTCTTTTTTCTTGCATCTCTTTCTTGTCTACTCTGATATCAGAAACTTATAAGGCATCTATGTAGTTGGTATTTGAATGACTTCGAAATACTTCAGTTCCACTTTTTTACTTGACCCAAAGAAGGACTACTAAAGTCTTAACTAGTGCCAGTGTGTTTTAGAAGCCTGAAGCCAGTAAGACGAAGCCCAACATTGAGAATTAGAAACAAGTAATTTGTGTGGAAGGAAAAGGAAGGGAGGGTGGGAGAGAGGAAGGGAGGAGGAAGGAAGAGAAAACATCGGGTGGTTTGGCTAGAGCGTAATTAATGCAAAGTGCATTAACTAGATTCTCTAGTTTTCAAAATTTTGAATTGTAACAATTTTTATGTGCTATTTCAATTTTTGGTAGTAAATAAATGTGTGTATTAAAGATCTTATTAAAATTTGAGGCATATTTGAGTACCTTTAAAAAAAATCTAGCTATTGCCAGGTAGCTCAGTTGGTGAGAGCGTCATTCTGGTATACCAAGGCCACAGGGGCCCACAAATGCATAAATAAGTGGAACAACATAATCCCTGTTCCTCACTCTCTCTCTCTCTCTCTCTTTCTCCCCCCCTTCTTCTCTCTCTCTAAAAAATCAATTAATTTTTAAATCTATTAAAACAAGTTATTTGAAAAAGAAACATTACAAATAAAAGATGAGAGATCAAATTTCCAAAAAAAAAGAATATTATTTTTGATCTTGACACAAAGACATTAGTGTATATATTTAATACCCTTATTCTGACATTGTGCCAATTGCTCAAAATTGTAGCACATCGACACCATCATGTCAAGGGTGGCTTTTGACTTTTGGGGGAGTTTATGGTTGCCTTTCTTTTTCCTTACAACAGACAGCATGTTCATATATATATATTTATATATATTTATATATATGCAACATCTTCAATGTATCATGAATAGTCAAGGTCTTAACTGCACATGAATACTTTCCCACTTCTTGACACTGGCGCAGGCACCGCCTTCATGCCTGAACTCCTCCACTGGACCTTTGTCACTCAGGCCCTATCCCTGTCAGGCCGCCTTTTCCCTGTGTTCCAACAGGCCTGGGACACCAGCCTCTGGAGGCAGCACTCGTCCCTAGTGTCTGAGTTCCTCGGCCTGGCATTAGAAGCTGCACATGATGCATCCCCTCCCTCCTTTAAAAAAGCCTATCATTGACCCGAGCTGAATGTGTACCAGGAATGGAGGCACCGTGACATGTGTGGTTGTTTTTTTTAAAAATATTTTATTTGTTTATTTTTAGAGAGAGAGGAAGGAGAGAGGGAGAAAAACATCAATGTGTGGCTGCCTCTTGCACACCCCTTGCTGGGGACCTGGCCCAGCAACCCAGGCATGTGCCCTGACTGGGAAACGAACAGGCAACCCTTTGGTTTGCAGGCTGGCGCTCCGTCCACTGAGTCACATCAGCCGGGGGTGTGACAAGGGTTTTATAACTGGCTGTGTTGCCTGCATTTTATTTTTTTAAAACTTTTTTTTTTTTTTTTTTTTTGGAAAGAAGAACAAGTATATATAGTTTGGTCTTCTCTCTTCTAGTCTTTTCCACTTAAAAAAATTTTTTTTAAAGATTTTATTTCTTTACCCCCAATAGGGCGCGAGTGAGGGGCAACCACACATTGATGTTTCTTTCCCTCTCTTTCTCCCTCCCTTCCCCTCTCTCTAAAAATAAATAAATAATATTTATCTACAAGATTTTATTTATTTATTTTTAGAGAGAGGGGAGGGGAGGGAGAAAGAGAGAGAGAGAGGAACATCATTGTGCGAGAGATACATTGGTTGGTTGCCTATCGCATGCCCCCAACCATAGACCTGGCCTGCAAGCCAGATATGTACCCTGACTGGGAATCGAACCAGCGAGCTTTTGGTGCGCCTCAGTCCACGTAGCCACACCAGCCAGAGCTAAACACTTTTTCAATCCTCACCCAAGGAGAGAGAAAGAGAGAGAGAAACACTAAGAGAAACTTAGTGTTTCAGTATGACACTCCAACTAACAGAGCCACCTGGCCAGGGCTTGCCTCCTGAAAACTTGAGACAGAAAACTAGGCTCAAGGAGGAGGTCACCGGTCTGAGGTCACACACTGATAAGTGGCACAGCCAGAGCTTAACTCCCCAGCTCTAAATTGCAACCATGAATTCTCTCTGCCTCTATGGCCCCCATTAAGGAAGATGGAAGATGTCCTTCTCCCACCTGCCGGGATGGGGGGACTCTGCGTGGACCTGGCCAACCTCAGAGAATAGCTGGTTGGGCACCACTCGCAGCCCCCAGCCCTCCTCCCTTCGGGAGCCAGATGGGAAGGGTCTGGGAATCAGGAATCACCGGGTAGCTCTGAGGACCAAAGGTCAGACAGGGATTTCCTGCCTACCCCTGGGAACTTCCTCCTTCCCTACACAACTTCTGCCTCCTTGGTGGACACCACCCTGGAGTCCCCCTCCCCACCATCAACACCCCCCACTCCATTACGCTGGCCAATGGGGGATGGGTCCCCTGCAGCTGCCTTCACCCTGCCGTACCCCCACCAGGCAGTGAACAGCGACTGCCACCCAAATAAGGTCCACCCTCCTTGCCTTCTCCTGTCCCTTTCTCCTCGACTCTGTCCCTCCTTCCTGCCACCCTTGACCCCACGGGCCTGGGGGCTGTGTCCCTCTCCGTCTCCCCAGGCCTGAGGGCCCCTTCCAGCTGGGGCTGGCGTGGATGCCTCTTGGAAGGGCCTGGCACCACCCAGCGTGGAGGGTTTCTCTGATGCTCCTGGTTCTGGGGTGATAACCAGATAGGAGGGCGCACCCAGAACTCTTTGCTCCTTGGTTCCAAAATCTCCTCCATGCCCACCTGGGGGTGACCCCCACCTATCTGGCACTTCCTGTTCACCATCTCACGGAGCCCCAAAATAGTGCTTCCAGCAGGAAGCGATAGTAATAACAACAACAGCTTCCCCCTGCAGCCCTGTGACCGGGCGCCACGCACACCGTCCTGCCTGTCTCAGACGGGAGAGCTGAAGCACAGACAGAAGAAGCCCCTCCCATGAGCTCACACAAGCCAAACCAGCTCTCCCTCGGCTCCACGTTCATCGCTGCTTGTGCTGCTGCTCCCAGGGCATTTATTAAGCACCTATGTGAGCCGGGACTGGGGAGGATGACAACTTGGGGAGTCCATTCCACCACCATCCACGGATCAGCTCTCTGCAGAATTCAGCCCATTTAATTGACACGCCCTGTGCGGTGGGCACGGGTCTCTAGCCAACCCGCTGGGAGGTGAGCGAACTCGGTGAACTAACAGCTTAAGGCCCAGGGCCGGTCCCTCTTCCTCCCTGTGCTGTGCCTCAGTTTTCCTCCTCAGCACGACAGGGACGCTGACGTGACTAATATGCTGCAAGTGCTGAAAAGAGCGTCTAGCACAGAGCAGGAGCAAGTGAAGAAACTGAGGCTCAGAGAGGCTGAGGAAGCCCAGTCACCCAGTTGGTGCCCACCCACTGTTATTCAGAGAGGCCAGCCAGGCCTTGGCTCCTCCCACACTGCCCCCGCCCTCCCGCCACACCCTCCCTTCACAGCTTGGGTGGGAGTGTTGAGATAACCCACTGCTCCCTGTTTCCTCCTGGCCAGGAAGGAGCCAGGCAGAGGAAGTATTAAGAGTAATATAAACACTCCCCCCTGTGGGCGGCAGGGTCCAGAAGGGGCACAGCCTCTACCCAGAGCGGAGCAGCCAGCGGAGCAGCACCAGCGCACCAGGCAGCAGCCCCGGGAGGAGATGGGCCTCGCTGTGGAGCACGGAGGGCCCTACTCACGGGCGGGGGCCAGCTCTCAGGGCTGCTGGTATTATTTGCGCTACTTCTTCCTCTTTGTCTCACTCATCCAGTTCCTCATCATCCTGGGCCTGGTCCTCTTCATGGTCTACGGCAACGTGCACGTGAGCACCGAGGCCAACCTGCAGGCCGCCGAGCGCCGGGCTGATGGCCTGTACAGCCAGGTCGTGGGGCTCTCGGGCAGCCAGGCCAACCTGTCCAAGGAGCTCAACCTCACCACCCAGGCCAAGGACACCATCATGCGGATGCTGCTGGGCACCCGCCGGGACCTGGACCGGATCAACGCCAGCTTTCGCCAGTGCCAGGCCGACCGGGTAAGGCCAAGGGCCGGACACTGGCCCTGGTGACCCCAGGAAAGTCACCTCACCTCTCTGAGCTTCAGTTTCCCCACGCATGAGATGGGGAGGCACAGACCCTACATTTTGCATGAGGAGCCCTAGTACATCAGCGATGCACGTTTTGTCTATACAAGTCTATCCCATGCAATATTTGGGATATGCTTAAAAAAAAAAAAGCACCCACACTATTCATTATCTATCTGGAATTCCAGTGTAACTGGGCATCAGACCTGAGATTTATATTCAAAAAGTGCCCGGAATATGCCAGCTGCAATATACTGCACGCAAAAATTGACTCAGTAAAAACTCTGAACTTTCGGTTCCGTCTTAGTGATAAGTATGAATGGCTAATATTTGCCTTACGCTAGTGTCCGCTTTAGAAATACCATCTCATGGTTGATGCCCACGAGGCAGGGAGAAACTCAACCCTTTTGAAGATGGGGAAATGCAGGCTTGAGGAGGCAGCTTTCCCTAGATGGCCCCCAGGAAAAAGTCCCAGCGGCGCACACAGGGATCTCACGGGGACTCTCACCCCTCACATTCATGTCACACTCGCTGGGCAATCGCCCGTGTTCCCTCGCACACATGCCACACGTGCGCCTTGTGGAGGTTTTGGTGCCAGAGACACTGAGGAGGGGGCTCTCCACTTGGGCCTTGGCTGGGATGGGGAGGAAGGCTGGGTGGGGATAGTCTAGAATTTTCCCACAGGAGGGGTCCTGGCTGGCTCGGGTGGAAGAGGGGGTGGGGGGAAGGGTAAACCTCTGCTGGATCCTCCGACCACCCAGCCCTCCTCACTGGACAGAAAGACCCCCTCAGAAGTGCCCCAGGAAGGGCCATGCCTCCCCTTCTCTGGCCCCAGGGCAGAGCTTATCTCCCTCAGACTCCCAAATGGCTTCAGGTGCCCGTCAGACCCCCAGAATTGGGGGGGAGTCCCTCCTCAGACCGCAGAGCAGACTGGCCCCCCTCATACTCTCAGAGCAGGGCGGGTCTCCCCTCAGGCTCTCAGGGAAGAAGGGCTCCCCATCAGACCCTCAAATGGGGTGCATCCTCCCTCAGACCCCAGAGCAGGGCGGGTCCCCGCTTGGACAGACCCCTATCATGGGCACATGCCCCTCAGACTCAAGGGCAGGGCTGTTACTTCCTCAAGCCGCGCCCCGCTCCCCGGTTGGGGTGGGCTCCTCAGTTGTCTCATTTCCTGGGAATTTGGATCGTCCAGGACACACACTGCCGCCCCCGCCCGCCGAGGAGTCATCAGGAGGGAATCAGGGTCATAAAGTACTAGACACGTGCACGTGCCCCAGGATTCTGACTCTGCCACAGAAGATCAGAAATCTAAGAATCTAGATCTTCACAACTTTAAATTTTGAAAACCATGCTTTGATTCCCTTTGAGTCGACAAATTCCTCTGGGTTGGAACCCCTCGGGGTTTTCTGCTGGGGCAGCCCTGGATCCCACGCCCCCGCCCCAGAGGGAGGGGGCTGGTGGCTGCGCCGCAGCCGCTGGGCCCGCCCCGGCTGCCCGGCGGCTGCCCCAGTGTCTGATGGCAGCAGATGTGAACCTTGCTCTTTCCCCAATTCTATCTGTGCTAAGAAACACGCTTTTTCCTAAATTTTGTGCAAAGGCGACTGCACTTCTGGTCCTGAGAGCCTGGATGAGAAAGGAGAAGTGAACTCAGTGATATGTTTTTTTTTAGGGTCTGCTCACTGCCATGGTGTCAAGGCGCCAGGACCCTGACCCAGGATGTAGTCAGACATCGCGGGGCCCCTTTTGACACTTGTTCTAAACGGATCTAGCCTCTTTCTCACTTTGCGTTTGGCTCCAACTCACTCTGTCTGCCCCTGCAGCCCCCTTCCCCTTCCGTGGCTGAGGTGTGTAAAAGCAGAAGTAACTGAAGCTTCCAGAGCGCCCTCTGTGCCTCCTGAACCCGAGGCACTAGCACAGGCCCAGCTTCCTCAGGACAAGGAGTGACAGAAGGACAAGCCGTCTGCAGTCTCCATATATTTTCTTGTTGAATTTCTACAGAGGGCTCTGTTCCAAAGTTTGGAAGTCATGGCCTTTGTTGAATCGTAGACGCTTAATTCACGTGCCATATAATTGACCCATTTAAAAGGTACAGTTCGGTGATTTTTAGTCCATTCACAGAGCTGTGCAACCATCACCGCAAATAATTTTAGGCTGTTTTTCATCACCCTGAAAGGAAACCCTGTCCCCATTAGCAGACGCTCCGCACTCCTCCCTCCCTACCCCCAGCCTCTGGGAACCATGAATCTGCTTTCTATCTCTTATGGATTTGCTTATTCTAGACATTTTTCCTAAATAGAATTGACACTATGTGGCCTTTTGTCACTGACTTTTGTTACTCAGCATCATGTTTTCAAGGTTCATCCTGGTTGAAGCCTGTGTCAGAGCTTCCTTCTTTTTCTTGCCGAACTGTATTCATTGTAAGAGCTTTGCCTACACAGCAGCCGGGCCCTCATGACCTGGGCAAAGCTAGGCCATGGGGGTGCTCGATGTGGGGCCCGGATCTGGGGTCCGGAGGGTCTGGGCAGCCCGGGGCCTAGGGGCCCACAGGCCCCTCTGAACTCTGTCCTCTGTGCCGCCCGGGCAGGTGGTCTACGTGAACAACCAGAGGTACATGGTTGCCATTATCCTGAGCGAGAAACAGTGCCAAGAACAACTCAAGGAGACTGAAAAGAGCTACAACAGTGAGTGGTCTGGGCAGCGGGGAGACAGGGTGGTGGCCTCCCCGTCCACTTCCTTGACAGCCCCCAACTTTCCTGAGTCCTGTCATCCTGTGCCTTTAGCCTCGCTTATCCTGCTGAACCAGAAGGCCAAGATGCTGGAGGTGGAGCTGGCCAAGGAGAAGGCTGTGTGCACCAAAGACAAGGAGGGCTTGGCGCTGAGCAAGCGGGTGGTGGAGGAGCACCTGGCTGACTGCAGCAAGGCGCAGGAGCAGCTGCGGCAGGAGCGACAGCTAGCCGTGGACCGGCTGCAGAAGGTGCAGGCCCTCTGTCTCCCACTGGAAAAGGACAAGTTTGAGGCGGACCTGCGCAACATCTGGAAGGACTCGCTTATCCCGCGCTCCCTCGAATCAATAGGCTACACGCCGTACCATCCCCTCAGCATGGATTTGGCCTCCATACGGAGAACCTGCGACCACATGCCTACCCTGATGAGCGCCAAAGTGGAGGAGCTGGCCCGGAGCCTGCGGTCTGGCATTGAGCGTGTGGCCCGCGAGAACTCAGACCTCCAGCGCCAGAAGCTGGAGGTCGAGCAGAGCCTGCGGGCCACTCAGGAGGCCAAGGAGAAGGTGGAAAGGGAAGCCCAGGCCGGGGAGGCCAAGCTCCAGGCCGAGTGCGCCAAGCAGACCCAGCTAGCCCTGGAGGACAAGGCAACGCTGCGGAAGGAGCGAGACAACCTGGCCAAGGAGCTGGATGAGAGGAAGCGGGAGATCGAGCAGCTCAAGATGCAGCTTGAAGTCAGAAACTCGGCCCTGGACACCTGCATAAAGGCCCAGGTAGGCTGGTGGCCCTGGGATCAGGGGGCATTAGGGTTGGGCCTAGAGGCCAAACTGGTGGTGATGCTTAACGTGGGTTTGAGGTTGGTTTGTGTTGGGGTTAGTTGGGACTCACCTGAGAATTTCATTGACATTAGTTAGGATAGGGGCCAGGTTTGGAATGGGACCAACACTAGGGGAGAGTGTGCGGTTAAGGCTGGGGTCGGAGGTAGGGTGGCTGCTGGGTCCAGGGTTGAGTGAGGGGAAAATCTAGAACAGAAGGTGCTCTGTGATCAGGCTGAGTTGAGGCATTAACGGTGGACTTAAAATTTAAGGTAGGATCACACATAGGTGGCTATTGAGTATACAGTTGATTTAAGGATTATGGTTATGTATTCATGTAGGATTTTATTGGCATTAAGATTGGGGTGGAGTTTGAAATAGTGAACGACACTGAGAAAGGGTTAAGGATTGGTGGTGAGTTTACGGCAGCTGGGTGGGCCTCAGCATTGGTTTAGGGTGAAGATTAGGGACTCGCTGAGTTCGGTGTCAGGGTTGGGAATTCTTTGAGTTGAATCAAAAGATCAGGTGGCAATAGGTTAGGGCTGTGAGTGGCACTGGGGTCACAGTGAGGGTTAAGGCAAGTCTAGAGAAAGGCTTGCTTGATGCGGATGTTGAATGTGTGTTTAAAGCTGGGTCAAGGTGAGTTCTAGGTGACTGCCGCGTCTAGAATTGGTTTGGGTTAAGATTAGGGTTCTACCTCATTAGTCTTAGAATTGCGATTGAGTTTGGGGTTTGGATTACCTGAAAAGGTTAGAAGTTGGGTCCGGTGTTGCGTGCAGGGTGGCTGTTGGGTCTAGGGTTGGGCGAGGAGTGAATGTGGATGTCAGTGGCTTTGGGGCTGGGCTGAGGCACTGAAACTGGAGTTGAGGCTCAGGTGGGGAGTAGGTGGCTGCTGGGCCTACAGATGATCAGAAGTTCAGGGCCAAGAGTGGATTTAGGGTTCCATGGGCATTAGGTGCAGCAGGGGCTGACAGAGACCGTAGGTTAGGAGTTGAAGTTGCGTTCGGTTTAGGGCAGCTGGTTGGGAGCTGAGTCGGGCTGGCACTGGAATATATTTCAGGTGAAGAATTAAGTGACACCGGTTAGGATGGGGATACATTGGGGTTGAGGTGAGGCTCAAGGCTGGATTTAGAACAGAAGCTGTGTGGATGCCGACCTTGAGGTGGGGCTGGGTTGGGGCTCTGTTTCAGGTAGAGGCTGGGGTGTCTAAGTAGAGTTAGGTTGGAGTGCGACCTTGGGGATGTGCTTGTGGGTGGCCACGGTGGGTCCCGGGGCTGAGGTGGGGGCAACGGCATTGGGCGTGGATTTTTCACAGCGTGGATCTAGGTGATGGGTTGGGGCCAGGATTAGATGTAAAGCTACATCAAATTGTGTTTGTCATTGGGATTGTGTTTACGTTAGAGTTTAATTCAAATAAAGGCTCCATTTTCACGTTGGGATCAGATTTTAGGGAACTGAGTTCAGAACTGGTTTTGGATTTCAGGTTTCGGAGGATTGGCTCAAGGGTGTTTGAGGCATGGCATTAAGAATTGGGGTCCAGGGATTTACAGAGTGGGTTGGCTTCGATCTGAAGGGGGGCTGGGTTGGGTGGATGGACTCAGCGGGGGTCGTGGCAGGCTAGCCTTGCAGAGTGGGGTCTCTGGGGATCTGCCGAGTAAAGCCAGTCCCTGGTGTCCCCAGTTGTGTGAGGGCAAGTGGGCATAGGCGTTGATTATTCTTCCATTAGCATCTGTGTCCCCCATGAGCACCTGTCCATTTCTCCACCTTGGGACAACCTCACAGCCGGTCTCCAAGGGCATGAAGGGACAGGAATCTCCCTGGCACTCGGGTTCAGGGGTCTCAGCGTCTACCAACCTCCCTCTATCCTTCTTCTTGCAGTCACAGATAGGGCCTGTGCCAAGACCTGTTGGACCCGCCCCGAACCCCCCGCCCATCGGTGAGTGAGGGCAGAACCAGGAAGGGGGGCTGCTGCCTATCCCTAGGCCAGGGGAAGGGGCTCCTAAGGCCGCAGGTTGGGCCTAACCCCCTCTCTCGGCAGACCCGGCTGGCCTGGAGGAATTCAAGAAGAAGATCCTGGAGTCCCAGCAGCTCCCTGCAGGCAACACAGCCATATCCAGGTGAGGCGCCCGGCAGGCTGAGGTGTTCAGTCTCAGTGCTTTCGTCTCAGGTCTAGGGGTTGGGGGAGGCTCAGCTCACACTCACTGCTTTCTTAATTGAGTGCTCGCTGTGTGCCAGGCCTTATGTGGGGCCCTGAGGACACAGCAGTGACCAAGATGCGCGCAGTTCCGTTCATAAACCTCTGAGTGGTGCACGAGACAGACAGTGATGGAGCCGTGCTGCGAAGAGTGACCAAGAGCCCACAACCTTAGGTTCTCAGTGTGAGCTTGGCACAGGTCTAAGCACTCGGCGCTATTAACTCGTTCAGCCTAGCAGTTGGTGAGCTGCTCTTCCTCCCACTTTCTGGGTGAAGAGCGAGGCGCAGAGGGGTGTGCACCACGCTGCAGGTAACCCAGCTGGGGAGGAGCGGGCTGGGCGTGAGCCCAGGCGATCAGGCTTCAGGCAGGCAGGGGAGCACCTCGGTGGGCAGGGGACCCCTGAACTGGAAGGCGGGCAGGAGCAGGCCCGGGGAGGGCAGGCCAGCAGCTCTCCAGGCAGCATGAATAGCCGGGGAGAAGGTCCAGTGGCCTGGACCGGGGTGGGGGAGGGCGGCCGCGGTGGAGGCAGGAAAGGAGGGAGAGCAGTATGTGAGTGCGACCTTGGGCCCTAGCTCCACCCCTCACTTTCTAATTCTACAAAAATGGGGGCCTCTGAAATCAAGGTCATGGGAACGCATTGCAACAGTAAAGTGCCATCCAGCAAAGGCTGGGGGCCTTGGCAGGGGATCTCAAGGGCGGCTGGCGCACGCTCAGGTCACGGCTCCGTGCCGTGGCCCTCCTCCCCGCCCCTCAGGGCCGCCAGCCCAGGAGCCCCCCATGCTCCCCCTGAGGTAGAGGCCACACTCCCCGTCAGTAACACACCGCTGGCCTAGGCCCCGGGGATCCTCAATCCCATTTGCCGTTTGGGACCTGAGGTCCAGGGAGGCACCGAGATTTCAAGTCAGATCCCTCGGACCCCAAAGCCTGAGGTTTCCCAACCAGACTATTGTCCACCTGAGTCTGTTTCAAACTCAGGGTGCTCAGTGCGGGCCTTGGGTCCAGAGGTCCGTCCTCAAGAGCCCAGCGTTCACCACAAGTGCCTCCCTCTCCACTACACACCCCCTCCAACAGGAGCTCGCCCGTTGAGGGACTGGTCTCCTCGCTCCGGAGGGCTCTGCCTGAGCAACACCCCTCAGCCTCAGGCGGCCTGCAGAGAGCCGGGCAAGAGGGCCCGGAGAAGCCCCTGATCAGAGCAGATAGGTTTCCTTTCCCCATCTTGGCCTGGAGCCATCGTGGGAGGAAGGAGGTTCTATTATTATCCCATTGCTCAGAGAGGGAACTGAGGCCCCAGGGAAGGGATCGGCCCAGGTGTCATGCGTCAGCAAGTCAGGGTGGAGCCAGGCCTGTCCGGGTCCCAGCTGAGACCGGGGAAGCTCTTGACATTGTTTACCCCAAGTGTTGGCCCCCAGCTGAGAGAACAATGCCCTCTTAGGCCTGGGCCCCCCCTGCTTCTCTCTGCATGTTCGCAGGAAGGGCCTCTGGCACACTGGGCTCCAGCCTTGACTATCCTCCCCTTGAGGAAGGGGCCGGAGATAAAGCAGGCCAGGACCATCCGCTTTGGGTTCAAGTCCCGACTTGGCCGGTCAGTGGGTAACCGCCAGTGATTCACCGGCCAGAGAATCACAATGTCCACGTTTTAGGTACGCCCCATCAGGGGCCAGGTCTGCGGTCCAGCGTCGGATCGCCCACCCCACAACCTAGGAGCTGGTTTCCTTCTCAGTCTGATTCCCCTGCACCTGGAGAAAATCCCCCCTGGCGCTAACTGGCCCTGCGGCCTCCCACGCATGTACCGCTCTCCTGTGTTCACTAAGCGAGGGCAGACCCAGGGCCCAGCATTTCTAGGGCTTGAGCACAAGGTCTTGCTTCTTAATTGCACATTTTAAGGGTCATTTTCTATTAATGGCGAGTTCATGAGCTTTCCTATGCTTGGTAAGACTGGGTGTCCGCCGGCGGTCAATTTAATGAATTTAAAGAAAACACGGTTGAGATGAAGATATGTTAAGAAAATATTGGCTTAGGGGCTACACGGCTGGAGGTAGAAAAGTCACAATGTGGAAGGTCAAAGACAGGAGTTCAGCCCTGGTTTCAGGCCAGGCACACGGGGGCGGGGGCGGGGGGGGGGCGGGGGCGTCCCTGGAGTTTGCTGCCATCGCAATTACGATTTGTTTGTTCATTCATCCCGTATTTCTTGAACCACCGCTGGGTGCCAGACACAGGCAGGAATGAAGTGCAGAAACTCACGCCCTGTGGGGCTCACATTCTCTGTGAGGAGACATCTGTGGGGAGATGGATAATAAACCAGACGAATGAGTCGTTATAAGGCCCTTTGGTGATGGGTGAGAGAGGACAGGGATGGGAGAGTGTGGGCAAGTTAGAATTTTCCACGAAGGGGGGAGGGGGCAGGGCAGGCTTCCCTGAGAAGGCGACACTTGAGCAGGGGACTAAAGGAGGTGAGGGAGGAGCCACGGGGGTGGGCGTTCCTAGGAAGAGGGCACCAGGCAGCTGCACAGTCTGTGCGAAGGCCCTGAGGCCAAGCCATGACTGGTGAGTTTGTGTGAGGAGGCTGATATGGCTGGAGCCAAGTGATCAAGGAAGGAGAGGGAGATCAAGGAGGTGACAAGGGAACAGATTAGGCAGGGCTCTGTGGTGAGGACACTGCTGTCAGCAGAGGAGGATGTGCCCTGATTCAGGGGTTAGCACCTTCTGGTCATGGTAGGGGCGAAGGTGGGAGCCAGGGATCAGCATGAAGGCGCCTGCACTGGTTCAGGTCAGAAGTCGGTGTTCAGGGGCCTCGGTCTGTGAAAAATGGCCAGGGGGTGACCCTTCCCTGTAGGCTGGCGGGCAGAAGTGAGGGAGGCACGCGTGTCAGACAGAGGCTGGAGCCAGGGAGGGTGAACCGGAGCCAGGGAAGGAACCAGGAACGTGAGGCTAGGGCCCCAGGGAAGAGCCAGGGAAGGAAGGGAGGGGGCCAGCGGAAGCAGACTTGGCCGTGGCCCCCTCCTCCCCCACCAGGAAACAGTCTCTGCGCCAACCCCTGACCCCTCACGAGAACCTTTGCCAGGTGGGGGGGGAGGGGCGGGCGGGGAAGGGCATTCCCAAAGGCAGCAGGACGGCTCCGCAGAGGGGGGTGGAGAGGAAGTGGGACAGAAGTCCTTGGGGTCTGGGGGGGCTGTGGCGGGGTTTGAGTCCCTGAGAGGAGGCCTGGTGGAGAAGAGGGGATAGCGCCTTGAAGTCCAGATCGAGAGGATCAGAGGATCAGGCTTTGTCCTGAGGGCACAGGGAGGGTGCGGGGTGGGGGGCTGGGGCAGCCTGGGGAGCAGATGAGTAGGGGCTGCTCATTAGGAAAAAACCCTCCTGGGAATGGATGTGTGTGGGGGTGGATGTGAACAGGGCAAACTCCCAGGAGCCCCAGGGCCTTAGGGGGCAAAGAGGAGAGCCAGGCAGACTGCAGCACAGGCGGGGCCCGCTGACCCTCAGCCTTTCCTTCCCGGTGACGGAGAGGCACACGTCTCCGAGCCACCATCCCAAAGGCGTTCCACAAGGAGGAGTCTATGGGGGTGAGGGGCAAGCCCTGAAGGAACCGAAGAGTCCTTGGTGGCATCAAGGGGCTGGGGCAGGAGGCAGGCCCGGGACAAGATTTGTCCATCTGTCTGTCTGATTGTCTGTTGTATTCCCATTTCCTTTCTGCCCTAGTGGCTGAGAAAGCTCCAGGCCCGAGGACAGAGGGGTGGCCCCGACTCACCAGCCTGCAGACCTGTTGCAGCGAGACGCCCGCAGCGTGCGACACAGCAAGGGCTGCAGTCAGGCGGCCTCCATGCTGACACACCATAGTGGGCACCCTTGGCCCGCACCCCATGCTCATCCTCCCCACACCCCTGGCAGACCCCCAGCGCTCTCACAGACCCGCACCCGTTCCGCACGGTCCCTCACCCACAGAGGCCACGGTGACAAGCCACGGAGACATGGTAGTATCATCACACAGACACGGTGACATGATGCGCACACCTCTGCCAAACCCTCACCCAACATCACAGCCCCAAACACGCGCAGGCCAAGGCGCCCACGGCATCCCCTCACGGCCCAGGGCCTCCTCCCCTCCCCCACTCCCGATTCCCTTATCTCCCCGACGCTTCCTCACCCACGGCACTTCGGGCCTGGCGAAGTGAGAACAGGAAGGCATTCACCGCCATCCCTGGGAGAGTTTCCAGGCCCTCCTTGCACGCCAGGGAGCATCTAGTCCAAGGGCGAATTAGCCCGCTGGCCCGTCATCGTGGCCAGCAAGGGACGGCTCCCTCACTCCCTGTCCCCCCTTACCCTGCCTGTGGCCCCTATAAAATGTTAGTGGCACTAAATAAATGTTATCGATCCCTTCAATGCCTCCAGAGTCATGATTTATACTTTGAAACGACATCACCTGGCCTTGAGAAAGGAAAACACTAGAAAGAAGATAACAGCTGGAAAACCCCTGCCCCAATGTCCCTGGGCCAGAAGACCCAGAGCGAACGTGGGGGAACTCCAGCTTCCCCCAAGGCCTGGGCAACTCTGTGTGGGAAGATACAGCAGTGTCGTCAATTTTGTGTTTCTTGAAGAGAGCAGATGTTCACCAAGCAGATTCTTAGAGACCAGATTATCCATTTGTAGCTTTCATTTTTCTAGATTTGCAAAGATTCCCCCAAGTCTTGACAACGTTTGCTGAGGTTACCGCAGCCTGTCGTGAATTGCAGGAACTCCTCCTTGCCAAAATTATTCCAGGAACAATGTCACAAAAGTCTCAGGCCATTTGTTTTGTTGTTTGTGGCAAGATGGGATGTCAGAAAGTTCACCAGTCTACTTTGGGAGCACTTCAACTTCATGATCTGGTAGCCAGGGAAAAGCACACTAGAGGAACACAGGAAAATCACATTGTACCCAGCAGACTGGTAAAAAAAGTTTAAAAGCCATTAATACCTACTGCTAGTGAGGATGTAAAAAGAAGGGGGCATTTTCCTACAGGACCGGTATAAATGAAAATCTTGTCATTTCTCTTCTGGAAATTGGTTTGGCAATATTTAGTAAAAGTAAAGACGTACCACCCCGGCCAGTGTGGCTCAGTTGGAGTGTCGGCCCGTAACTGGAAGGTTGTGGGTTTGATTCCTGGTCAGGGCACATACCTAGGTTGTGGGCTCAATCTACAGACCGGTGCCAGGGCGGGCCAGGGGGGAGGGAGAGGGCAACTAATCAATCCTTCTCTCTCATATCAGTATTTCTCTCTCACCCTTCCTCTCTCTCTAAAAACAGTGAAAAAAATTTCCTTGGGTGAGGATTAAAAAATATGCATATAAAGATGCACCAACCCTTTGACTCAGCCTCCCCATTCCTGGTGTCTTATCCCTGAAATGTAATAACTCCGAGGGGAAAAAAGCAAATGGTCACCAATGGAGAAACAAGCTAAAAACTGTGATCTAGAATCTCAGCTTGTACCACCCCCCCCCACCCGACCGACCTTGATTCCCTCCCAGTCCATCCCCCGGGACCCTGGACAGGGAGGGGGATGAGTCACGAGGAGCTGGGGCTGGCAACACACGCTTAGAGCAGGCAAGTCTGGAGGGACAAAGGAGCGATACTTCCTGGATACGGAAATGCGGGTGAGCGACAGCGGCTGCAGGAAACATTCGGCTGGGGCCCTGCCAAGTCAGGGCAGGGGGGTCAGCCAGGCCAGGCGCCCAGACAGACTAGTCTGGAGGCCCCAAGGAAGTGGGGACATCCCCGTGACCCTGAGCCTAGCGCCTGGGCAGCCTGAAGTCCCAGCCTGCTGACATGGGCCAGTCCCAGCAACTGTAAGACACCCGAGTTTGGGTCTGGAGCCGGACATCCCGGAATTAAATCTGGACTCAGTCCATCTCAGCCTCCATGTTCCCACCTGAGAAATGGTTGTGACAAAATCATTCTAAACTCTCTGGACACATGCGTACAGGTCTCTTACTCTTGGTTGGTCTCTCCCATCCAGAGCATCCCTGAATGTCCTCCCTCCAACCAGCCCCCTACTCAGTCCTCCGACACCTAGACCTCAGCCTCTGCCTCCGCCATGGCCCCCATGCTGGTCCAGAGGGACCTTTCCATTGTGGGATCTGACCACATGCCCCTTGTCACAGAGCTCCCCACTACCCTGGACACAACGTCCAGTTCTTCATCTCTCTTGTGCCCGCTTCCCCCATGCGCAATGGACTCTGGTCTCCAGCTGTCTTGGACATTTAATTCTCTGGTCAGTCACTAACATTTTTTTAATCCTCACTGGAGGATATGTTTACTGATTTTTAAAAAAGATTTTATTTATTTACTTTTAGAGAGAGGAGAAAGGAGGAGAGAAACATCACTGTACAGGAGACAGACATACTGATTGGTTGCCTCTCACACCCCCCTCAACTGGGGACCTGGCCCACAACCCAGGCATGTGCCGACTGGGAGTCGAATGGGCAACCTCTCAGTTTGCAGGCAAGCATTCAATCCACTGAACCACACCAGCCAGGGCTGTTTATTGATTTTTATTTAGAGAGAGAAAGAGAAATATCGATGTGAGAGAAACATTAATCAATTTCCTCCTGTAAACTACCTGACTGGGGATTGAACCTGCAACCTTTTGTTGTACAGGAAAAAGCTCCAACCAAGTAAGCCACCCAGCCAGGGCTACACTGACTTTGTCCCCCCTGAAGATTTTATTTATCTTAATTTTTAAAAAATTTTTTTCAATGCTTTTAAAAAGGTTTTATTTATTTAGGTTTTTAGAGGGGAAGGGAGAAAGAGGAGAGGAACATCAATGTGTGGTTGCCTCTTGCACGCCCCCTACTGGGGACCTGGCCTGCAACTGAGGCACGTGCCATATCTGGGAATCCAACAGGCGACACTTTGGTTTGCAAGATGGCCTGCAATCCCCTGAGCCACAGCCACACGAGCCAGGACTTTTTTTAAAAAGAATTTTTTAAAGATTTTTATTTATTTTTAGACAGAGGGGAAGGGAAAAGGGGAAACATCAATGCGTGGTTGCCTCTTGTGCACCCCAAGCATGTGCCCTGACTGGGAATCAACCCAGTGACCCTTTGGTTCGCAGGCCCACGCTCAATCCACCGAGCCACACCAGCCAGGGCTAGACTGACTCTTGTAATTTGCACTGTGCCCTCAGACTAGACTGCCTTTTCTTACCTGACAAATTCTTTTTCCTCTAAGACCCAGCCCCAAAGATCCCACCTCCAGGATGCCCCAAGTATAGCCCTTACGCTCTCTGGGGCCTCCCCAGCCCCATCCCTCACTCTTCCCAGCCCTGGTCCTATAGCTCTGATTCACCCCAGCTTGGTGGCTCTCCAGGGAGAGGGCAGAGACTGAGTACCAGTTGGGAGCAATTGGCAGACCCCCTCCCTGACCCTGTGGTCCAGCTGTCTGGTGACGTTCTGACTCTTTGGGGATTTCCTGTGACCTCTATAAATAACCCTCATGGCTGCTTCCCACAAATCACCTCACCCTTCTTGGAAGAAAGGGACTGTAGCCAAGGACCTCGGTCCAGCCATGTGCCAGGACCTAAGGGAAGGCAGGCGGGGGGCCCAGGCATCCTGCCCCGAGCGCGCCTCCCTCCCCACTGGATGCTGCCCATCTCTCCTGGGAGCCCTGCAGAAGCCCCAGGCCAGGACTTACGGACAGCCATGCCCACGAGACCCACATTATTGCTTTTCTTCTCTGGGCATCAATTCTTTTATGCAAAATGGACTCAGCTCTCTGCGTAACCCTTTCCATCCAGGAGCCCTCCTTTGAGGGGTGATTCCAGCTGCTGAATAAGCAAAGGAATCAACAAATAGTGACATATTGCAATAAAGTCTATGGAGATACGGGGTTGGGGGGAGTCCCCTTTAGTTGGATGGTGGGAGCCTCCTGAAGACCCTCTCATACCCTTTGTGGACGCTGGACACTTCCCAGCCTCTGCTTGCATGTCCCCTGGAATCTAAGAGCTTGTATCTTCAAACACTGGCGGTTGGTCCTGACTTGATTTGAGAATCAGTTTCTGCCTCTGGCAAGGTGAGTTGACTGTTCCTAAGTCAGGTGGGTGTGGAAGCCTGGATCCCTAGGACCTTAAAGGTCTTGAGCTCTGCACTTCGTTAGAGCAAGGCGCCCTCTGCTGGATCACCACCACCATAGCAGCCCCCATCTCAGATTCAAAGGCCTCACTGCCAGCCCTTCCTCTCCCAGGACTCACCTTGCCGCCTCTCTCCTCTCTCCCCCCTCCTCTCTCCCCCTCACTCGCTCTGCTCCAGCCACACTGGCCACTTTGCTATTCCTTGAACACATGGTGATGTCCCACCTCAGGACCTTTGCACATGCTGTGCCCTTTGCCTGGGACACTCACAAGCTCCCTCTACCTGGCTTCCTTCTCACCATTGAGATGTTAGTGCCTATTCCAGTCTGGTCTGCAGGGCATCTGGCCCACAGGTCCCTAACCAGGTCATGTCCCTTCATTGTAAGTTGACACAGCAGCCATCAGACCTCACTGGAGGAGCTAGGTCTCTAACGAGGGGAGAGGTGATGCCTGCATGTTTCTGTCCCTGTTCCCAGCACCCTGCACTGGGCCAGTTGCACAGAAGGCCCACAGTGGACTCAGATTAGAGCTGAACAGTCCTATGTACAAATACCGAAGCTGGGAGTCTCCAGCAACCAGCTACTACTCTGAGTCTGTTTCCTCATCTTTAGAACTGCCCACCACACTGTGCTGTTACAAAGATCCAGTAAAATGATGTGTACCATCCTAGACTATAGATGATGCCTGATAAATATTCACTAAGTTAGTAAACAAATGAATGGAAGAATCAGTGAAGACTAAGCTTGGAAAAGGAGTAGGCCCCCAGGATTTTTTAAGTCCCTTTTAAGACTCGAGAGACAAAATTTCAAGGTCAATACCAGAAAAGGAATGACAACTTGTAGAGCAACAAACAACACAATGTATGTAGAAAACACAAGACAAAACGGGTGCATCCACAAGTATACAGAGAAAGTTCTAGAAGGACACAAGTTATGCTGTGACACCAGTGGTAGTTGGGGGTGGGGAGGAGGATTTCCACATTTAAATGTTTCCAGATCACCTGAGTTTTTTTTTCTTTGGTATTTACAAAATAAATTAAAAACTATAAAACGAAGACCCCTCAGACCCTCCTACCCGACCCCTCGCTCCCACCAAACCTCCACTGCTACTCCTCCAGCATCAAGTGCCCAAAGAGACCTTTGTTCAGCCCTACTCCAGGGCCTGACCCCCAGCAAGCCCCTGTGAGGGAATGTGGCCAGCTAGAGCGTGGTCACCACCAGCAACAGGGAGCTCACTCACTGTTTTACAGTCAAGTTCTTCCCCTAGGAAATGAGAATTTACTTGGCCTAAGCTATTCCCAGATGCCTCAAGACTTCTGGGCATCCATCCAGCCTGGTCCCCTCACTTGCCCACGCAGAAGTCCCGGAAGATGATGTCTAGGATCTCCTCAGTGCCCCCTCCACTGGTGAGGCAGGCCAGGTGCCCCCGGGCGATCCGCAGAGCCTCGGCCGCCAAGGCGACATCTTTAGCTTGCTTGTAGTGGCCAAGGGCGTCCAGGCAGCCCTGGAGGTGATGCTGGTGCCTCGCCCTCGTCAGAAGCGGTGGGCCTGCAGACGGGTCCCCACACCTGCAAGACACAAAAAACATGGTCTCTCTTAACTTTGCAACCACCACTCACAGAGGGGATGGTCATACCCATTCTGCAGATATAGAAACTGAGCCTGTAGGCAGGTATGTGCCCAGAGCCATGGCTAATCCCCCAACTTGAACTTGGTGGAGGCTGTGGGGTGGTGCGGGGCGGGCAGGCGCAGCTCACACTGCAGTCAGCTCCTTCCTTAGTGCCTCCAGGAGACCGTCCAGCCCCTCCCCAGTCAGGCAGGACAGCAGCAGGTGGGAGGGCAGTTCAGGACTGAGGTCTGGGGCTCCCGGAGGTAGCAGGTCTGACTTGTTCAGCACCAGCAAGACGCGCTGGCTGTTCACATTGTGGCTCTGAGCTATTGCAGGGATGACAATCGTGTCCAGGAAGGTGCAGCTAGACGAAGAGGCCAGGTCAGAGGCATCCAGCACGGCCAGAATGAGGTCAGCCTGCTCCAGCCTGTGGGTGCAAGGAGAACCAAAAGAGGGGTGACCCCAGAGTAGAGCAATCACGGGCATTGGGCAGGGCAGAGCACCAAGCGGGGAGCAGGGGGTGGGGGCAAGGCAGAACACGTGGGTGAGGCCAAAATCTAAGGGCTGCCCTCCCCAAATCACAGAGTCCCCAGGTAATTTTCTGGTTCAAGAAGAAAAATAAATACATTTATTTAGATGAGGAAGAAGAGGAAGGGCCCCGTTTCCCTCTCCCACCACCCTGTCTGCCCACCTCTCACGGGCGCGCCGCACACCCTCCTGCTCCACGGGCCCCTCGCCCTCCCGCAACCCTGCTGTGTCGCTCAGGAGTGCTGGGAACCCAGCCAAGTCCAAAGGGGTTTCCAGCACGTCACGGGTGGTCCCCGGCTCCGGGGACACGATGGACACAGGCTTCTGGCCTGGGAAGGGGAAGAGGGTCAGGGAAGGGGAGATGGAGGTCAGTGAAGGCAAGGGGGCCCCTCTCCCAAGCTCCCGCACCTGGTTGGACAGAGCTTTCATCCCCCCTTCCTCCTTCCCTACAACTGAACAGCTCAGGCCCTGCCCCCTGCCCATCTTGCACGCACTGAGCAGGTTCACCAAGCTGCTCTTGCCCGCATTCGGGGGTCCAGTGACCACTACGTGTGCCCCTGAGCGGAGCCTCTGCCCGCGCCTGGCATCTCGAAGATGTGTGTTTAGTGCCACCTCCAGCTCCTGCACGTGGCTGTCAGCTGTGGATAGAGGAAAGCAGAGAGGAGGGAGTGAGGGGGCTTCTGGGGGCTGACATGCCAGGTAGCCCTGCCCGGACCCCAGGCAGACACACCTCGCTCCAGGACGCCCTCCTCCAGGTTCTCATCCTCCCCGAAGTCGATATAGGCCTCCATATGGGCCAGTGCCTGGGGGAGAGGAAGTATGAGGTGTGACCACCCAGAAGCCCATCCCCAAGCCCCCCAACTTGCCCAGGTCCAGCCCAACCTAAGGGGGCAGATTGGAGGCTCATGGACCAGAAGCTCTCATGCAGGGGATGGAGGTGGGGTCTCTGAGGCAGAAAATGGCCAATGGGGTAAATGGGGACTTGCCTTAGTGAGGGTCTCGGCCCAGCCACGGCAGAGATGACCGAGCTCCCCATCCAGCTGCCGCAGGGCTTGCCGTCGCTGCGCCTCGGTTTCCGCATGGATCAGATCTGCCAGCCCCTCCACCTCAGTCAGGCTCAGCTTCCCGTGGGCAAAGGCCCGCCTGGTGAACTCACCCGCCTCCGCAGGCCGCAGCCCTGGCACCCTGCCTGTGGGATGGTCCCAGGTACTGAGCCCCTGGCCCCTGGCCAAGCCCACTGACAGGGCCAGACCTCGAACCCAAGGCTGCAGACTCACCCAGGGCCTGCAGGACACCACTCACCACTGCCGGGCCTCCATGCACATGGAACTCGGCACAGTCCTCACCCGTGAAACTCTGGGGACCTAATGTGATGAGGACGAAGGAGGGCACAACGTGGGTAAACATCTGAAGGGGGTCAACTGGGCCATGGGGGCTACAGGAAGATGTTCAGGATCTGGAGACCCTCACCAGGAAACCAGAGCACTAAGGCACGGTCCAAGGGCTCCCCAGAGCGGGGGTCGATGAGCAGGCGCAGGCAGGCTCTGCGGGCCGGAGGCAAGTCCCCGGGAGCCGTTAAACTCCGGAGGGCGTGCCCGCTGGCGGGGCCGCTGGTCCGGATCACGGCAATGGCACAGCGGCCTTGGCCAGAGCTCAGCGCGAAAATGGTGGCCCCAGATCCGGGAGCCGGGGCGCTGCTGCCCTGACGCGTGCACGGTCTGGGAAAGAAGAGGAGAGAGTGGATCTTGGAGGCTCTGTCTCAGAGTAGGCAGGTGGATCAAAAGTTTGAAGGTCGAGAAATGCCCAAAGTGGAGACAGTCTCTGTGGCTAGGGGATGGAGATTGGAAGACCTGAGGCCAGAGGGTGACCCGATTGGGGACTCCAAGGCCAAGTGACCTATATGTGGGCTCTACGGCAGGGGGATGAATAGATCAGCTGGGAGCTTGGGAGAACGCGAAAGGTAGCTCTGCCTCGGGCAAGTGAGCCCCCACGCCCCAGGGAGAGGATTTGGGGCCAAAGCAGCGCCCCACGCTGTCACACCCCTTACCCTGGTCATCCCACCTGCAAGGCCCACGTGCCACCCGGGCTGCCAGGGTACAGAGACCGCGCCACATGGATTCTCAGCCAGCGACCAGCCTGTCTGCCCAACCTGGAGGATTAGAGTCCGTAAGTACGGAGTCCCGCCCACTCCACGGCACGTGTAAAGTGCCTAAGGGTTCTCGGCTACCATTGGCTGTCTTTAAAGAGGCACCCTCCACCCACTGAAGATCTTCGTTTCTATTGGCTGGTGCCAGGAAAAAAGGCAGGGGCTGAAGGCAGAGAGGTGCAACGAAGTGGCGTTCCCCATGGCAACACTAGACCAAACTTTTAGGATCCTAGATACCGGAAATGGGGTGAGAGGAATGCAGGCACGGGGCAGTAGGAATTAGAGAGGAGAGAGTTCGAGTCCTGTATTTTCTATCAGGCTACTCCGTAGCCTTATGTGAAGCAAGCGGCCCAGGGGGATGAGTTCCGGGTAAACCACACAGGGGCGCTGGGCAAATCTTGTCCAAACTTCTGGGAAGGTGCCTACTTGTTTTCCCGAACTCTCCAAGTCTTCGCTCCTCCTCCGCTTTCTCTCCTGCCTTTCCCTCGGCCTCGAATACCACGCCTCATTTGACAAATTCATCCTCAGGGCCTAACTCCAAGGTGGACTCCTGAAACCCCCAGCACAGCCCCCTTTCTCCCCTGCCCCACACCTGCTCCTGCAGAGCTGAATATTGTCTGTCTCTGGACCCCACAAAAGCCATGTTGAGTCTCGCGATTACTTTCAGGTTAACCCAGGACAGCGCAGGAGCGTGGATGAATAAAGAAGTGATGGTGGAATTCCTGGCGCCGACTGGGCGGGGTCTCGGGGCGCTTTCGCTTGGCCAATTCTCTGGTTCTTGGACGGAGCGGGCGGGCAGCGCACCTGCATTTCGGGAAGAATCATTTGGACAAGCCAGAGTTCTCATAATTCCCACGCCCAGCCCTACTCAATTTTGAAAATTGCAGAAGAGTGACGAACAATGATATTCGCTGTCTCCGAGGTGCTCTATCACAAGTATACATCAAGCGTCTACTATGTGCATTCTGAGAATCAGACAGGACCCCTGCCCTCCTTGGGCTGTAAGGGAGGAGGCAACTCAGGATGGGAAGGAGTATGGGTGCCAGACAAAATACAGGACGCCCAGTTAAATGTGAATTGCAGATAAGCAATAAATGACGTTATGTCCCATGTAATAGTTGGGACATGAGAAAAATTTATTCGTTTCTCTGAAATTCATATTTGTAAAAAGCAATATAAACTGAGTCACATTAAAGTGAAGTGGAAAAAATAAAGAAAAACAAAGAAACGAAACAAAAAATAAATAAAGTGAAAACTAAAACAACAGAAATAAATAAAATAAAATAGAGCCGCAGCTGCCATCCCAGCGAACTGCCTCGCATGTCTTATGCATCAAACCTTCGGAATGTTAACACAGGGCAAAATCTCCTTTGGACTGGGTCTAAGCAAACTTGTTTTCCAAACAACTGTTTGCAAAGATAACAAGAAAGATATTATGAGTACTAGTCTGAAATTTTAAAACACCGTTTAGAGTTAACATCACTGTTATGTTTATCTGCACCAATAGAAATGCCTTCCTGTTATTGATGTAATTGTTCTCTTCCCCTTTTTGATAAACACCCATTGCCTTTTTCTCCTAATCACAACACTATTTGGGCTTCTGCCCTAATCAGCCCATGCCAAATAGCTATTCTTATTGATCTCAAATAAATGCTTTTTGCCTCTCACTTTGAAAGGTTTTTTTGTTTTGTTTTGGTTTTTGGTTTTTGGGGTTTTTTTAGGTTAACATATCTAACTGGGAGGACTGGATTTCTATATGCTAAACTGGCAACTCTGTCCGGTCCTCTCTGAGGTTACATCCTGACGGATGCAGGAGGCAGAGAGAGTGAGAAAGGGCATGGGCTAAGGCCCTGATACAGGACCTGCTATAATTACTCACAAGCCTGCTGTGGTAGTTGAAGTTATTGTTACCCGGAATCTCCCCCGACCACGCCTCCCCCGCTCAAAGTCTGGCTGCAGTCAAGTCACGCCCATCTGATTCCAAACCCCCCCTTTCAGATGGGGAAACTCAGGTGGAGAATCCGGACCGGCGGTGACGAGACCCAGAATCTGACGCGGGCGGGGACAAGAAGGGCAATGCACCATTGGTGCGGGCGGGAACGAGCACCAGAGAGCGAGGTGGGCGGGCGAGAAAGAAACCCAGAAAACAAGTAGGGCGGAGTCGAGAGCCCGAGAACGACTTGCGCTCGGCCCGAGCAGGAGACTCAAGGTTCGGCGCGGGCGGGGACGAGAAGCAACGCTTGGGCACAAGGGGACGGCGGCCGGCGCGGGCGGGCGCGGCCTTTGTCTCCTCCTCTGGCGCGCTCCGCGGCTGCACTGGCCCCATGCGCCCGCGGCCCCCCGGCGCCCCGGCCGTCTGCAGTCCCTGATCTGTCCTACTCTGTCCTCGTCATGGCCGAAGCTACCTCCGGCTCTGGGGGCACGTCCCTAGAGGGTGAGCGCGGCAAGAGGCCCCCACCAGAGGGCGAGCCTGCAGCCCCGGCGTCCGGAGTTCTGGGTAGGTGTGCGGCGGCCGAATCAGTCAGGGTTGCAGGTGCCTGGGGTGCGCGCGGCGGCAGCACGGGGAGGGGAATCGGGGTCAGCTGTCTCCGACCTGGAGTCCAGTCGAGGAGCCGTCTCTTCCTGGCACTGCGGCTGCAACCAGGCGGGCGCGGCCAGGACGTTGCAGCGGGAGGGGGTCCCAGCGCAGAGACATGGACACGCCCCTCCAGACTTGAGGCTGAGCCCCATCTCGCCTTGGGCTACCGGGTCGCGGCCGGGCAGGGATGAGCTTGAGAGTTCCTCTTCCCAAAGTGTATAGAATCATACAGTTCTGGGTTCGAATCCCAGCTCTGCTCTGTGACCTTGGGCGCGTGACTTAAATACTTTGGACCTCAGTTTCCCCACCTGTGAAATGGAGGCAAGAACCACACCCAGCTGTGAGGACTCGCTGACATAATATGGTGAAGCGCTCAGGGCTGCGAGTGAGCGCCCTATCGATTGTGGTTTTGGAGGCGGAGCTGGGCCTCAAGAATGAGTAAGATTTGTAAGGCAGGGTCTGGGGAAATGGCATTCCTGGAGGAGGGCCCGCTGGTGCAAGGACTTGAAGGCAAGGAAACGAGCCAAGGCCAGAGCTCGAAGGGCCTTGAAAGCCAGGCTGAGTGCCCAGGAGCATTGGCGAGTGTGTGAGCCGGGGCAAGGGCTGGAGGCCAGGCTCCCAGTCCCATAGTGGCCTGACCCGGGCCTGGCCGGCCTGCCCCCAGATAAGCTTTTTGGGAAGCGGCTCCTGCAAGCGGGTCGATACCTGGTGTCCCACAAGGCGTGGATGAAGACTGTGCCCACGGAGAACTGCGATGTGCTGATGACCTTCCCAGGTACCTGTGCCCACCTGCCCAGTGCCCAGACGGGGCTCCCCTGAGTGGGAGTCTGTAAGAGGCCTCGGACCCTTCCTGGCGAGAGCCATCAGTCCCTGCGCCCCTTGGCAGATACAACAGATGACCACACACTGCTATGGCTGCTGAACCACATCCGCGTGGGCATCCCCGAGCTCATAGTGCAAGTCCGCCACCACCGCCACACGCGTGCCTACGCCTTCTTCGTCACCGCCACGTATGAGAGGCAAGTCCCTGTCCCTGGCCTCTTGCTTATCCTGCCGCCCAGCTCCCCGCCCTCCCAAGCACCAACTACAAGGTCCAGCTGCTCTGTGTTTGACTCAGGCGGCTAGCTGGTGCACCATCCCTGTCTCTACGATGGTGAGCCAGGGCCTCCCTGTAATCCACCTTCTCTGCCCTCCCGAAGCCTACTCCGAGGGGCTGACGAGCTGGGTCTGCGTAAAGCAGTGAAGGCCGAGTTTGGCGGGGGTACCCGCAGCTTCTCCTGCGAGGAGGACTTTATCTACGAGAATGTGGAGAGTGAGCTACACTTCTTCACTTCCCAGGTGCGCAGGCTCAGGCCCCAGCCCCCAGTGCACATCCCGCACATCCCTACTCCTTCCCTACTCCTTCCCTAGTCTGCAGGCGTTACGCGCCGTGCTCACGCCCTGTCTCCTGCAGGAGCGCCAGAGCATCATCCGCTTCTGGCTTCAGAACCTGCGTGCCAAGCAGGGTGAGGCCCTGCACAACGTGCGTTTCCTGGAGGACCAGCCAATCAGTGAGTGAGGCGGGGCCCGCCCTGCACGTGTGGGGAGTTGGGTGGGTTTCTTAGAGGACAGCCTATCAGGGCAGGAGGGCGGGACCTAGATCCAACAATTGAGCTAGTGAAGAATTGGGTGGAGCCTGGAACCAGATCAATCACTGAGTTGGAGGGGAGGGGCGTTGGCCTTAGCAAAGGGTGGGCTTATTCCGCAGGAGGCAGGTCCACAAGAACTATTTCTGAGTCTGGGATAAGGTAGAGGCAGGACCATGGACAGCATTCTTGTATATTGTGCTGCTGTGCGGCCCTGGGCCTCAGTTTCCCCCCCTGGAAACCAGACGCTGCAAGTTCCCCTTCTGAAGCCAACTTTGCTCCATCCCTCAGATATTCAGAGCAATGAACCGAGGCCAGTGGCCTTACTTAAGAACATGGTTCCCCACTGGGACCCCACCCTTCTAGGCTTCCTGTACCCTTTCCCGCCTGTGCCTGTGCCTGCACCTCCCAAATTCTAAAGGAGAACAAGATATTCCACTCACCCAGAACTCCTCCCCTGGGAAGAGCCTCTGCAGGTTTAAGAGCAGGCAAAAAGTTGTGGCTTGGGTTTCAGCCAAGGGGGACTGGCCAGGCTAGGAAGAGGCAGAGGGGCAAGGGTCCCCTATTCTTGTCCCCTAACAGTCCCTGAGCTGGCGGCCCGTGGGATCATCCAGCAGGTGTTCCCGATCCACGAGCAGCGCATCCTGAACCGCCTTATGAAGTCATGGGTACAGGCCGTGTGTGAAAACCAGCCTTTAGGTGTGGCCTGCGCCAGGGGGTGTGCAGGGGTCCCAGGTGGAGGGCTGGGGTGACTGGAAACCCCTTCCCACCCACCCACTCCTGCAGATGAGATCTGCGACTATTTTGGCGTGAAGATTGCCATGTATTTTGCCTGGCTGGGCTTCTACACATCGGCGATGGTGTACCCAGCCGTCTTCGGCTCTGTCCTGTACACATTCACGGAGGCCGATCAGGTGCCGGGCATGGGCCAGGTGTGGGCTGGGGCACCTCTGTCACCTTCCTCCCTGGGCTGGGCTGGACAACAGCTGAACCCTCCTCTGCCACCCCCAGACAAGCCAGGATGTATCCTGCGTGGTCTTTGCCCTGTTCAATGTGGTCTGGTCAACGTTATTCTTGGAGGAGTGGAAACGGAGGGGGGCAGAGCTGGCCTACAAGTGGGGGACGCTGGACTCACCAGGGGAAGCCATGGAGGAGCCACGGCCCCAGTTCAGGGTCAGTCAGAGGTCGCCGAGTCCAAGGACTCCAAGAATGGGGGTTGGAAGCAGGGAGCACTGTAGGAACCGACAAGAGGTGTGAAGTCCAGCCGTAGCGTCACAAAGGGTGTGCCAAGGATGGAGGCCCTGCGTGCTCAGAGGAGGAGGGTGGGAAATCGGAATTCAGAGATGGGGAGTGGTGGATCAGGTGGGGGCACTGGGAAAGCAAAGTCGTGGTGGAGGGAAATTGCCTTCAGAAGATTCGTAAGGGTGGGGGGGCCAGGGGTAGCCCCTCCTCCTCAAGCTGGGCCTAGCGCCTGCCCTCCCCCAGGGCGTGCGACGTATCAGCCCAGTGACACGCGCCGAGGAGTTCTACTATCCGCCCTGGAAGCGGCTGCTCTTCCAGCTGTTTGTGAGTGTTCCCTTGTGTCTCACCTGCCTGGCCTGCGTGTTCCTGCTCATGCTCGGCTGCTTCCAGCTGCAGGTGATCTCTGGCCCTCGGCCCTGGCCCCAGCCTGGACCTGGTGACCATCTGCCCAGGTCCAGCCTGAGCTGAGCCCAGCTGCCAGGGTGACCCTTGAACCTCCTGCCTCTGTAGGAGCTGGTGCTGAGTGTGAAGGGGCTGCCCCGTCTTGCTCGGTTCCTGCCCAAGGTTGTGCTGGCCCTGCTGGTTAGCGTAAGCGCTGAGGGCTACAAGAAGCTCGCCATATGGCTCAACGACATGGGTATGCCCTTTGAGGGGGAGGTCCCTGCTGCCCAGCCCCTGGGGAGGAAGGTCCCCAGTGCCCACAGGAAGTCCAGGCCTTCCCCTCACTCGCCCCCTCGGCCCCCAGAGAATTACCGGCTGGAGAGCGCCTATGAGAAGCACCTCATCATCAAGGTGGTTCTGGTGAGTGGCAGCCGGCAGGTGGGCACGGCAGGACTCCTGGAGACAGGGGGCGGCAGGATGACCACCCGCCTGCTTCCCGCAGTTCCAGTTTGTCAATTCCTACCTGAGCCTCTTCTACATTGGCTTCTACCTCAAGGACATGGAGCGCCTAAAAGAGGTGAGACCCTGGCCCGAGGCAGTGCCCCCCGCCTCCCCCTGGTGGCCAGCGGGGTGGGGGGTGAGGGGCCGGGCCTGGCCCAAGGGGTCCACAGGCTTTCCAGCCCCTCCTCCCCCCTCCATCCTTCTCTCCTCTCTGTCCGTCCGTCCATCCATGTGTCCTCTCTCTGCCTGTCACCCCCCCATCTGTCTGTCCACCTGTCCGTCGGTCCCTTCACAGCTCCTGCTCGTCCTGTCCCTGTCCCAGAGCCTCGAGCGGCAGCTTCGGGCGGTGCTGGCCCCGCTCGTGGCCCTGCGGTTCCACCTGCTTCTCCTCTCCCTCCGGGGCCTCCTGTGCCTGGCCCGGGCCAAAGTATGGGCAGGTGGCGAGCCCGAGGGGCCTCGCTGGGGCGGGTAGTGTGGCTGTGCTGGGGGTCTCATGCCAAGCTGAGGGTGCATGCTCTGAGGGGATGGGGCTCCACTGGCGGGGAGCAGATGGCAGGGGCCCCTGAAGGCCCCGGGCACTGGCTGAGTTCCCAGGTGGTGCTGTAAGCAGGGTGGCCTCAAGCCTGCAGCAAGGTCGGCCAGGAGCACTGTGGCTGGTCGGGCTGTGGCTGGTAGCCGGTGAACAATGGTGGAGGCTGCGGAGGCTGGGGACTCTGTGTCCAGGGTCATCCAAAAGGGTGGGGTTAAGAACTGGGCTCAGAGAGTGTGCCTGGGATTGTGCTCTGGGAGGGCGGGGGTCCCATCCCAGTAGCTTGTCCTGGTGCCCAGGGCCCTGCCCGCTCCCCATGTGGCCTCTCTTCTCCCCCTTCCTGCCCCCAGATGCTGGCCACTCTGCTGATCACTCGCCAGTTTCTCCAGAACGTGCGTGAGGTCCTGCAGCCACACCTGTACCGGCGGCTGGGCCGAGGCGAGCTCAGCCTGCGGGCCGCCTGGGAGCTGGCCCGGGCCCTGCTTGGCCTGCTCAGCCTTCGGCGCCCCGCACCCTACCATCTTGAACCCCAGGCAGAAGAGGGTGGTGGCAGTGGGGGCGGAGGGGGTCGCAGGTGTCTCAGTGGGGGCTGCGGGGCACCCGAGGAGGAGGAAGAGGCCACAGTGGAACGGCGGCCCACGGGGGAAGGTGGGGAGGTGGGGAATGGGTTGAGAGGGGACAAGGAGGAGGACGAGGAGGACGAGGACGAGGAGGAAGAGGATGAGGATGAGGAAGAGGGCGAGGAGGGCGGCCTCCTGGACTGTGGGCTCCGCCTAAAGAAGGTCAGCTTTGCTGAGCGGGGCATCGGGCGACATCGGCCCGGCCCAAGTTCGGAGGCCCTCCTGGAGGAGGGGAGCCCCACAATGGTGGAGAAGGGGCTGGAGCCAGGTGTGTTCACATTAGTCGAGGAGGACGATGAGGCAGAGGGGGCTCCTGGTAGCCCTGAGCGGGAGCCCCCAGCTGTCCTGCTCCGCCGGGCTGGGGGCGAGGGCCGTGACCAGGGACAAGACGGGGGCCCAGAGCCGGAGACCAGCTCAGGCGACTTGGCCCGGAGGCAGCGGCAGCAGAATCGGTCCTCTTGGATCGACCCGCCTGAGGAGGAGCACTCGCCCCAGCTCACCCAGGCTGAGCTCGAGAGCTGTATGAAGAAGTACGAGGTAAGGCAGGTGTCTGAGGGCGGAGGCAGGGCCCTGAGAAGGGCGGGTGTACACGGTGTGATGATGGAGGTGCCGGAAAACAATGGGGCCCTTGATGTAGTCGGGAGCCTCCTGGAGAGGGAGGCTCTGGGTCCATGCGGGATGATCTAAGGGAGGTGGGATTGATAGAGAAAGGCAGTCTAAGGGAGGAGGTATCCTGGTCTAAGCAGGTGCCCGCCCGCAGGACACGTTCCAGGACTACCAGGAGATGTTCGTGCAGTTTGGCTACGTCGTGCTCTTCTCGTCTGCCTTCCCCCTGGCTGCACTGTGCGCCCTGGTCAACAACCTCATTGAGATCCGCAGTGACGCCCTCAAGCTGTGCACGGGGCTGCAGCGGCCTTTTGGGCAGCGGGTTGAGAGCATCGGCCAGTGGCAGGTGTGGGAGGGCCCAGGGCTCCAAACTGAGGCACGCAGGGAGACGGGGCGTGCCAGGAAGGAGCGCAAGGCCCGTGGAGGAGGGCTGGCGCTGCCTGAGCCCCGCCGTGTCCCCCTGCAGAAGGTGATGGAGGCCATGGGTGTCCTGGCGATCATAGTCAACTGCTATCTCATCGGTCAGTGTGGGCAGCTGCAGCGCCTCTTCCCCTGGCTCAGCCCGGAGGCGGCCATCGTGTCCGTGGTGGTGCTTGAGGTGGGGCCGGCGGCCGGGCGAGGAAGCCGGGTGGCTGGCGGGCAGCCCGGAGCCTGCGGCCTCCAACCTCCTCCTTTGTTGCCTCAGCACTTCGCTCTGCTTCTCAAGTACCTCATCCACGTGGCCATCCCTGACATCCCAGGGTGGGTGGCCGAGGAGATGGCCAAGCTCGAGTACCAGCGCCGGGAGGCCTTCAAGGTATTCAGGATGGGGCTGAGATCTGTTTACCTGCTCCGCTCGGTGGGCCATCTCTTTGCCTGGCTTGCAGCCACGGCCTTAGTAGGAAGGCAAGTGTGCAAAGCACGGTATAATAGCTAGTGCTCCAAACAGACTTGATCCCTTCTGGAATCCTGGGGGCATCCAGCATCAGGCTGGTGCCCTGAACATTCAGCCTCGGCCAGCTTGTCCAGCAGCGTCCCATTCAGGGTCAGGGACACAGCTGGTGCTTCCTGGAAGCCGAGCATCTGCTGTGTTCCTCAGAAAGCTTCAGAGTGGGTCCATGGGACCATGGGCGCCAACCCTCAGAGCTCGGCAGCACCAGTCTGCGGTGACGCCCTCCCTGGTGATGGCAATGTCCTGCACGCTGCCTGTGTAGTCCCTCGCAGCAGGGGCTGCGCACGCTTGCGTTGACGTTGACATAAGCCATGTGTGGCAACTGGACTGGCCAGTGTGGATTCTGGTCTGTGCCAGCCCTGGCTCTGCCTCTTGCCACTTTTCCAGAAAATAGAGGACCACTGAGGCCCGATATTGGTTTATACTCCCGCAGTTCGTTAGATGGTGTCTGGCACATGGCTGGGGACAGTGGGTGGCCAGTAAATGTTTGTTCTCTTCTCAATTTTCGGAAAGTCTAGGGATGCATTTGGTGCCTGATAAGTGTTTAGATCTCTCCTCACTTCCACAGCGCCCCAGGGTGGGTCCAGAGATGGAGGGAGCCCCCAATAAGTATTTGGATCTCTCCCCACCCGCTGCAGAGTTCAAACACCCTTCCCAGGCCCCCTACCAGTCTGCTCTGCCCACAGAGACATGAGCGCCAGGCGCAGCACCATTACCAGCAGCAGCAGCGGCGGCGGCGGGAGGAGGAGGAGCGCCAGCGTCATGCAGAGCACCACGCCCGGCGAGAGCGTGACACCAGCAGCCGGGAGGAGGCCCGGGCTGAGGGCACAGGGCTGGACCCTGCTGCCCCTGACAAGGCCTCAGCCAAGGCCAAGGGCAGCGGGGTGGGTAGCCACGGTTCGGAGCGACCCAAGCGCCCAGGGTCCCTGCTGGCGCCCAACAATGTCATGAAGCTGAAGCAGATCATCCCGCTGCAGGGCAAGTTTTTGTCATCAGGGGCTGCATCCTCGATGGCAGGCACGGGGCCTGGCCCCACTGCGCGGCCAACCCCTGCCCAGTCGCCCACAGGCAGCGATACCCGCCTGCCAGCCTTCCTCAGCTTCAAGTTCCTCAAGGCACCCGAGACCCGGCGGGATCCTGAGCGCAGCCACTCGCCACCCAAGGCCTTCCACGCCGGCAAGCTCTTCCCCTTTGGTGGCGGCACCCGGGCTGAGGCCGGGGCCAATGGGGCGGGCGGGCCGATCCGGCTGGACGGGACCCCTGGCGGTGGCAGCGGCAGCAGCGGCGGCCGGGCCCAGCGCAGTGGGCAGGTGGACGAGGCTGCGGCTGAGGAGCCAGACGCCCTCCGGCCTGAAGAGGAAGGCTCAGGTCACAAGCTTTAACTCGGGGGTGGGGACTCTGGGCTGGTATTTGGGGGCATGGTGGGCTAGCCACGTCTGGGGAGAGGGGCTGAAAGGGGACAGAGGAGGCCTGGTCTCTGATACTGGTTGGGGACCTGGGTCCGTGTTACCTGAAACCCCTCAAAGCCTGCTCAGTCTCTCCGGGACCCTTGAGTGCCTGGAGCCCTGTGCCTGACCCTCCTCACCCCAGGGAGGGATGCCAAAGCCCCCCATCCCGGTGCCCTCCCAGGGCACCTGGCCCACCAAGCTCCAGGGCCAGAAGAGGTGAGGGAGGCCCCTTCACCCCCTGGCCCAGCCTCTTCTTCCCCCATGAGACTCCATACCCAGCTCACTCTGGGGGGACTGGACTTCCCCCAGGCCTCTATGCAAGTCCCCAACCTGAAGCCCAGTGTTCGAGGAGGACTTCCTGGAAGAGGGGCTGGGGCTGCCCAATCAGGGAGTGCAGCCCGCGTGGCCACAGGCTGCCCCCGCAGGCTCACCCCTGGCCTCCCCCACCTAACTTGTACCGCCCCCAGCCAGGGGTCCGGCAGCCCGTTACCAGGGAACTCAAGAGGTGGAAGTTGCAGGACCAGGGACTTAGGTCTGAAGTCAGAGGGACTTTCTCAGACTGGTCTCTCCCCAGAGGGGGAAAGGCGCAGTGCTGCAGGCGTGGGGATGCACCCCAAAACTGATCAGAAGCAATAAGGCCCTGATGTGCCTAGAAGCTGGGGAGGGAGCGCAGGCAGGGTCCCCAGTCGGGTCTGGTGGCGGGGCGGCATCCTCCGGAACGGCCCCTCTCACCTCCGCAGGGACAGCGCTGGCCCCCTTGGGCGCCCCAGCCCTCCGCACCCGCGGCAGCCGGAGCCCCGCACCATCAACGCCAACACCGCTGCCGGGGCCCCCGACACCACCCGCCGGCTGCTGGCAGTGGGACGGGCCTTGGGTCTGTGGGGGTGAAGGCACCACCCCCCGCCAGGCCCCTGCCACCAACACAGAGTGCCCGCCCTGTGCCCTGGCTGGGCCCCTGCCTGCCCCCCAGCCCCTGCCAGGGGACGCCAGCTTCTACAGCCTTGCGCCTCTGCCTCTGCCACCGTCCTCTGAGTCCCCTGTGGCCTCTCCCAGCCCCAGCCCCCAGGCTGTGTGCTGGCCCAGCGGCTGGCACTAGCTCTGCCATGTGCCCTGCCTTCCTGTTCTCATGCAATAGCAGTCACCGATGGGCGGCCACCACCCAGAAAACACGCTTTGGCCCCCTGGGCCCCCAGTATTGGCCTCCCCTTCCCGGGGTGAAGGCCGGGCCCCCCTATCTGCCGTTTTCCTTTTGACTAGGATGGGGGATATTAAGTGCCCCCCCAAAAAAACAGACACACAGAACAGGCAATTATTTATTTGTTTTTAATTTATTTTGTCATATTTTTGTAAAACGGCAGAAATGCAATAAAAAGAATATTTCAACAGTGCCCGAGGATGGAGCAATGGAAACAGGGTTCAGGGGCCCAGTGACTTGAGGTCGACACTGACTCTTGGGGCCTGGTGAGCCTGAGGTGGGGGCCCCTCCTGCCTTGCAGCCTTGGTGCCTCCTCCTCAGAACTGGGTCTGGAGGCCACACGGGAAACCCCAGACTGTGCCACCTCTGCAACGGCCCAGATTTGGGGGCCTGCTCCAGGCCCAAGGCCCCTGGGCAGAGCTACTGAGCCTCAAGCCTGCTGTGTCTTCGGCTTCCTACACAAAGGAGGAAATCTCAAAGTACTGAAGGGACTCAGGAGTTTGGGTGCCTGGCCTGGGCCCTGAGTTAGCTGCAGCCCTGCAGGGTGACAGGAGTGGCACTGTCCCCTTTCTCAGCTGCACTTCCTGGCACACCTGCCACCCAAACTGCCATCTGAGGAGCCAGGGGCAGTGAGAAGAACTTGGGGCATGAAAATCAGAAGGCACCTTGCGCCCGAGTTGAAATGTTGAGGGGATGTTGCATCTCGGAGATCCCTGGACAGACAGGGTGGAGTTGGGGAGTGGCTAGGATGCCCCACGGTGGGATGGCGGTCCAACCCGAGTAGGTGGGATTTCCCTGTGTGATCAGGGACAGATGTGGCCCCTCTCCACACCTCATCCACATGCAAAGTCTTGGAGCCTGAACGGGCCCCACCCCGGGGCTCGGGATGCCAGTGTGAGGAAGGGGAACTGTGGAGGGCCCTGAACGAGAAATCGGGGTTCACTGGAGGCAGGAGAGCAGCCTGTGCAAAGGCACAGAGGTGTGGGAAGGCAGAGTTTGGTGTTTGCGGGAGCAGAATAAGGGGGGTCCTAAAGGCAGGAGGACTGTATTGGGGGCAGAGACCAGCTGAGGGTCCTGCACCCAAGAGACCACAGAAATGCCTGGGTGGGGCATGGCCATGGGACCCCCGCCACGGACGGCACTGGCATGATGCAAAGGGGAAGCAGGGGTGCAGGGGCTACCTGCTCCCGCTCTGTCCCATGGCTTTGAAGCTGATGTCCCACCAGCTTCTCAGTCACTAACAATTGGCAATGCCATGTGCCTGCTCAGGGTCAGACCAGCCCCTGGGACTGGGATTTCTAGGGGGTCAAAAAGCCTCCAGGTACTTGGCCTCCTCTGCACAACCACTGGCAAGCTTGCATTTCCCAAGCCCCTGCCTTGTGACCACAGGGACCCAACATGGAACCCATGGTACAGATACCGTCCAGAGCTAGGAAGTGTAACTCCTTAGCCTCACAACACAGCTGGGTGGCTTTCCCTGGAATCTTCCACGCAGGGTGGTACTAGGCAGCCCAGACGCAAGCAATCTGTCTCAGGAAGGACCCTCGATGAGGATAATCTGGGGCAGGCACCCCGCCAGCTCCATGACCCAACCCGTCACCACCTTCCAATACTGTAGTCCCCGTCCAGGGCTGGTGGGGGAAGCAGCAGCCTTCCCCCCACCCTGGGCCCCGTGCTCGGGGCCGCAAACCTTCCGCCCGGAGCCTGAATGCCCACTTCGTTCCGCTGCACTCCATATGTCTTCTTTTGGCACCAGGGGCTGTCTTCACAGTGGCTGGTGGGCACGCTACCTCGCTTGTCAATGTCCCAGGTGTGGGATCCACCACTGCTCTGTCCTTGGTGGTGTGGACTGTCTCTTAGGGTGTCCTGATCATCAGGGACACTTGCCAGGTGAAGCAGAAGGGTGAGTCCAGGCAGGTCTGGGGTCCGAGCAGGATGGCTACAGCAGGCCCACAAGAGAATCCAGCTGGTCCGGGCGCCCCAGCTCATGGGGGCCCCTCTTGGCTCCTCTTGGTGATGATGAGACAACTCTCAGTGGCTTGGTCCTTTGGGGCTGAGGCACGTGGAGCAAAGACGCGAGAGCAAGTAGGAAAGATCCTTTTATTGGGGTGGACACGGAGCACGCACCAGTCCATGATAAAATGACTTAAGAGAAAGATCCGGAAGGGCTGACTTCTCCCTGTGGCGCACTCTCAGAGCAGGGTCCGGGCATGGAATAGGTCCCGGTGGAACTAGAGCCAAGGCCGAGTCTTTAAGGCCGGACCAGTGGACGGAAGTGGGGAGAAGGGCCCCACCCCAGCCACCCAGCTGCAGCAGGGCTCATCCCTAGACACTCACAGACGCCCTCTGGTTCTCCAGAGGACTGGGGAGCAGGAGGAGGGGGTCTGGGGTGGGGTGGGATAGTGAGTAACAATGTTGTTTCTTAAGAAGCATCTACCAACATCACACTACTGGGTCTGACGTCCCCTTTAACCATCGCTCGGTACATTTTACAGCATAAATAAAGACTCAAGGAAAATAAATACATCGGCTCCTATGAGGTTGGAAGTGGTGTGCATGGCAGGGTGTGGGCGGGCGGGCCGGCGGGGTGGGCGGGCGGGCAGGGTGCTTACACACGGCAGGTGGGTGAGGAGCAGACAAGACAGGAGGCACCTATCAGGAGTGTGAGTCTTAAGTGTCCTCGTGCATGTCTGGGCTGTCGGTCCGTGCGACTTTGCGGGGAGGAGCCGAGCTCTCACCCTCAAGGTCCACTTGCTCCTGGTCTCTCTTCTTGGCAGCATTCTGGGTGGCAAGGGAAGGAGAGGGCCATTGAGACTTCACTTGGGTAACCTCACCAAATCCTGCTGTAGGGGTCACAGAGCTGGGTCTGGAGCAGGGACGTAAACCCAGGGCCCCTGGTTGAGCAGCCCCTCCCACCACCAGACCTGCCCCCCCAGGCCACAGTCCCCTGGACCCGTGGGCCTGTAACAGGCAATGCAAAGAGTCACCATGGCTCACAAGGACCCACGTACGGCCCAAAATGCTCCGAGGAGCGACGCGCCCTGCTGAAGGACAAAGGGCCTCAGGAGCCCCCGGGAAGCCCCTGATTGTCGCAGGAGAGGAAGGCAGCCTCAGTTTGGGAAAACTCCCTTCCCCTACTCGTGGGAGTCAAGGCCTGCGGGGCTGAGAAGGAGGCCAGCGTGGGCCAGGAGCTCAAATTGTCTCAGCAGTCACTTCATCATGGGGCCCCCTCTTCAATCTTGCCCGGAGCAGGCTGCTGTCAGATATTCAATGTTAGGTGAAAAAACAAACTGACCTTGTTATAAAACAATACATGGAGATTTTCAATAAAGAAAGAGAAAAACATCTTGCATGTTAAAAAGGCAGCCTCTTGGAGGGAGGGTAGGGGAGATGATCTTTCACAGCAGCCATGCCCTCTTGCATCGCCTGGATTTTTAATTGTGCACGTTTCGCCACTGAGCAAAGATTCCAGATAATCATGCTAGTGTCCATCTGCCGCCAGGGCTATGCTGGCTGCCAGCCGCGGGAGCTGGGTGTTGGAGGTGCCTAAGCCTTGGTATGGCTGGCCAAGCCCCTGCCCATCCGAGCATCAGAGCTCCGTAGCCTCTACACTGCTATTACTTCCCCTGGAACACTCCTCCCCCGACTGGACTGCCCATCAGACTCCTACGCAGCCCTCAACGCTCCGCTCGAACCCCTGCTCTCCCAGACCCATGCCCTCCCGCCACTCAGAGCCCCTGCACTGGGCACCGTGTTTCCCTATTCTCAGCACCCAAACCCCACGTGCCTTACCTTTTTATCCCATTGCTGATGTAGATAGCGCAAAAGGATGTTCGTTTTTTCTGTCACAATGACTGAGGAAGAGAGAGAAGGCAAAGTTGCGGAAGGGGCTGCCGGCGGACGGCCGCAGACGGTCCAGCCTCCACCCCGGCCAGCAGCGCCCTTCCCAGGGCGGTGTTCATCCTTCCTTGGCCTCCAGGGCTGCCCCTGCCTGAATTTTTTTCTGGGACTCAAGTCAGTACCCCAACCTGGAAGTTTTCAGGAAGCCACACATTTTCCTTCCTGAGCCCACAGCTACTGCCAGGGGCACGAGCCAGCTGCTCTGGGGTCCCTGCTTCTAAGGCGGAGCCCACCACTGCATTCAGGTTTCCACACTGGGTCCTCAGAGGAGATTCTGCCTGCAGGCTCGTGCAGGTGTTTCTCCAGGCCAACCAGAAGCGCAGTTTGACACAGAGGCACCCCAGTGACCACAGAAGCCAACCATCAGGGTCCATGTGCATGTTCTTCCATGGTTAAAATAAAACACCATGGCCCTGGCTGCTGTGGCTCAGCGGAGTGGGTGCCAGTCTGCAAACCAAAGGGTCGCTGGTTCGATTCCCAGTGTAGGGCACATGACTGGGTTGCAGGCCAGGTCCCCAGTAGGAGGCATGTGTGAGGTAACCACACATTGGTATTTCTCTCCCTCTCTTTCTCCCTCCCTTTCCCTCTCTCTAAAAATAAAATCAAATCTTTAAAAATAAAAACAAACAAATGAACGAACAAATAAACCACTATGGCCCTGATAAACCACCTCCCGCTCTGCAGGCTCCGGCCTTTCCCTGCGGGCCCCTCAACCTGGACAAGCCCTCCCCCTGCTGTCCACCCCAAGCTGGGCTCGGTCTCTGCCCCACAGTACTTGTTTTGGGGTCTGTGTCATGGAGCTGACAGGGGACACCTGTCAGGTGATGCGGAGAGGGCCAGTGAGTGATAGACAAGGGCCAAGTGGGGCCCCCAAGGGGTTAGATGTGGGTACCAGCATGTGGACATGAGGGTCATGCGGAAAGCCATACTTCCCACCGCTCCCGAGGGCTAAGACCTGACCGATGTCACGCAAGTCACCTCCTGCACTACCCTCCAACCTTTCCCCTCAGCAGCCTGGACGAGGCAGAGTGACAGGGGCCACTTACTCTGTTCAGATGGGTACTCCCGCGTGGGCAGATAGACTGAGGGGCGTCGATTCTGTGAGAGGGTCCAGAAGAGGTGGATTAGAAGTACGAAGGGACTAGAGTCCCCTCACCCCTTGACTCGGGACCCACCCTCCAACACAGACCAGAAGATGTGCGAAGATCTTAGGTGGAGATGGGCATAAAGATCGGCCTCTGTGCCCAGCAAGATGCTGATGGGGAGGTGCACATCACTCCCAGCCCCCCTCCCCCCACAGCTCCCTGAACCTGCACTCACCGAGGCTTTACACACGGAGTCAGCATGAAATCGACTAAAATTGCTTTTGTTGTAGACGGGCAGTCCTTTCAAAAAATCTGCCTAAAAGATAGGGAAGATAGTAAGTGAGAAACGCTGCAAGGGCCAGCCCTGGAGCACCTGTGGTGGTGGGCAAGGCTTCCAGGAGACCCCCGGCTTCCTTCTTTCTGTTGTGTTGTAAGTTTCCAGGAAGGCACGCTTGAGCGGGCTATCTGATGTGTACACTGTATGACCAGAGAAAAGTAACCAAGCCCAAGGAAAGTGCATGCTCTGCTGCAGGGTCCTCACAACAGCCCTGTAACCTGGCAAGAGGAGGGGGGACAGAGGCTCAGAGAGCACAGGCCATTTATTTTTAAGTCACACCACAAGCAAGCAGCAGAGTGGGGAGTTGGACCAGGCGTGTCCAACTGCAGATCTGTCCTCTGTGAATATTGTTGAATATTAAACTCCCAGTCTTGGACTTCTGGTCAAGATGGAGGCAGAGGTAGACATGCTTCACCTCCTCGCACAACCACATAAAAAATTACAACTAAATCTCAAAACAAATAACACCCAGAACCGTCAGGAAATCGAACTGTAAAGGAGTCTAATCACCAAGGATTTAAAGAAGCCACGTTCATCCATATGGGTAGGAGGGGTGGAGGCACGGAGACAGGCAGAGAGGCACAGTGTGGCTCAGAGGGATGGTGCTGGCAGAATGGACGTGGTGGTCCCACATTCACGTGTGGTAGATCAATTTCAGGATACCTTGGAGGTGAGCAGTCCCAGCCCCAGGCCAGACCACAAACCCCAGGGTTTCTGCACTGGGAAGCTAGCTCCCCATAACTTCTGGCTGTAAAAACCAGGGGAGGTTGGGGTGGTGGAAGAAACTGCCAGATTTTCAGGAAACTGCTTAAAGGGCCCACACAGTCTTAAAATGTACATAAACCCACCCACTCTGGGATTCAACACCAGGGCAACAGCTGTAAGTAACATATAGGGAGTGGGTGAAGTGATTAGAAATGGGGCAAGTGCCAGGCAAACTTCCAGAAGCCAGGCAGCAGCACAGTCCCCTCTCCAAGCCCTCCCCCCACACAGAGCCACAAAGAGGTGAAGTGGGTTGCCCCACCCTCACGATTACCAAAGGCTCCGCCCCATACAATTTACAGGTGCCTTTTCAACAATAGGCCACACTACTAAAACAGGGAGTCAAAGGAGCTCTAATACACAGAAAGAAACACCAGGGAGGCTGCTAAAATGAGGAGGCAAAGAAATAATGACCCAAATGAAAGAACAGGGGAAAAAACAGAAAAAGGACTAAAGGAAATGGAGATAGCCAATCAGATGCAGAGTTCAAAACACTGGTGATGAGGATGCTCAAAGAACTCATTTGAGTATGGCAACAACATAAAGGAAGTAATGAAGGTTACAGTAAGTGAAATAAAAGTCTACAGGGAACCACTTCCGGCCAAGACGGAGGTGTAGGTAGATACATTTTGCCTCCTCACACAATGAAAAGGACAACAAATTTAAAAACAAAAAACAACCAGGACTGCCAGAAAATCGAATTGTATAGAAGTCCAACAACCAGGGAGTTAAAGAAGAAACATTCATCCAGCTCGGTAGGAGGGGCGGAGATAGGCAGCCAAGCAGAGAGGACACAGCGCAAGGTGGAAGCTGGCAGACCCGGCGGTCCCACATTTGTGTGCAGGTAAACCGGGAGGAACAACTGGGGAGCAAGGCAGATCCTGTAACCCAGGGTTCCAGTGCAGGAAGATAAAGCCTCAAAACCTCTGGCTGTAAAAATCTGAGCAGGATCTGCGCAGCAGTGAGAGAAACTCCCAGCCTCACAGGAGAGTTCGTTGGAGAGACCCACAGGTCCTAGAACATACACAAACCCACCCACCAGGGAATCAGCACCAGAAGGGCCCGATTTGCTTGCAGGAGGGGACTGAAAGCCTGCTGAGAGCCCAGCAAGCGGCACTGTTCCCTCTCGGACCCCTCCCTCACATTCAGTGCCACAATGCATCAATGTGGGTGGCCCCCCCCCAGCCGCCGGTGAACACCCGAAGCTCTGCCCCTTCCAACATAACAGGTGCCCTGAGACAATGAAATATGGCCCAAGTGAAAGAACAGATCAGAACTCCAGGAAAAATAAAACTAAGCGATGAAGATATAGTCAACCTATCAGATGCAGAGTTCAAAACACTGGTAATCAGAACGCTCACAGAAATGGTTGAGTATTATTGCAGGATAGAGGAAAAACTGAAGGCCATGCAAAGTGCAATAAAGAAAAATACACAGGGGCCCTGGTGCTGTGGCTCAGTGGATTAAGCACCAGCCGGCGAACCAAAGGGTCGCTGATTCAATCCCCAGTGTAGGGCACATGCCTGGATTGTAGGCCAGGTCCCCAGCAGGCAGCACGTGAAATGCAACAACACACTGATGTTTCTCTCCTTCTCTTCCCCACTCTAAAAATAAATTTTAAAAATCTTAAAAAAAACCCAAACCACCCCCCCCCCCCCGCCCCAACACACAGGGAACCAACAGTGAATGGAATGGAATGAAACCGAGACTCAAATCAATAATTGGGAGCAGAAAGAAGAGATAAACATTCAACCAGAACAGAATGAAGAAACAATAATTCAAGAAAATGAGAGGCTTAGGAACCTCTGGGACAAATTTAAATGTTCCAACATTCAAGTCATAGGGGTACCAGAAGGAGAAGAGGAAGAGCAAGAAATTGAAAACTTATTTGAAAAAATAATGAATGAGAACTTCCCCAATCGGGCAAAGGAAATAGACTTCCAGGAGGTCCAGGACGCTCAGAGTCCCAAAGAAGTTGGACCCAAGGAAGCAAGCACCAAGGCACATCATAATTACATTGTCCAAGATTAAAGATAAGGAGAGAATCTTAAAAGCAGCAAGAGAAAAGGAGGCAGTTATCTACAAAGGAGTTCCCATAAGACTATCAGCTGATTTCTCAAAAGAAACCTTGCAGGCAAGAAGGGGCTGGAAAGAAGTATCCAAAGTCATGAAAGGCAAGGGCCTATATCCAAGATTACACTTTCCAGCAAAGTCCTCCTTTAGAATGGAAGGGCAGATAAAGTGCTTCCCAGATAAGGTCAGGTGAAAGGAGTTCATCATCACCAAGCCCTCATTATATGAAATATGAAAGGGACTTATCTAAGAAAAAGAAGATCAAAACTATGAACAGTAAAATAACAACAAACTCACAACTATCAACAAATAAACCTAAAAACAAAAACAAAATGTAAGCCAACAACTACACAAGAACAGTATCAGAGAACTGTAGGTCACATGGAAGGTCATCAATGGGGAGGGGGAATGGGGGAGAGAGCGTAAAGTTACAGGGAACAAAAAGCACAATTGGTAGGTATAAAATAGACAAGGCGATGTTGAGAATAGTGTAGGAAATGGAGAAGCCAAAGAACTTATATGTACGACCCATGGACATGAACTAAGGTGGGGGGATGCTGGTGGGAGGGGGCTGCAGAGGGGAATAGAGGGGAGAAAAAAATAGGCAACTGTAATAGCATAATCAATAAAATATACTTTTAAAAACATCAACATGGAACCAACAGAGAAGGTAAGGAAGGTGGGATTCAAATCAGCGATTTGGAACATAGGAAAGAAATAAACATTCAACCAGAACAGTAGAAACAAGAATTAAAAAAAGAGGAGAGTATAAGGTGCCTCTGGGACATCGCCAAGCATGCCAACATCCAAATCCTAGGGGTGCCAGAAGGAGAAGAGGAAGAGCAAGAAATTGAAAACTTATTTGAAAAAATAATGAAGAAAATTTACCTAATTTGGTGGAGGAAATAAACATATGAATCCAGGGAGCACAGAGAGTCCCAAACAAGCTGGACCCAAAGAGGACCACACACCAAAATATGTTATAATTAAAATGCCAAAGTTTAAACAGAGAGAACAGTTGGTTAAAGCATCATCCCTACATGCCAAGATAAAGAGAGAATCCTGAAAGCAGCAAGAGAAAAGCAGAGAGTCACTTACAAAAGAGTTCCCATAAGACTATCAGCTGATTTCTCAAAAGAGACTTAGCAGGCACTAAGGGACAGGCAAGAAGTATTCAAAGTGATGAAAAGCAAGGACCTACAACCTAGATTATTCTACTCCACAAAGCTATCATTTAGGATGGAAGGGCAGATAAAGTACTTCCCAGACAAGGTAAAGCTAAAGAAATTCATCATTACCAAGCCATTATTTCATGAAATGTTGAAGTGACTTATTTAAGAAAAAGAAGAGCAAAACTATGAACATTAAAAAGGCAACAAATTCACAACTATCGACAACTGAATCTAAAATGAAAAACAAAAACGAAAAACCCCAAAACTAAGCAAACAACCACAACAGGAACAGAATCATAGATATGGAGCTCACAGGGAGGGTTATCAGCCAGGAGGGGGAAGGGGGAGAATGGGGAAAAAAGTGCAGGGATTAGAAAGCATAATTGGTAGGTCCAGAATAGAAAGGGGGATGTTAAGCAAACTACAGAAAAGGGAGAAGTCAAAGAACTTATATGCACAGCCCATGGACACGAACTAAGGGGGGACATTGCTGGAGGGAAGGCGGGTGCTGGGTGGAGGGGGGCGATGGGAGGAAAACGGGGACAACTGCAACCGCATAATCAATAAAATATACTTTACATTTTTTAATGGTTTTATTTATTTATTTTTAGAGAGGGGGAAAGGAGGGAGAAAGAGAGGGAGAGAAACATCAATGTGTGGGTGCCTCTAAGCGCCCCCTGCTGGGGACCTGGCCCGCAACCCAGGCCTGTGCCCTGACGGGCAATCAAACTGGCAACCCTTTGGTTCGCAGGCAACGCTCAATCCGCTGACCCACACCAGCCAGGGCAATAAAATATACTTTAAAAAAATTAAAAAAAAAAATAAATCTCCAGTCTTGTATTTGTTTCTCTACCTTTAATAGATATACAGATGGAGAATGTCTTTCCACCATAAGAACCCCAATGGGCCAGTGTGGCAATAAATGGGGATGAAGACCAGACGCCTGGGTAAAGGGGGCAGGGTGGCTGAGACAAGGGCTGCCACGACCCAGAACTGGGAGCCCAGGCTTGACTGGCTCCCAAATCCCAAGAAAATCTGGAATGTGGGTTTTCAATGTGACAGCGTCAGGTCTTTAGGGTTGGCTGAATTCTTCCTAAAGCACTGTGTGGACCAGGGTCAACTTAGGGGCTGCTCCTGGGGTCTCCGCACCCAAAGGCTCCCCCATGAAAGGGGAGGCCTCCCAGGGTAAAGGCCAGAGACTAGGAGGGAGCAGGCTGCTCCTCCCTGTCACCTTCTGCCTGGGGCAGAGGCTCAGCGCCAGAGGTCTCAGGCCCATAAGGTGCTGGGGAGCCAACAACAGAATTCATTCATAGCCCGACTCTTGAAAAGTCCTTTGTCCCTGACACTCTGGGGTCAGCTGGGGAAGCAAGGGTGAGGGCTCTGGGGCCGGAGGACCCTGACTCTGGTGGGGGTGGGGGGTGGGCAAAAATCAGCCACAAGATGAACAAATAAAGGGCCAGTGGGAGCCATGTCCACCTCAGAAAACTACGGCACAAAAGCATGGGGGTGCAAGGGCAGGGATAAAGGCCAGGAGCTGTGGGCAGGGAGTGACTGCTCAGTAGAGCAGGAGTGCAACACTGTCATCGTGCCTGGAGTGGGAAAGCCGGGGAGGCTTCCCACATGGCCTGCCCTGGGCCTTCCTGAGCTTGAAACACGCTGTCCTAAGGATAAGGAAACTGAGGCAGAAAGGTCACGTGGCACTCATCTGAGATGATCCAGCCCCAACAAGAAAATGAGGAAGACAATTTAAATCCAGGTTTGCCCTCAAAGGCCAAGTTCCTATTATGTGACATGCCAGTGGCTCAGTTTCCAAAGGCTCACAGCCCTTAGAGGCTGTATCAACCATCCCTTTGGGCGGGGTGGTCCACCCCCATGCTTGAGCCTAGGTGCTGCCTCCCTGGGGAAGCCACTGTTCAGGTGATCTGCCACCACCCTCTGGGGCAAGCATCCTCACTTCCGAGGGGAGCTCCAGTGAGATCTCAGCAGGACACGCCAGCCCCGCCAGGGACGCTGGAATGTGGACAAGCCTCCCGCTCCCACTCAGGAGGTGGCTCTCCCATCTGGGTGACCTACTGCTCCAAAGTCAGCTCACAGCCTCTCAACGCTGCCTCTCCTGACCCAGAACCCCTGCCCCAGCACAGCCGGAGACTACGGGGCCAGCTTCATCCAGCCAGCCAGGCTTTCTCAGAACCCTGCTATGTGACAGACCCACACCAGGCACCAGGGCATTGGGAGGGAACAGCAGACCTGCTCTTGGCCCCAGGAGCACCCAATGCAGGGCACACGGGTACGGATCAAAGGACCACACAAGGAAGGCAAAATGGCCCTGAGGACAGCGTACCCTGAGATGATGTGTCAGGCCCAAGATGGTGAGGGGAAGGTCTGTTGGTCTGGGGGAGGGGACGGAGGGGTCAGGGAAGGTTGCAGAGCAGCAACGATATAAGCGCTGAGACCTGAAGCATGAGGAGGGGGTCCCTGTCTTGGCTCAAAGGCCTTCACAGCTCTGGCTGAGCGTGGTCCTCGTCTGCCTCAGCCCACGCTGTGCCACCCTCCAGGAATGCGCCTCTTTTCTCCATGCAGGAAAACACCTGCCAACCTCTCTGCCCAGCTCCACAATACCCCTCCGCCCCTTCCCTCTCCACACGCCTCAGGGGTCTCTGCCAGAGCTGCACTCATACCCTGAGGAAGTCACCTGTTTACATGTCCACCTCCCTTGCTGGACGGCCCCTCCCTGAGGGCAGAGGGCAAGGCAGGGCTAACTCCACCCTAAGGGGGCTCACTCGGGGCGGCAGCAGTGTGCTTCTGAAAGGCTCCGGAGCCTCCGACAGGCACTCAGTCCGGGCTGGACCCCTCCCTGGCTCTATGACCTTCCACCCTGTCGGCCTCTCCAGTGAACCAGGAGTCACGACCCTCCCAGGGTTGCTCTGAGTCTCAGTAAGACAACACAGTGAAAGAGCTTTGCACGGAGCTCTCTTCAAAGAAGCTGTTAGCATCAGTGCATGTGTGCAGAACAAGTGCATGACGACAGGATTCTGCCTGTACTTCCAGTCAGGTAAGCAGGGAACCAAGTCCTCAGACACAGGAAGAAATCCTCACCTCATTCGGACCAATCCTAGCCCCAGCTGAACCCAGAAGCTATCCTCTGCCTCAGCAAACACTCACTGAACATCTGTGTGTCGGTCCCCTTATGGGCAGCCCAACAGCGATCCGACCGGACCGAGACGAGGAAAAGAAGGGGTGTGCTAAGGAAAGAGAGACGTTGAGGCCGAAGTCCCAAAGGGGCCCTCTGAGGAGGTGATGCTCATAGGAGGAAGAGTATCCAAACAGGGGCAGCGTGTGCAAAGGCACGGGGGTAGCAGGGAGTTGAAGGGTGAGGAGGTGAAAACAAAGCCAGTGTGGCTGGAGTTCTGGAAGGGAGTGGAGATGAGGTCATAGAGGTGGGCAAGGGTCTTGGGTGCTGGGGCTTCATCTGGTTTACAAAAGGAAGCTTCTGGAGCGTTTTATAAGTTATAAAGTGTTACAATCTTTAAAAACTCCATCTGGTTTCAGGTGAATTACCAACTGCCAGTGGGGCAAGATGGAGGCAAGGAGACCAGGGAGAAGCCTGGGGCAGGCACCCAGGCAGCAGACGGCAGCGCCTGGACCAGGGTGGGGAGCCGCAGAGGCATTGAGGACGTGTCCTGGAGGAAGAGCCAACAGAGCCCTCTTATGGACTCTGTGCGTGGACAGTGAGGTTGCAATGACGTATCAAGACCATTACCCAGGCTTGGGTGCTCTCATTCTAGGAACCCACTTTTTCCATCTCCTTCCTGACCAAAGTCGTCTTTTGCCCACCCCAAGGACTGTGATTTGTGGGTTGAAACTCTTAGGTTTTGACTTGTCCAGACAAAATCTTCCATCACCCCCGTCAGCCCTGGGGATGCCAAACAGTGGCAGGTGGGAGGGGCAGGGCTTCAGCATAACTCTGAGGCTAGGTCACCAATCTGCTTTACAGGTTGGGGAACTGAACCCCAAAGAATCACCATAACCAAAACCCAGGATGAGTGACTGGCCCAAAGGGGATTTTAAACTCCCGACTACCAGGTGGCATTATCCCCACTTCCAGATGAGGAGACAGGTGGGAGAGGATGTCACAGGCCTTGAGTCACCCAGCTTATCTGTTAACTTCACTGTCTTAAACCCTTTACGACGTCAGTTCCCTGAATTGTCTCAACCCTATGAGGTCTGGGAAAGATGAAGTTGCTCACTCTTAAGGGCAGGTCGGGGCCGTGAATAGTGGGGGTGGGGTTAGGGCTCTGGGGGACCCAGGTAGTCCGAGATGTCGCACTTCATTTGGCGACAAAGAACGCATGTCACGATGTCAAGCCCCCTCCCCCGCCCCAACGCCCAGACCGGCCTCCCAAACCCTCCTGAATAGGAGGCCCTGGCCCGGCGCGCCGAGGACGAGATCAGAACCGGGGGTCTCAAGGGACCCCATCTTCGTCCCAGGCGACTTCCAGGGAAGCCACGACCCGGAAATGAATGAGGTGTCAGGGCCTATACACCTAGGTGGGGTCAGGGGTCGGAGAAGACAGGGCGGGGCCAGCAGGAAGCTCACTGCAGGGTCCAGGGGTCGAAGGTCATAGGTCAGATAAAGGGGCAGGGCCCGGCCTGCGGAGCCGGGCAGGGAAGTGGGGGATTCGGGGATTACTGGAGGTGGGCGGGCCGCGGCGCCATTTTGTCGAGCGAATTGGGAGCACGGGCCTGACGGCCGCTCTTACCATCTTCTGCTCTCTCCGTCGCCGCCTCAGCTGCCGCCTCAGCCGCCACCGCCGCCACCGCAGCCGCCTTCTTAGCCGCCGCCGCTCAGTAACTTCCAGCCACGGCACAGCCTACCCTGATGGCGCCGTCGCCCTTCCGTCATTGGTCCGTCCTCTAGCCCCACCCTAAGATGTGCTGTCTCTGCGCGTTCCCACTGGCCAGATACGATAAGTCATGCTCCCATTGGTTGCCACGCCTCCCTCTCATGGTCAAGTTCGATTGAGAGAGCAAAACCCCGCCCGGGACTTGGAAGCGATAGGACAGCAAAATCCGGAAGTGGGCGGAGACCGCGCTCCCAGAAGCGTCTTGGGATTTGTAGTTCGCAACTCCGGGGGTTCAGCCGATCTCGTCTAGTTTATTATGCTTTGTCACGTGGCGTCTTTTCGGGTTCCCACTGCAGCCTCGGACGACGGGAGCCCAACGCAACACTCCCAGCCTCCCCCGGGTCCCAACCTTAGGTTTCGGCTTACCTAAACAGCTCCCACACTAGTTCTTTGAAAGTCTTTGAACTGACATATCAGGCTGTCATGTTCAAATACCTCCTGTGGTCCCCCAGTCCCCCAAAGATCCAGCCCCACCTCCTTGGCTTCAAATTTTGGGCCCCACCAGTCCCCCTTGTCCACGTTTTACCCTGACCCCTGTCCGATCCCTTCTCCCTTTGGGGCTCCTAAACCTTGTATGTCCCCCAGGCATCTTCTCGCATGCATTCTTCCCAAGGCCAAGTCAGTCCGCCTTTTCTAGGTTCCCATAGTCCTGTCTTCCCTGTGTTCACACTGCTTGGGTATCAAGTCCCTACCCCTCAACCCTCCAGTCACAGCCTGGTGAGGACAAGGATCCACTAGTAGGAAGTATGGAATAGGTTCCTGAGTGGAAGCTAAGTATTATTACTCCAAAAAGAACACAGGAAAGAAGAAACACCTTATTTTATAGGAGCCAAATGAGCGTTAGAGGGCTAAGGTCTTGCTCATGGTTACACAGCAAATCCTCAAGGGGCAGGTGAGGTTTCAAATCCCTTCCACCTCCCCACAAGCCTTCCCAGACTTGCGAAAGTTATATATGTAATTACTGACTTTGTCTAGGTGTGAAGTTTTGTGATTATGTTTTAAAGGGCCCTTATCTTGAAGAGATGCATTCTTAAATGTTTACAGAAGAAATAACCAGATGCCTGAGATTTGCTTCAAAAACAAAAAACCAAAACACAGGAGGGGGCAGGACTGGTTGTGGGTAATTGGTGGTCAGAAATGGGTGAGTACATGAGGTTCACTGTACTATTCCGTGCACTGTTGTGGTATGTTGGAAATTCTTCCTATTTCAAAAGTGTAAAAAGGGACTTGGGGCAAGATCCGACTTCCCACTTGCCCTTCCAGTCCAACTCCAGACTTCTGGCCCCAGGGCCAACCCCACAATTTGAGGAGCACTCCTGTCTAAGTCATCCAACCTCCCCACAAAACACAGCTGCAGGGAGGAAAATGCTTTAATGGGGTGGGGCGGGGAGCTCCCACCGGCAGCGTTGCGCTCAATGGCTCAGCGATTTGCGGCCCTTAAGCATGCGGCGAAGGATGACCTGGACGCCAGCTGGCGTGCTCAAGCGCTTGATCCAACCGTGTTTGTGCTTGCGTTTGATGTTGCTCGGCTGATACTCATTCCCGCGCGCCTTGCCCCGGCTTGGCTGCGTGGCGGGGAGTCCCCAGCCGTCAGGTAGGCCCAAGAAGGCCTGGGGCTGGAGCCACCTGCAGAGGTAGAGAGAGAGACAGCGAGAAAGGTCAGAGGGGGCGCTGAGTGACATCGGTTAGGCGCTCAACCTCTCCAAGCCTGAGTTTCCGGATCCGTGCCGGGACTGAGCCTAGCTGCAAAAGGCTCTAAGTGGGCAAGGCACTGGCAAGCCGTGCGGGAGGCAGAAGCTGATTCTAGCCCCCGATACCGGGCTAATTCCCTTAAGGACTCACCTGACACGCAGTATCGCCGCCGACCTACTGACAGGACACAAGAGGCGACTCAGGGATATGCCCAAGAGAGCCATGTCTAGCCGCCGACCACGCTGTCACCCGCGCCAGCTATTCCGAAACCCCTAGGATCCGCAGCTGCGGAACGAAGACTTCCGGGAAATGTAGTTTCTCCTACAGCGAAGCCTTCATAGCCGCGGGAGCCTTCTGGAGTTCTACATCTAGCGTGCCAAAGAAGTGAGTGGCCGTACACACACGGTAGTGTAGCTTCTTCTGTGAACGCGCAAAAGTAGGCGAACAGCCGGGCATACAAGCATTATGCCCGGAGGTCTGCTGGGAGTTGTAGTTCTTTCTACCGTCAACTGGCAGAGGGTGCCCTGGGGTGGCGGTGGCGCAGCTGGTGGCAGCTGCAGGAAATGGCTGGTTGATCCTCCTACCTCCATCGGGAGCCGGGCAGATGGCACACAGCTGGCTGGCAGCTTTCCTCTGGCGGAGAGCCCAGGAGGCCTGAGTTCGAGTTGGCTGGATGTCCGCAGGGTGATCCCTGCTCCTCTCCGGGATCCAGTTTCTCAGTCTCTAAGCTTGCAAGCTTGCCGTTGGCGGTGCCCCAGTTACAAGAATTTTTCAAATACTCAGACCTAAGCCCCTTTCCTTCTCACACACCTATTGTCCCAGGGAAATATACAGCTCTTCGGGCAGACTTGTGAAGCCATTGACACACACATACCTTGAATTTCGGCCATGCCCTCCCCTGCCTGGTACTCCCCTTTTCACCTTTCTAAATCCCTTTTCTTGGATATTTTCTCCCTAATTCGCTGCCCCTCTCTGGCCCAACCCTGTGGCCAAATGGCTCTCCTCACACCTTCCCTGAAGCCCAGTGTTCTCTCAAGGACCTGTCTTGGGGCTGCGTCCGTGCAGGCACACCAGAATCTCCCAGCTTGGAGGGTGGGGAGTGTTTGCTGCAATAGCCTTCGAGGAGAAGTGGGTGGCTGGACCTAACAGCTCTGGCAGCAAATTTTAGGAGTTGGGAGTGGGCAAGGAATGGTTAACTCCTTGTCCTCTAAAGCCCATCCTACCCACACTGTCATTTAGCAAACCACTACAAGACTACACCAGTACAATAGTGCCAATAAAGTATCGAGCGCTTACAGTGCTGTTTTACCTGCATAGGGAACTCATAAGGGAATTAATTTCGTAGAGATAAATAAATGGAGTCTCAGGAAAGCAACTTGCCCAAGGTTACATATCTACAAAGGGCAGAGACTGGATTTGAAATCTGGGCTCTCTGACTCCAGCTGGGACCACAGGGTCACTGGTTAAATTGGTCCATCTGGAAAACTCTAATTCCCTAATTATCCATAGCGCTAAGACTTCTGTTTAAAGACTTGGAATAAAACAACCATGGTTCCAAATCCCATCTCTGCCCACTCCCCACTCCACTTGTCTTGTGACCTTGTGCCCTTTATGAGCCTCAGTTTCCCCACCGATAATGGGAAATATCTACAACTCTAAATGGAAAGTTCAGCACCGAGAGAAGGGCATGGTGGCTTCATTTGGAGGGGACAGGGCGGTTCGGAGGCAGGGACTGCCGAGGAGACCCTATTCGCAGCGAGGGGGCTCTGAGTGTCGTCCCCTTGAGCTCGGCAAACCCCATCTTGTGACCCTTTCTCGGCCGTGTGCCAGGCCCAATATCTCTACCTCTGTAAGTCCCTGAAGTGGGCTAGGCCGTTGCTTCCCAGAGCCCGCCTCCATCCCGAGATGCCGCTTCTGATTGATAGTCTAACTAGGGCAGGTCAGCCTGCAGCTATGATTGGTCGAGATGCCCGTCCGTCGGCACGCGGCTCCGCCCCCCCGGGGAGAGACTTAAAGGGCCGGTTTGCTCAGCTGCTGTGGGATGCCCCCTCGCTGACCATCTCTGGCCCGCGCAATCCCGCGTAGACACGCCCGGTCCGACCCCGCGCCACCATGTAAACGGCGCCCGCAGGCGGACGCTGGCTTCTCTCCCTGGGACCCCGCCGCCCTGCCCTGGGCCCGGGGCCCTCGATGAGGTGAGCGGGCAATGGGCCCTGGGAAGGGGGCAGCGAGGCCTCCAGGGCTTCGACTTCGGAGGAGAGTGTCCACAAAGCCGACGATCGGGCTGTTTGGAAGTCGTGGGGCCCCGGTGGCCTTGACCCCGCCACAGTGCTAATAGGCACTCCGGAGGCAAGGGCCTGGCACTAGGGAGGGGGGCTGGCGTGGTGCATCGGTGTTCCCCTCTGCAATCAGGGCTTGGGACCCTGCCGGAGGTGGGGGGTGCGGCCTGCTCTCCCTCCGTCAGCAAGTATAGGCCACCCAAGGCCTTCGGCGACGTGCATTATCCCTGTGGCGCCAAGGATGGGGAGAGGGAAGGATTGGTCCCATCTCCAGGCCCTAAACAATGGGGGTGTGCTGTGCGGGTATCCCCCCTTGAGTTATGTAACTGCCAGTGGTTGCCATGGACACGGGAGGGGTGGCCCACCGCGGGATGGAGACCTGGAGGCCCCCAGGGAGAGAGCACTGCCTTCTCCACCTTCATCTCCACCGTTACGTGTTATGTCAGACCCCCAGGATCCAGTGGTTTAGCCTCAGCTTGTCCATCTGTGAAACAAACCCAGTGCCTCATGGTCTTGGAGAGACATGGACAAAGCTTCAGGAGCTCAGTCCCAAACTCTGTCCCGTGGGGCCTCACCCTTCAGGAGCCAGGTTTAAAGACTTGGGATTGGAACACTTTTAGATGCTTTCAGAGGCTCACAGAACATGCTAGTTTAGTGACAGTGAGTTGATCCAAGAGTGCATGTGTGAATGAATGAATGAATGGATGCATGAATAAGTGAATGAGCTTAGGAAGCCGTAACTGCTATAAACCTGAGCTGGGGGAAGTCCTCAGTGCTGGGCCACATTTGCTACACTGTTCCTCCCTCCAGGAAGTCCCCCATTATCACACTACCTTCCCTATGGCGGTCTCTCTGGGTCAGCCATAGCCAGGTCCTCTCTAGGGTAACCAACCTAGGGTAACCAACCTTCACTCAGGCACTGACCAGACGGAATATCTTGGTGCTTGGCTTGCCCTGGTCCTCCATAAACTGGAGCCTAGAAGGTGCCTCCCCAGGGTGACTCACTTGATCCAGGTGTGGGAACTGGGTGGTGTGGGGGGTGGAGGGTTTCCAGCTTCGAGGTTCCCTGAGTTAGCTGTCTCCCCCATTCACAGGACACATCATGCTGACTGGGGTGACCGACGGGATCTTCTGCTGCCTGCTGGGTGCTCCACCCAACGCAGTGGGGCCACTGGAGAGCGTTGAGTCCAGTGATGGCTACACCTTCGTGGAGGTCAAGCCTGGCCGCGTGCTGCGGGTGAAGCATGCCGGACCCGCTCCGGCCCCCACCCCACCTCCGCCATTGTCTGAGGCAGCCCATGGGGACCGGTCCGGCTTGGTCCGCTGCCAGCGCCGAATCACTGTGTACCGCAACGGGCGTTTACTGGTAGAGAACCTGGGCCGGGCACCGCGAGCTGACCTTCTGCATGGGCAGAATGGCTCTGGGGAGCCACCAGCCTCTCTAGAGGTGGAGCTGGCAGACCCGGCGGGCAGCGATGGCCGCTCGGGCCCTGTCAACACCGGGAGTGGCAGTGGCGGACGACGGCGGCGAGCCCGGCGCCCCAAGCGGACCATCCACATTGACTGCGAGAAGCGCATCACCAGCTGCAAGGGCACCCAGGCAGATGTGGTGCTCTTTTTCATCCACGGTGTCGGTGGCTCCCTGGCCATCTGGAAGGAGCAACTGGACTTCTTTGTGCGCCTGGGCTATGAGGTGGTGGCACCAGATCTGGCTGGTCATGGGGCCAGTTCAGCGCCCCAGGTGGCTGCAGCCTATACCTTCTATGCGCTGGCAGAGGACATGCGCGCCATCTTCAAGCGCTATGCCAAGAAGAGAAATGTGCTCATTGGGCATTCCTACGGGTGAGCCAATGCTGGGGTGGGGGTAGGGATAAGGGGTGGGGACAGAGACTGGGCCCAGTCACCACACTGATTTCCCCCATTGAAAAATCCCATTAGCATCTGCAACAAGACAAGGATCCTCACCACCACTGCTATTGTTTAACAGTGTTTTAAAGCAGAATTTCTCACTATTGACATTTTTGGTCCTGTAATTTTTTTCTGTGAGGAGCTTTCATAGGCCCAGTAGGATGTTTACCAGCATCCCTGACCTCTACACACTAGATGACACCAGCACAATGGCCTAATGATAGTTGTGACAATAAAAAATGACTTCAGATGCTGCCAAAATTCCCCTAGTGGGCAGAATTATTACTGACTAAAAACCACTGTCTTCAACTAAGTTCAAAAATTGCTTGCCCTGGAGATTGCAAGGGCTCCAAGGAAGCCCTAATTGGAATCCCATTAATTCTATTTACAAGGCACAGTTTGCTCTAATTCATTCTCCCTTAAAGAGATGATAGATAAAATCATCTAGCATTTAGATGAGAGCCTTCTCTATGGAAGGCTCTGGACCTGGGTGCCACCCAATCACCATCATTTGGTACTACTCCCTCCTTTACCCAGGAGGAAAGGCAGAATCCAAACAGCTAGCTAGGTCACGAACCATTGTTTTAGTGGTTGTAGCCCATGCAATTAGACAAGAAAAAGTGTTACATAAACTTCTGAAAGAAAGGAAGCAAGGCTGGGAGGTAACCTCTTATTTTTTTATACGATAACAACCCCCAAGGTGGATGGTTATGCCAAATGATTCCTCCAATTAAATAAACACTCATCTGTGATAGTTCCTATGATTCCATAACAATGCTGAGGTCAGCACAGTTACTCTTTCACAGGTGTGGAAATGGAGGCTCAAAGAGGTTAAGCAGTCAGAGAGATACTCAGTGAGTCAGGTCCACCCCACTCCTGCCTGTCCCATTGTCCCTTTTTATAGCAGAGATTGGCAAACTTTTTCTTAAAGGGCCAGATAGTAAATATTTTAGGTTTCCGAGTCATACATCAGTCTGTGTTGGAATTCCACAACTCTAATGTCATAGCAGGAAAGCAGCCATTATTGTAAAAAGGGGGATGGCTATGTTCCAGTAAAACTTTATAAAATATTTTACAAGTGTACAAAATTGTAAACTTAGTTTACAAAAATAAGCAGCCAGCTTTATTTTAGAGGGAATGGGGTACTCCTCAGGCTGCACCCTTCTGCTTTGCATAAGGCAGGCAGATGGGGCACGCCAGAGAGGAGTGAGAGAAGATCCTTAAAGGGAAGTGATACACAGGAAACAGTGACCTTCTCTGGGCAGCCAAAGGATTTGTGTAATCGATTGCTTTCCCAACAATTGGCAGTAAGTAATTCTTATCCCTTTGGAGGTCATGGCAACTTTGAGGATCTGATGAAAGTTCTAGATTCAGATCCTTAAAAAAAAACAACAAAAAACCCACCCTCAACACACACACACACAATCTCACAATTTCAGAACATTCAAAATGCCCCACCCATCCCTCGCTCCCACCCAATGCCCACTGACTGTATGGGAAGGATCTTGGCTTTCAAGGGCCTGCCTGTGGGGTAAGGTGTGTACATTAATCCCCTCACTGCCTGTACTCTGCTGACCATCACCCTTCAACCCCACCCACCTGCCGAGCAGTGTCTCTTTCTGCACGTTCCTGGCGCACGAGTACCCAGACCTCGTGCACAAGGTGATCATGATCAACGGCGGGGGCCCTACGGCACTGGAGCCCAGCTTCTGCTCCATCTTCAACATGCCCACATGTGTCCTGCACTGCCTGTCGCCGTGCCTGGCTTGGAGCTTCCTCAAGTGAGTGACCCCAGCTCTGGCTGACCCCAGCAACTCCCTAAGTTGTGTGGGAGGGGAGGCTGTTTTGTTGGGCCTGGCACGGGGGGCACCCCTGGTGGGCTGAATGACGTGAGGGCTCCAGCGGTGTTTCCCTACCACCAGGGCTGGCTTTGCCCGCCAAGGGGCCAAAGAGAAACAGCTCCTGAAGGAGGGCAATGCATTCAACGTGTCGTCCTTCGTGCTGCGGGCCATGATGAGTGGCCAGTATTGGCCTGAGGGCGACGAGGTCTACCATGCTGAGCTTACTGTGCCTGTCCTGCTCGTCCATGGCATGCATGACAAGTTTGTGCCGGTGGAGGAAGACCAGCGCATGGCTGAGGTAAGGGTTCAGCACCCCGGCCACTGGCTTCCTAAATCCCCCTTGTGCATCCCATGGGAACTTGGCCATGTTCTTCAGCCCCGGGGACATGGGAGTTTTGCTCAGCCAACCCAGAAGGTAGGACCATCCTGGCCAGCTATTAGTACTGGGCGCTGTCAGCCATGCTTGGTCCAGGGATCCTCGGGGCCCCCACCCTTGCCCAAGACCCCCACACCTCCCATTCCGTAGGGCTGGTAGATTTTGTTGCCCAAGGCAGGAAGGATGGTGGGGGCTGGTGCTTCAGAACCTGCACATCTCAACTTGTCATTCAATAAATGGGACTCTTTACAGCTGGGACTTATATAGGTGACCAGTGAGTGGGGCAGGCTACAGAATTCTGGGAGAGAGCAGGCAAATGGGGCTTTAGATCAGAGATTGCCAAAAAGGGGTCTTAGGATCATTAGCACTTGGAATAGCTCTGGACCAGCAGTTCTGAACCAGAGATGCTTCTGCACCCTTCCCAAGGGAAACTTGGAAATGCCTGCAGGCTTTTTCGGTGGTTGGGACTGGGAGAAAGGGGAAAGGGCTATAGGCATCCGGTGGTAGAGGCCAGGGATGTGCTCAACACCCTGCGATGAACAGGACAGCCCCACAGGAAAGAAGGATTGGCCCCAGATGTCAGTAGTGCTGGGGTTTAGAAACCCTGCTCTGGACATATTATAGAAACATAAATAAACATGGAATGGATGAATACCAAGCTGGGCTCCAGCAGGGTGACAGGTCATCCACCCTCCAGCTCCCCCTTGGGTAGAAGAGGAACTATGAAGGGTAGACTGCAAGAGGGACTTCCAGATGCTACATGGCATAGGTGGCTGGTGGGGAGTCGCAGGGCAACCTGTCGCACGTGCCCTGAGCCTGTGTCCCCTGCAGATCTTGCTCCTGGCCTTCCTGAAGCTCATAGACGAAGGCAGCCACATGGTGATGCTCGAGTGCCCTGAGACAGTCAACACGTTGCTCCACGAATTTCTGCTTTGGGAGCCCGAGCCCCCGCCCAACGCCCTGCCGGCACCCCTGCCTGTACCCCTGGAGGAAAAGAAGTAGCCGCTGGGCCAGTGGGGCATCACAAATGAGCAGGAGGCTGAGAGCCCATGGTGCCGGGTCTGCAGCGGACCACCTGGGCAGGCAGTCGCCCTGGTGGGCGGGGTCAGGCCTGGCGATGCCTCAGGCTGGCTGGGCTGGGCGTGACATTTAAGGGAGCCAGGTGGACACACCCCACTCTGCTTGCGTCCTCCAGGGCCCACTCGGCTGTAGCAGAGACCGCTGCCGAGGATGACCTTGTACAGAAGCCCCGCTCTCCACCAAAGCCATGGCCATGGCCAAGGTGGCGCCCACCCCACTCTGTCTTACATGAAGCCGTGCTTGGCCCAGGGACCCTCGGGGCCCCATTGCCCGAGGCGCCCCACCCCCATTCCCTGGCGCTGGTAGCTTTTGTTGCCCAAGGTGGGAGGGACGGGTGGGGGGGCTGGTGCCACAGAATCTGCACATCTCGACTTGTAACTCAATAAAAAGTGACAATCCAAGCCTCTGGATCTGTGCTGGGTGACCACAGGGCAAATGTTCCCCTGAGCCTCAGTTTCCCCATCTGCAGATTGGGCCGATGCAAGTGCCTCCCCCTCAGAGCCTTCCAGGATTGCTTCCCAAATTCCCCCTCCCTCCTCTGAACACAGGGGTGCTTGAGCAGTGTTCCTGGAGCAGAGGGCAGATGGTTAGGGGGCAAGCACCCTGTCCGGGGAGGAAGAGGGCAACTGAGGTCCATGCTGAGGCTGAGGTGAGGATCACTGGACATTGCATGGGATTGGAGCAGCCATTAATAGAGTGCCAACGATATACAATGCTGAGTGCCTGATACCCATCGGTTCACTGAATCTCCTTCACCCCAAGTCACATAGCAAGTCAGTGCCTCTTGCTATCCCGTTTTATCTTTCAGCTTGGTTTAGAGCGGCTTTTGTCATGAAGATTTAAATTTTTTTTTTTTTTTTTAAGATTTTATTTTTAGAGAGAAGGGGAAGGAGGGAGGGAGAGAAACATCAATGTGTGGTGCCTCTCATGTGCCCCCTACTGGAGACCTGGCCTGCAACCTAGGCACGTGCCCTGACGGGGAATCAAACCAGCAACACTTTGGTTTGCAGGCTGGTGCTCAATCCACTGAGCCACATCAGCCAGAGCAAAATTTTTAGTTTGAAGCCATCAAATCTCTTTTCCTGTCTGCCAGAATGAGTTCTCTGCCCCACAGACATGCTCTTGCTCCTTTCTATTTTACCCTAATGCATGCTTATCTAGGTACACTGGTGGTTTGAGGATGGCAGGAGACAACTGTCCCCTCGCCCGTTGCTTCCCGAGTCCTTTCCCCACTGGTTTATGAGCCCACCTTTCATTTGGCCGAGGGGTTCTCACCAGGGACATGGCTGTCCCTTGGGAAATCCTGGAGACAGTTTTGTCACACCCGGGACAGGGAGGGCAATAGCAGCACCTAGTGGGTAGTCCAGGGATGCCCCCTGACACACCGCAACGCACAGGACAGTCCCCACCCCCCAAAATAATTCAGCTGCAAATGTCAGTAGAGCCGAGGTTAGGATTGTTGGGCTAATCCCATCTCTTTGGGAACTGGGGATCTCTGTGTTCTCTCCCAGCAGTTTTAATTGTTGTCACTGTATCAGGAGTCTTGGTGTTTGGGAAGCTGCTCAGCTCACACAGAGGTTTCTTCGGTTAGGTTAAAATGGGAGAGCACAGGTCCCTTCAAGAAATGGGGTCTCTAAGTACAAAACCAGCCATTCTTGCGGGGAACCGGCAGTGGAGGAACCTAAGCCCGTGAAACTCTGTCCAGGTTAGCGTGCCCCCGCCCCGCCCCCTGCAGGACTTTATTAGCTGAGTCACAATGAGGGGCAGGCGGGGAACCCAATGAGGCAGCGGATCTCCCCCACGCCCCTAAACCCACCAGATGCTTTGGGGAAACCTCTGGAAAACTTAAATGATCCCATCAACACCTCACCAGCGCCACAGCTGGGCCTTTTGCTGAAACTCTGCATGTGTGAATCGTCTGAAATTGTCAAGCATCACCAGAAGTTTGGGTTATTGATCCCGTTTTATGGTGGAAAAAACAGGCTCAGAGAAGCAATGCCAGGAAGCTCGCGTTGCACAGTGACCCCAAGGTGCTGGTGTCTTACACCCACAACCCATAAGCTCCCTGGCCCGGGACTCCTGCCACCACACACAGTCAGCACCTTGAGGGCATCGGGGCACCTCCCTTCTCGGGGAGGCTTTCCACCTGGGCCACTTCTGGCTCAGTGCGGGGTTCTGAGCCACAGCCTCCAATCCCGACAACGACCTGAGGTAAATCCTCACTGTCCCTATTGTACAACTGAAGAAACTGAGGCTCAGACAGACAAGTTATGACCTGAGGTACCACATCTGGCAAGCAGAACCCAGCTCTTAAGCTGGGTAGGTTCCCTTGATGTGGCTGAGGGAGACCCCAGCCCACAGTGTGGGTCCCCTGTGTCTGGGAGATAAAAGTGGACTTTGTCCACCCAGAGAGGACCCAACTGCCAAAGCAATGGCAAGTTCTGAAGCATCAAATGTTCCAAAGAACCTTCTGGTCCACTTGTTCTCCTCCCGAATTAGGGAGCTCACTGCCTCTCCAGCAGTTCCATCTGTAACAAAGTCCTCCCTCAGCCTGAGGGGAAGATCTGCCCTCTGCCTGCCCCCCAGCCTTCTAGAACTGGAGATGGAGGGCTGCTTTCAGCACGGGTCAGCTGGGACATCCAAACACGCCGATCTCTACCCAGGCTGGACGGGCAAATCCCCAGTGCTCAGCCACGGGCCTGGATATCTTGGGGTCGCAACTCTCGTTCGCCCTCAGCCAGGAAGACAAGGAGGGCACGGTGCAGCAGATGCACCCCCAAGCGGCGGCGCCGGGCAGGTGGCCAGCTTGCCACCACTCCATAGCAGTGTCCTTGTTTCTGGTTGGTCAGTGCCTGGATCCCTAGAGAGATTGTGGGTGAGATCACAGAGACAGCCTCAGCAAACTCCTGGTAGAAGTATGTGACAGCGAGCACACCGTGCATTCCCCGCAAGACGTATAAACCCGTGGAGCAAGATATGCGCATGGGAAGATACACAGTCAGTGCTCAATAATTACTCATTGACCAAACAAACAGCCCCAAGAAGGAAGGGGTGAGGGAATTGGTTATATCAAGTGCCCTTTCTGTGAACTCCACCCCGAGCCACGCACCCACCTAGAGCATCCACAAGACATGCCTCTCGAGTGTAAGCCTCCACAGCGACCACATGCTGGAAGCAATGCAGGGACACAACACCATGACCACTGGCCCAAATATCCAAGATCTGGCGCACCTTAGGACAGGCCTGGGGGCCAAGGCAGGGTCAGGGATCGGCCCCCCAATTCCCTCCTTCTTCTACCTGCCCACAGTCTGGTTGCCCCTGCCCTGACCCTTATCCTCACACCTGTTTTTCTGGGCGCTCGCGATAGCTGAGGGCCTCCCAGAGGTGGGCGTTTGGCCGGGTCCGTGTCCCCTTGCCCACATAGAAGATGGCATGGACAAAAGTCCGAAGGCGTTCAACTGGCGTTAGTGAGAAGGCTCGGGCTGGCAGGTCCTGAGTCTCCCTGGATGAAAAGGGTTGGCTCAGAGAGGAAAAAGTGACAGGAGTATCCCCAGAGAAAATCTCTCAGGTCACAGGATATACTGATCCCACATCCAGTGGCCCACATTTTATAGGGCAGAGAATGGTGGCTGTTCCCCAAAGACACGCTGCAGCTCGAATGAGGTCCAAATTGCTTTTTTCCTTTTTCCCCAGCTGTCTTTTATAGATAAAGCTTATGGTCAGAGAGGGCCAGATCCCTTCCCAAGGACACACAGCATGTAAGAACCAATTCCAGAATTTGTCAGCTCCCACTTCTGAGTACCTGGGGTCCAGCAGCAGATATGTGAAACTGGACTTCACTACCCCCTCCCGCCACCTTCTGCCCGGATCTGGCTGCTCAAATTGCTGGGCAAGTGCATCCTCGTCTGCCTGGGCATCTGGGATTCGGCCTGTCCTCAGGGCCTCGGTCAACTCTGGACTGTGCCCTGAAAAGTCTGGGCCTAGGAGGGGAAACCGAGTCAGGGGAGACAGAGGAAGGGGTGGTTCCCAGAGATGAAGAGAGAAGTGGGACGGAGAACCAGGAGCCTCCAGGAACTCCTGGAGGCTCCTTGAACTCTGGATGCCGAGGAGGAACTAACCAAGAGCGGCCTGAGCTTCTTGTAGTCGCTGGAGGTAGCGTGGCCGGGTGAAGGGTGTGATGGGGCCTGGGCTCTCACCGAGTGCCCGGAGCCTCTGCAGCAGCTGAAGGTCAGACATGGCCGGGACTGGCACGCACCGGTAAGAGGAGATTGTGTCCCTGCCACCTGTGGCACTCTCCTCGTCCTCCGTGAGCCAGAGGGAGGCCACTTCACTGTCAAGGGATGATTGGTCATCTGTTAGGAAGTGGAAGTCAAGGGGTCCAGCTAGTGGCTCCCGAGGGGGACTGTGGGCTGGGACCCCGTCTGGGAGGGATGTGCAGGAAGGGGAGGCATCTGGCAAAGTCAGAGTCAGGGCCTGTAGACGGGCTTTTAATTCGGCTTCCTTGACCATCATGATGGCTCCCCGTGTCAGCTGCGGGGTGTTCGGAGACTTTAGCACCCTCTGGGGTGGTCGGATACTAGGCAGAAGGTGCTGTTTGGTCTGGGGCGATGATGACTCAGCCCAGAGGGATGTATGGGGGGCTGGGTCCTTGGCTCCAGAGGCCTCAACTACTGTGAAGAAGGAGGCCTCTGAGCTGCAGTCCCAGCACCCTGGGGGGGACGCTAAGCTGCCATTCCTGTCAGCACCCTCAGGGTAGGCAAGGAGGCTGGGGGGTCCAGGGCCGGTCTCCGGGTCCACATCCTTGCTGTCTCTTCTGCCCAGTGCTGTGGAGTCTGGCATCACTTTGGGAGGTCCAGGGGGGCTGACGTCCAGCCTTCTCCCCTTGAGGCCTGTCCCTGGCACAGAAGATGAGAGTTGGTGTCGGATTGCAGTGGAGGGGGAAGCCAGAGACAGAGACGGGAGTTGGATCAGGCAGAGAGGCGGCTGGAGTCCAAAGGGAGGAGAAAGAGTGAAGGCAGACAGAGCTGACTGGAGACATGGGACGAGACAGAACCAGCGAGAGAGTGGAAGTCAGTGACAGAGATACGATAAGCTGGTCCATAGGCCAAGCCCCTGTGTCCACACAGGCCCCACTCACCGCTGGGCTCAGGCTCCAGCTCATGGGTCTCTGCCCGGATCCGGGTAGGGGTCCTGGTCGGCGTCCGGAGCTCCCTCAGGACACGCACACAGTCCTGGTGCCCCTGCTGTTCTGCCAGGTCCAGCGGCCGGAGTCCATCCTGCAGCAGCGCAATCAACAGGGGGCGCCCGAAGCCCTCTTCCCTCCTTCCCTTTCTCTCTGTCTGCCTTTCAGCTCTTCCTGCAGGGCCTCTCACCTGGTCGCGCAGCCCGGGGTCAGCTCCCTGGCTCAGCAGCAGCTCCAGGCCTAGGCGACAGCCCCACGCGGCGGCCACGTGCAGCGGTGTCAGCCCCTCGGCAGATCTGGGGCAGGAGCGCAGAAGGGAGCTCGATTTCCGTCCCCGAGCCCTGAAGCCTTGGTCCTCGTTCCCCTACGCCATCTCCACTCTCCAGCTTGAGACACACTCAGAATCTAGATCCTGCGCCCTCAGCCTGGATCACTCTGCTCTCTGACTGTAGGAATCTACCCCCAGATCCGAACATTTGATCCCCACTGTGGCCCAGCTCCACCCCATCTCCCACCCTCGGCCTGGGACCCTAGCTCCAACTCTCGGATTCTCAGGATCCCTCCCCTGCTTTGCCAAGCCCCACCCTGTGGCATCGGGTTCCACCCAGGAAAAGTGGAACGCCCTCTCTGGGACTCCCAGGCCTCGCCCTTGGACTCAGGAGACCCCTCCCCTGTGCGGAAGGCCCCGCCCCGGGTTCAGGACCCGCCTCACCTAGCATTGGGGTCCCCACCTCCACGCAGCAGAGCTTCCAGGCATCGCACAGCTCTCCTGTGCCGGGCTCCCGCGGCCAGGTGGATGGCTGCCGCCCCGTCCCTGAGCACCAGGTTGGGGTTGGCACCCTGGCGCAGCAGATCTTCCACGGCCCTGCGGATCAGGGGGTCAGAGTGGACCACGACCCCAGCCCCTCTCCCCGGCCCATCCCCCGTTCTTACCTTGGCTCCTCCTTCCGCAGCGCCACCCTCAGCTGCTGCGCCAGGTCCACCGCTGCACCCATGCCTGTCCGGTTCCCTAGCCCTGCAGCCGGACCTTCCAGTTTTAAACTTCCCGCTGCGCCCTTGTGCGCATGCGCTGCCCCACCCCTGGGCTCTGGTCTCGGCACCTGCCTGCGTCGCAGGGTCCTGAACCAGGCTCTCTCACGCCGCACCAACGCGGCACGCACATACTGGCATTCGAGAGGTACAGTGTCCTCCCAGGACCGCGACCTCGAGTGGTGCTCAGGCAGGGACTGGGCAGATGGAAACCGCCGAGGGTGCCATTATCTGGTGTCAAAATGGAGAAACACGGACAACCCTGCTGGAGGAGGTGGAGCTACAACCCCGAGACCTGAGTCACCGAAGAGGCCTCCATTAGCGCGAAAATTCAATTAACAGCTCCCGCCTCCAGCTTGGCGTCGCCCTTTTTCAGTCTCCCAGAGTCGTCTGAAACTTTGGGGTGCTTATCCCGAGACCTTATTTTCCCATCTGCAAATGGAAGAAGAATCCCCCCTGGGCTGGTGTGACGTTGAATGAGCATTTCTGATGTTGAATGAGCATTTCATCACAGGCGCCTGGCACACGGTGCCCAGTAAATGCTGTGACAGAGAAAAGCTGTTGGTCAATGAAGCCATTTTAATTTTATATGGAATCTCTCCAGTAAACTTACACTATCACTCTTTATCCAGACAGAGTTGAATCGTGGACCTGTTGTGCCTGCCTGGTCTCCCCTCTTCTGGGGAGCACCCACACTACTTCCTGGGAGCAGTAATCCTCCCTCTGTCCGGAAAGGACTGACCCACGCCTGAACAATCAGAACATGCCAGAGCTCTGGCCCAAGTCTCAGGCAAGGCCAGCCATAAAGGGGTGCTGGGGGCCCTCACTTGACCTGCACTGGGACTTGGGTAGTGGTCACAACTGGCAACCAGCGGCCATGGTACCAATTCAATGCCAACGGGAGTCCCTAATTTGGGGTGCAGTGAGAGGAGACTCAGGGCACACGCCTCAGTATAGAACAACGCAGCCCGCTCCGCCAACTTGTTTCAGCTCCAGCCGATGAATTAGTCTTTGGTGGAAAAGGAACAAGCAGTCTCCAGCCTGAAGGGAACTTACATAAAGAAGCCCCCTCCTGACCCTTAGCTGGCCCCTCCTCATGCAAGTGAGTACTTCAAATCCTTAGTTTGGCCCAAAAAGCACTGTCCTGACTGGTAGGAATAGAGCCACTCTGATTGTCAAAGATGCTATTGAGGGTATAGCTGCACAGCTGCAATTGGTTAAGGGAAGTACCTCTATCCTATGGGTTGGCATATGATTCCAGGAACTCCTTACAGGAATTCCTTCGCAAGTGTGGGCTCACCCAGCGGGGACACAGTGCATGCAGCCAGGCAGGCAGGCATATCAGTACAGAAAATAGACTGTTTTCTTACCTGAAGCTCAGCTTGCCCAAGAGGCCTGTTTAGCAATGGCTTCCGGGCTTTTTTGTTTTTTAATTTAACGCCAATTAGCAACCAGGAGACCCTCTTGGTAGGTATTTTCTTCCTTGGGGTCAACACAACCGTCTCACCCCTTCCACAGGTTGGGAGGAAAGCAGGGCACACTGAACACTAACCGCACAGGGTATCTCAGCCCATGTCCAGCCGCTCACACCCCAATGGCCGTGTTGTCTGAGCTGGCTGTAGTCAAGCCTGATACTGCATCTTGGTTTCTTATCCACAAGAACCAAGCCATTCCCCTTTCTGTTCAGTAGGTGGGTTTTCTGTTACTTGCAACCAAGTTCCCAATTAACACAAAGTGACTGGTGTGAACCTGGGTTCGAGACTTCTCAGATTTTTATTTTAATGACAAAAATCACACAGGAAAGAACAAATTACAACTGACAAACTGGGGAGTGAGATGTGAGCTGGGAAACATGGGGAATGGGTGCCCACAGTCTCTGGGATAATTTCTGGAATCCTGGGTTTCCTTCCAGGGCTCCCAAGTATCCTGAGTGCGTCCTTGAAGTCCCCCAGGGTCCCATGGAGCGGAGTTTAACAACCAGCACTCTAGGCCTCGGGTTGCATTGTACAAGGCTGGACGCGCAGGGATGGTTCAGACAGTGGCCTCAACCTCGGTGGCTTCATCCTCCTCTTCCAACAGGCTGTAGGAGGCATGGCTCTGGCAGGGCCGCTGCAGTGGGTGAGCCAACAGCTTGGCCATACAGTTGTGCAGCTCGAGGGCTGGCCCAGCCAGTGCCACCTCATACTTGTAGCTGGTGCCCTTGGTATCCAGGCTGCCCATGAAGGCAAACATGTCCTGTGGGGCCAGGAAGGAGATCTTCAGGCGAGGGTTCCCCTGACGGGCCTTCCTTGCCCCTGGAGGGTATCCCAGAGGAGGGGGCACCAGGGGTGGGTTTTGAAGGGTGAAGAAGAGTTTGCCAGGAAGAAAACATTCTTGTGTTCAACAAACATTCCCTGCTAGCCACCCAGCATAGGGACACCGAGAGGTCTCAGTCCTGGAGCCCCCAGTCTGGAGATAGTAGGATGCAGACCACCCCGCAGCCCCCACGCTGATGTTCCTTGAGGAGCAGGGAAGGCTTCCCACAATAGGGACTTTTGGTTTAAATACTGAGGTATGAGTTGGAGCTGGTCTCTGTTCCCCCTGTTCACTGCTGGGTAAACTGGGGCTCAGAGAGGTAAATGGCTCACTCAGGGTCCCACAGCTAGATCAGGGCCCGTACAGGAATGACCAGCAGAGCCTGGGGAGGCAGTGAGGGAACGGTGCTCCAAGCAGAGGGCGCAGCCACAGCAGAGGCAGGAGGAGAGAGAAGCAGGAAGCGTAGGGGCTGAAGTGGGCAGGATCCCAAATGCCCTTCTGAGTTCCCAGCGGACGTACAGAAATGGCTGTTCAATGACTGAATGACCAGGATCCAGGAGGTGGGATCTCTCAGGCCCAGGGTAGGTGGGCTCTGAGTTACCCCATCCACCCCCACCGGCCACCCCCACCTGCCACGGCCTCACCTTCCAGCTCATCTCATCCTCCTTTTCGTCGGCGCCATTGTGGATGTAAACAACATCGAAGAAGAAATATGGGCACTGGAACATTTTCTGCAGGGGAAGAATACCAGCTTTTGGGATTCAGGTCACCCCGTGCCCCCAGGACCACGAATCTCCAGCTTCTGTCTTAAGACTCTGGGAACCGGCCAGCAGCTTCCCCAGCTCCTGTGCTCAGAGAGTCCCTCCCAGTGTCTCACCACCTTCTCCCAGGCCTCAGTCACCTTCATGGGCTCTGTCAGGGAAAACTGGGGCTGGCAGGGTGGGCGGCTGTAGACAAGGATGGTACGGACCACATATGGGGGTGGGATCGTCTGCACGTTCTCTGTGACTGGCAGCTCGGTCTTCTGTTGGCTGCACAGAGAGGGAACAGGTCAGAGCACACTCTGGGGGGCCCTTCCGTCATCACCCGGGAGAGCCTAGCTCCTGAGCTGGGCATGCAAACCCCCACCCGACCCCTCCCCAGTTCACTGCTGCCTCTGAGCCTTCCCACATGCTGTTCCCTCTGCCCAGAACGCCTCCTCAGCCTCACCCTCTGCTTGACCTTTCCTGCTCCAGCAGGAAGGCCTTGCTAAACCTGAAGTTGGAGCCTGCTTTGGCCGCCCTGAGTGTCCTGCATCACCTGGGGTTGGCCCTGCCCCCACCAGGTCAGGAAACTTTTAGGCAAGGATCTAATCTTATATGCTAAGCCAAGACACACTTCCCTACTCAGCCATGACTGGATCTCACACTGGGCAGAGAGCACTAGGCAGAAGGCTAAGGTCCTTCCTATGTAAAAAGCAAACCTGATCATCTACAGGAAAAATGCCAACCCTTTCATAGAAAAATAGGTAAAAGGAACAAATAAAATCATTGAGGGAGTTGAAAATGAATGAAAAAAAGGCTCAAAGAAAAGACTATCAGAGCAGCACGGAGGTAAAAAGGATCAATTTCTGGAACGGTACTTTGGCAATGTCTGGCAAAACCACCAGCACCCCCACTCCCCCTTAACCCAGCACGTCCTTATCCACTGCAAATTTATCCATTGGGTTCACGTGCAAAATTTGCTGAGTTGATTTTAACAAGTTAATGATGATAAAGGCAACACAAGCTCTGTGCCCAGCGTCAGGGACTGGCTGAAAATGGGGATTGGAAGCCCTGGCTGGCGTGGCTCAGTGGATTGAGTGCAGGCCTGTGAACCAAGCAGTCACTGGTTTGATTGCCAGTCAGGGCACATGCCTGGGTTGTGAGTACGGTCCCCAGTAGGGGGCGCATGAAAGCCAGCCACACATGAGTGTTTCCTTCCCTTCCTCCCTCCCTTCCCCTTTCTAAAAATAAAAATCTTAAAAAAAGAAAAGAAAATGGGGATTGGAATATTAGGGTCCACAAGCTAAGAATGGGTTTTATATTTTTAAATAATAGGAGGGAAAGAAATCAAAAGAATATTTCATGACATGTGGAAATGATATGAAATTCCAATTTTGGTGCTTGTCAATAAAGTTTTATTGGCACAGGGCCACACCCACTGCCCATAGGGTCTGCGGCTGCTTTCGGATTATGATGGCAGAGTCCAGTTGTTATGATAGAAACCATATGGCCGGCAAAGCCAAAACATTTACTACCTGGCTTTTTTAAATTTTATTTTATTTATTTTTAGAGAGGGGAAAGGAGGGAGAAAGAGAGGGAAATATCAATGTGTGGTTGCATCTCGCACACCCCCTACCAGGGACCTGGCCCGCAACCCAGGCATGTGCCCTGACTGGGAATCGATCCGGCGACTCTGGTTCACAGGCCAGCACTCCATCCACCAAGCCACACCAGCCAGGGCTACTATCTGGCTTTTTATAGAAGCAGCATGCTGCCTCCTGGGTAAAACAATGGTGTGGAAGACCACGAGACCACCATAAGCCTCATGCAGAGGGCGAGACAAAGGGAGGGGAGGACTTACATGAGACTGAAGAGGCCTTCCATATCTGGCAGGGATGCTAAGGAGAATGCCGGTGGCAGGGCACAGGTGGACAACTTTCTTTATCCGGATGCCAAGAGACCCCAGATGCCTCCGAACCTGGTGTCACTGTGTGGGAAACCTGTGTGATCCTAGCCTAGCCGCCTTTCTGAGCCTGCTTTTCCCTAGCGCAGATCACAAACTATGGGGGTGGCATCAGATGCCCTGAGGACCACGGTCGCTCAAAAAGTCCCCTTTCCCTCAGGGCCAGGGCTACTCTCCTTACAAGCAAACAGCCACGGTGTCCCTGTTCCTCTCCTCCCAACACTCTCCAGTTTTCTAATTCACAGGGATGATACTTGAAGTTTTGAGCTGCGTGTGAGCCTTGCATGTTCAAATTAGTATAAAGTATGATGGAGTGGTGACTGACTTTTCGGTCCCATACTGCCACTGATTGAGCACCCAATGTATAACTGGCTCTGCATGGTGTGCTCCCCCTATGGGTGTGGTTTTGACATCCAGAGTCCCAATCAGCTGGTTTTGCCTCTGTGCTATGACTTTCCTCCACAGCGACCCCTGGGGTAGGAGGTTCTCTGCTTCCCGTTTTACAGATAAAGAAACTGAGAGCCTGGGGAGCATCTGAGATCTTGCTTCCTGGCAATGTCATCAGTTTGGCTCAAATAAACTCTTGGAAGGAAGGGGGGAAGAAAGGAGGGAGGGAAGGAAGGAACTGAGAGCCAGAGAGGTGACTGGCCCCAGCTTGCTGCAGCAGAGCTGGGAACTGAACCCGAGCTGGTCTAGCTGGCCCCTGCCATGGCTCAGGCTGCCTGGGTTCTGGGGACGCCAGGCCAGGCCAGCTCCCACCTCCCCACCTGCCCCACCGGGCACCCCTGCCTGGAAGGATACTGAAGGTGGAGCAGGAGGCTGTCTCCAGGTCATAGAGGCAGCTGCAGAGCTCACGCGGGTCAGAGGTCAGGCCAGACAACTGTGGGGAAGCATAGGCCTCAGCAAGGTGCTCCCTGCCCCCAGAGGACCCCAGGACACCCCGCCTCATCCCCACCTCAGGGGACCCCAGGGTGCCCTAGCCTCACCCAGGCGGTGTCATCGTTCACCACCACCAGTGCAAACTCATGGCTTTTGTCAATCTTGTGTTTTGTCCGTACGAACATCTCAATCATCTTCTGGGAAACATTGAGAGCGTTGGTTTTAGAGCTGGGGAGGGACAGCGAGTGAGGGGGTTGGTTAAAGGTGGGGCTCCGTCCTGAGGAACTCTCCACTGGCCCCACAATGAGGCTCCTGCCCAGGTCACTCTGCAGGGAAGTGGCAGAGCCCAGCTGAAAACCTAACCTAGCTGACCTGCCCTCTCCAAATGGGTCCTTCTGGCCAGCCTGGGTCTCATATCTGATCCTTGAGAGGACCTCCCAGACCTCTGCTCAGCCACGGTGGCCAGGGGTGCCAGCAAGGGCAAGGCAGCATCTCCCAGAGCCCGTCAGGCCCTCTCCAGGCCCTGCTGCTTGACCCCACAGAAACCCACCCATTCAGGGCAAGAGCTTTGGGGTTAGCTTGAGTTCTGGCTCTGCCATATTCTGTGAGGTCTTAGGCAAGTCACTTTGCTTCTCTGAGTTTCCAAGCCATTACTGTGACGTGGTGCATGACAGCTCTCACATGCTTGGAACAGAGCCTGGTGGGCCACCACTGTACCATTACCAGTTCCTGTTGCTATATATACTCTGATAGCATCAGGCCCCGAGCCAGACCACAGTGGTCTAAGTCTCAGAGAGAGCCCTGTGTTTTTCGGGCTGGGCTCCTCCCATCTGTGGCTACACATTCAAGCCCTAAACTCCCTCTCACCCGTTGAACGACTCCAATTTTGGCAGTGACATTTCCTCCGACAGGTCCAGGCAGATGATCTGCAACGAAGTTGGAGGCGGGGTGAGGGCACTGTGACCGACAGCACCTGGGCCGGGGTGTTAACGCCAGGCCCCGCGTGCTTGGCCCTCTTTAAGCAGGCGTGTCTGAAAAAGTGGTAAGATGACCCCCAATTCCCAGCCAAGCCATCCACTTGGAAGGCAGTGACTCAGGGGAAAGAGCACTGGACTAGGAGTCCAAGTTAATGAGTGAGAATATGTGACACAGAAACAAAGAAACAAAGGGATAGTGGGTTGAATTGTGGCTCCCAGAAGATATGTTCACCTAGAATCTCAGATATGACTTTATTTGGAATTAGGGTCATTAATGATGCAATTAAACAAAGAAACTGAGATAAGATCATCTGACCCAGTGACAAGTGTCTTTATGATAAGCAGAAGAGGAGACACAGGACAGGGAGGGGAAGGCCACGCGAAGGTGGAGACAGAGGCTGCAGTGATGCAGCCACAAGCCAAGGATGCCTGGAGCCACCCAAGCTGAAAGAGTAAGGAAGGCTCCTCCCCAGAGCTTCTGGAGGGAATGGGGCCCTGCCACCACCATGATTTCAGACTTCTGGTTTCTAGGGCTCTCAATAAATTTCTGCTTTCTTAAGCCACCTAGTTTGCGGTAATTTGTTGTGACAGCCCCAAGAAACTCATACAAAAGGGCTATTTGCAGGGCAAATCCCAAAAGGCAAAAATGTTAACCCAAGGTTCTTAAAGCCTCAGAACTAACAGCCAAATTCCCACTTACCACCTTCTCTGGACAGTTGACCCTTGGCGTCCGCACCTGGACCTCAGGGGCTGGTGGGGGCACCTGCCAAGGCTTGGGGCCAGCTCCCAGAGGGTTGGATGTCCCATCATCAGCACTGGCCGCCTCACCCTCGCCCTCACTGCGGCTGCCCACACTGGCCTGGGCCCCCAGTGCCCGGTCCTCAGCCCCCTCAGGGTTGGAGCGAGTGCGGGGTCTTGGCTCCACTGACTGCTCCTCCTCCTCCTCCTCCTCTTCTTCCTCGGTGGGGCTGCTGGGTTCTGCCACCTCCATGGCTCCTGAGTGGCTGGATGAAGCAGGGATGGGGGAAGCCAGAATCCTGCCTTAGGGGTTTCAGAAACATTTGGTTACCTGGCAGGACAGGGTACTAGCTGATTACTGACTGAGTCACTCCTCTCACAGACTCAGTTTGCTCATCTGTAGAATGGGTGCCTTTATTCTTTCCAGCTAAGCCTCCACTCTGACTTATTTTCCTCTGCAGGGCTACCTCCACCCCCAGCCAGTGAGCACAAGAGGCCACTGCGAATGGCTCAGGTATGGGGACATAACCCAATACAGGCCAATGACGAGAAGCTCTTTCCAATAGTGCCATTAGGGTAAAGCAGCTCCTTAGAGTTGCAGAGCTGGGAATACAAGTCAGGAGTTGCTAGGGAGCCTCTTTAGCCTCTAAGAGAGGAAAGAGTCTTGACTAGATGATGCTCACCCAGAGAACAGTCGACAGGCTTCTGAGCACCTGGATCTAACTACACCTGGAACCAGTCTATAAGCCACTGACTCTCGTTTCTAGCTTAAGACAGAGTTGAGTTTTCTGTTACCTGATACTGAAAAGGGTTTGGTGAATAGAGGAATAATGACCTCTGGGATTCTCCCCAGTGGACGCTGGACTGCCTAGGAGGGGTCTGCACAAAGGAGGGGTGCGAATTTGGGTGTTACATGTCTCTTTGAGAAAAGATAGAACGCCAATGGAACAGCCTGCCTATTTGGGCAATGGGTGCGGGCTGCCCGGGGTGGTCTCTGAGCGCCTTGCAGCCCCCACAACCTCTAAGGAAAACAAAACCTTAGCTGTAGCAAGAGGGATGGACGCTAGACCGCAGGAGAAACCAGGGCTGGAGATGGAAGCTTCACGGGAGGCGAGGGACTGGGTCTGTGGGGCTACGGTAGCTAGGCCTCGAGGGACAAGCCCCTTACGCTTTCAACACCCAACTTCTGCTCACCGTAGCCTAAGCCTCCCTCCGTCTCAGCTGCCGACTCGCGCTACAAAGCCGCCATCTTCGCAGCCGGACGTGGTGCGGCACAGCCGCGATGCCTCCTGGGAAATGTAGTTCAGCAGGTCGTAGGGCGACCGGAACGGCGAACAGGACGCAGCTGCAGAGCCTTGGAAACTGATAGGCTGGACTCTTCTAGGAGGTGGGGTTTGGAAGGTGATGGACGGGAGTGGGACTGACTGGGGCGAGATCCGGAACGTAATTGGCTAAAAGCAAGATGAGGCGGAGTTTTTGTTTTTAGTAAAATCAGACTATCCGCGGGTCCGTGCTTCTACGGTGACGGGCTGGGATGAAGCGGAAGGGGTTTTCTGTGGACTAGGTTCTAAGCGATGGAGAAAGCTTAGTTTACAGGGTGAAAGGCTAGGTGGGACGGGATTGGGCGGGATTTAAAAGAGGCTGATTGATGGGTGAAGGGCGGTTTTTGCGGAATGAGGTGGGCGCGGCCTAGGCCCAAGGCTACTCCCAATTACTTAAATCTTATTTTACATATATTTGCAGAAATCAAAAATACTAAGTCAGGCCCTGACCACTGTGGCTCAACTGGTTGAGCATCGTACAACAAAGCGGAAGGTTGATGGTTTAATTACTGGTCAGGGCACATGCTTGTGTTGCAGGTTCCACCCCAGTCTGGTTTGTCCATGGTCACGCACAAACAGAGGTAACTGATTGATATTTCTCTCTAACATGGATGTTTCTCTCCTTCTCTTTCTCCCTCCTTTCCCCCTCTCTAAAAATAAAATAAAATATTTACAAAAAAAATATTAAGCCAGAAGACTTGACTTGAGGTGGTGAACAAACAATACAAAATACAGGTGATGTATTATAGAATTGCAATTTTATTGAAAGGACAAAGCCAGGCCCATTTGCTATAGTGGCACCATTTGTGAGCAGGCCTTGTTAAACATGCCTGCCATTTTGCTCTTCTGAGCTTAGGTCCCCCAGGATTGGAACACTACTGGAAAAGCAAGAGCAAACCGTGACTAACTACCCCCTACAGCCAAAGGCAAAAAATAACATTGGAGTGAACTGTAGCTTATGCAAAACCACTCAAAACCTCCTGTGTTGCAACACTTTCAACAGCCCGGGCCACACAATAGCAATCCCCCCACCCTTTTATAATCTAGTTATAATCCAATAAAAGCTCAAAGCCCCCACTCCTCAGTGCCGGTGTAGCTCTCCACACCATGCCCCTTTCCACTCTTGGAAAGTGAATAAAGACTTTGCTCTCTGCATTTTCTTCTTTGTGAATTCTTTCACAGCCTGCATCACCTACCACCCTTACATTTTGGTGGCCCATAAGGATGTATTCTCTGTCTCCCTCTCCTCTACCTCCTGAGTCTTGCAACTAGGATAACAGCGGGCAGTGGAAGCTTGACCCAGGCTTACCCCCAACCTTGTCTCTGTGAGGTTTGGAGAGAGGATTCTTATTCTTTTTTGTCTCTCCAGACTCTGCAGACAGCCTCCTCTTCACCCCCATATTACAGCCAGCAATTGGTAAGTCCTTGAATCTCAGAACGAAAACACTCACTTTGCGGAAAGTGATAGCTTAACCCCTCTTCTAGTTTTCATAAACCCTGGTGCCAAGCGTATCACCTTCCCGGGGTTTTGCCTGTGAGAGACGCCTCCGACCGTCTCACTGCTGGGTTTGGTCTGCTCTTAGACTCATGGATGCCTGACTCTGGACAGATCTTCGTGGTTTGGTCTGTTCTCGGGCTTGGGGATGCTCAGCTCTGGCTGCAGATCTCTAGGTTGTTTGAGATGGGGACGCCCATCTCAAACCTTCATCAGGCACAAATGAGAGGCACCTGATTGACATTTCTCTCTCACATGGATGTTTCTCCCCATCTCTTTCTCCCTCCCTTCCCCAATCTCTAAAAATAGAATCTTAAAAAAAAAAAAAAGCTAAGCCAGAAGACTTGACTTGAGGTGGTGAACACACAATGCAATATACGGATGATGTATTATAGAATTGTATGCCTGAAACCTGTATAATTTCATTAACCAATGTCACCCCAAAAAATTCAATAAAAAAGTTTAAAAAATACTATGCCAGAACTATTTCAAACCACCCTTCCTTTTTCACACACACTTCTCCTCTTAGCCTCACAACTGTTTAAACACTACTCTGACTTTTTTCCAAAGAGTTTGCCACCAGAACACAGGTCTCATGAAAAACACTGCTAAATCTAAGCCAAAATGGAAAAGGAAAAGACTCATATCAAACACTGTTGTCATTAGATCCTGGCAAGTCTACCGTCACGGGTCATATGATCTACAAATGTTGTGAGATCGACAAGTGAAACGTCAAAGAATTACAGGGACTACTGAGATGGGAAAGGGCCCCTCCCAGCGTGCCTGGGTCTTGCATAACCTGAAAGCCAAACAGGAGCGTGGTATCGCCATTGATACCTCCCTGTGGAAATTTGAGACCAGCACGTATCATGTGACCATCATTGATGCCCCAGGACACCAAGACTGTATCAAAAACATGATGACAGGCACTTCCGGGCTGCCTGTGCTGCCCTGATTGTCGCTGTCGGTGTTGGTGAGTTTGAAGCAGCTATCTCCACAAATGGGCAAACCTGCGAGCACGCCCTTCTGGCTGACACGCCGGGTGTGAAACAACTAATGGTTGTTGTTAACAGAATGGATTCCACTGAGCCTTCCTCCAGCCAGAAGAGATACGAAGAAATCATAAATGAAGTCAGCACCTACATTAAGAAAGTTGGCTACAACCCCGATACCGTAGCATTTGTGCCAATTTCTGGTCGGAATGGTGACAACATGCTGCAGCCAAGTGCTAACATGCCTTGGTTCAGGAATGGAAAGTCACCTGGAAAGATGGCAGTGCCAGTGGAACCATGCTGCTCAAAGCTCTGGATTGCATCCTGCCACCAGCTCGTACGGCTTACAAACCCTTGTGTCTGCCCCTCTAGAACATCTACAAAAGTGGTGGTATCAGTACTGCCCCTGTGGGCTGAGTGGAGACTAGTGTTCCCAAACCCGGCCTGGTAGTCACCTTTGCTCCAGTCAATGTGACAACTGAAGTAAAGTCTGTTGAAATGCACTGTGAAGCACTGAGCAACACTCGTCCTAGGGACGCTGTGGGCTTCAGTGTTATGGGCGCGCCTGTCAAAGATGTTCATCATGGCATTGTGGCTGGTGACAGCAAAAATGACCCACCAGTCGAAGCAGCTGGCTTCGCAGCTCAGGTGATTATCCTGAACCATCCAGGCCAAATCAATGCCAGGTACGCACCTGTGCTGGATTGTCACACAGTCACATTGCTTGGAAATTTGCTGAGCTGAAGCAGAAGATTGATTGATGTTCTGGGAAAAAGCTGGAAGGTGGCCTGAAGTTTTTGAAATTTGATGACGTTGCCATTATTGATATGGTTCCTGGCAAGCCCATGTGTGTTGAGAGCTTCTCTGACTGTCCTCCTCTGGGCCGCCTGCTGTTCGTGACATGAGACAGTTGCCATAAGTGTCATTAAAGCAGTGGACAAAAAGGTAGCTGCATCTGGCAAAGTCACCAAGTCTGCCCAGCCACCTCAGAGGGCTAAATGAATACCATCCCCAACCTGCCCCACACCCTTAATCACCGGTGAAGGAATAGTGTCAGAACCCTTTGTCTCAGCTGGTCACTTAAGTTTAATAATAAAAGACCGGTTAGTGATTACAAGGCATCATAAAACCTTTAGAAGGAAGGGAAAATGTTTTGTGGATCATATGGGTTTTTTCGTGTGGCAACTTTTAAGTTGCTGGTTTTTAAAATCATTACTTTTTAATGGAAACAACTTGACCAAAAATCTGTCACAGAATTTTGAGAGTCATTAAAACAAAGTATAATGGAGGGGGAAAAAACCCCACTGGAAGCCTCCATTTCTTTATTTTGAAGCGTCTGTTAAGCCTGCCCACATCAGCCAGGCTCTGGTATAATGACAGCTAGGAGGAGCTGTGTAGGCTGAGCCTTGAAGGATGGAGAATATGCTGGAAAAACAAGAGGGGGAAAGGCATTCCAGGCAGAAGAAACTGCCTGGACAAGGGTCTGGAGACTCGGAAGAGCCTTGGAGTGCCCGAGCCTCTCCCAGTTGACTATGGCTGGAGCAAGTCTTAAGAGTGAGGATTTCGAGGCCTTTGGGTACCCCCATGTCAGAGGAACACAATTCCTCTCCCTCCATAAGCAGACAGATTCATCCTCCGAGGGACTGTCAGTTGGACCGGGAAGATTCGGGCCACTGTCGTGTCTGCAAAGTTAACCCAAGTGCAGAAGGAAGGACAGGATGTTTGAAGCAGAGGTTACCCCGTGGCAAAGGCCCAGGGGCGTGAGAGAACTGAGAATCTTCAGCTGTTCATGGAGGGGGCCATCATGGCTATAGCACGGAACATATATGGTTGCAAGCAGCAGGTATAAATTTTAAGGGCTTTGAATGCCAGGTTGAAGAGTTTGCAATGCTCCCTGACCGGGTAGCTCAGCGTTTAGAGCATCATCATCCTGATATGCCAAGGTTGCAGGTTCGAGCCCTGGTCAGGGCACTTACTAGTATTAACCAATGCATGCATAAATAAGTGGAACAACAAATTGATATTTCTCTCTCTGTCTTTCCGTTCCTCTCTCTCTCAAATCAATTAAAAAAGAAGAAGAAAGAGAAGAAAAAGAGCTTGAAATGTTTTCCAAGGGCAATAGGGAGCCATGGAAGGTATAAGAGCAAAGGAAGTGAATAATTAGATCTCTGTCTTTGGGGCCTGGATGGGGGAGGGAGTGGGTGGGGATGGGGGCGCTGAGGAGCCCAGAGAGGGAAGTGTCATTAAAGCAGTGGACAAAAAGGTAGCTGCATCTGGCAAAGTCACCAAGTCTGCCCAGCCACCTCAGAGGGCTAAATGAATACCATCCCCAACCTGCCCCGCACCCTTAATCACCGGTGAAGGAATAGTGTCAGAACCCTTTGTCTCAGCTGGTCACTTAAGTTTAATAATAAAAGACCGGTGAGTGATTACAAGGCATCATAAAACCTTTAGAAGGAAGGGAAAATGTTTTGTGG